GTTAGACAGACGGGACGGGAAGAGAAAGTGTTCCACACACGCCGCCAGCAGTGTGGAAGTCGGCCTGCAGCCTGGGCCGGTAAGTTTGACACAGTAACACAGAGCATTTCCACCGAGGAATTTCAAAATAAAAGCCACGGTGATAAACTGCTGTAGGATAGATAGAGTCAGAATCAGACGGAGCTTTATTGTGGAGGGTCTTGCTGCAGCGCTCCAGCCTCAGACCACACCTCCATCACCGGAATACATCCCGCCCCTACGCCCTAACAACCAATCGTGTGTTTTTACCGCGCTAACCGTAAAGATATCAGCCAATCACGTTGCTGTATTGATGAGCGCGCTCATCTGCCGGAAACTAAGTCAGTGTTGTGAAAGTGTGTGCAATAGGAGTGTAAACGCAGTTTAAACCTAATTTCGGGGCAAACTCACTGAACTTTTTAAGAAGTTTTCTGATCAAAGTTCACCAATGACTCAAAGGCAAACATTATAAGGTCGATATAACTGCAACTTAGAATGTTATGCCACGTTAAGTTCACATTAAGCGGCATTTATTAACCTTATCAGGTTGCTATCGTTAGGTAGCTATACTTTTGAAATAAGCAAACCAACCTTTCTTTTAGAATATTCTTTATTTCACATTACCTTGTGAACATAGAGACAATAGTATGAGAGAACATAACGGAAGATCAGAGAATAAGGAACAACAAAGAGATAGACAGTGCCAGGGGTTTCAAACTAATTGTGATACAGGTAAATAAAAGATATGAAATAAAATTAGATTCTTTAACAGACCAATATCATTAGTATATACATTCGAAATTTTGTTATAGAGCATAGCTAGCAGAGACGTAGACATCAGATGGGAATGATATCTGACCCTTCATGGGGGAGCAATTACCAATGGACCCTGCTTCTAAATAATGATTCCCACCTTCCCTTATAGAAAAAACACCCAACATCTAGCTTGCAGAACTGAAATGCAGCTAAGAAGATTGATATTTTAAGTATTCACCAACTTCGAAGCTTTTTGGACATTTTTTACCTAGACCTATCATCAGCATGACTCAAGACAATTTAATGTATATTTAAAAGATCCTCTATCTGAATAAGGAATCTGTGTCGGTATTACTATCCCTTTGGGTAGTGGAGGGGAGAATGGTGAAAAGAGGGGTGGGGTTTGAGTGGGAGCTGGGTTAAACAATCAAAATGTATTCAGCAACCTGTTGTATGATCTGTACTTTGTTGGCATTGAAATACAAATTACTGGTAAAAAAAAAAAAAAAAGGGAGACATTCATTTTCTGTTCAGGTGTGACTGATTTACACCTATAAAGTTGTCCAAATTCCCCCAAGGGAATGACTGTTTATTATTTATGAGCGGGGAGAGGGAGGTGCAAAACAGGGGAGGCACTTCAAATATTTTTTTAAGCACTGGAGGGAGTTATGTCTTTTTTATTTGGCCTAGGGGAGGGACAGTCATCTTTACACTACATGTTACATTAACGTAAAGTCTCCATATCTAATTCACTGCACATTTTTGCAGATCTACACACACACACACACACACACACAATTAGCTTTTGCTGCCACTTGGTGTTAAAGGTACAAATTACAGATAACCTAACAAGCAGGAGTGCCACAGATATCCATTCTCATAAGAATCGACCTCATTGGCCAAGTAAGTGTGCACACAGTTATCTCAGCCATGTAATAACTATTTCGTTTGTAGATAAAGAGCAAACCCCCTGAGCAGTAGACGTTATGTAAACATCGTCTCTTCAGTGTCATCACTGTGTCTGCCACCTTGTTCAGAATCCAAAAGTTTAGCTTAGTGCTCGTCATGTAAGACAAGTTGTCAGCTCACACATTGTAAATGTTGACATTTTGCATGATACAGTGAGTGTGAAGTGAAGTGAAGCCTTAACTTTAGCATTAATGCACTTTAACTTTTTAATTTTTAACAAATGATTTTTTTTTTTGCATTAGAGATTCTATGACAACAATTTATGATGATATCCAAGAGAGACATGTGAAAGTCTACTTATCAGAACATTCCAAGCAGGCCCCAGCCAGAAGCAGAGATGAGGGCTACTGAAGGACTGTGAGTTCAGATAGCTTCCCCCTCATACATACATTTTCACTTGGGTTGTCACCTATCCTGTATAATGCAGGATTGTCACGCATTGAAAAATACAATTCAGTGGCCCTTACTGAATCAATTCAGGCCGTGATTTGTCCTGCACATCTGTGCACACCCTCTAATGCATAAACTATGGTTTCACAAGCTTGGAATGACATGAGAAACAATAAATCCAAAAGAGTTTCACAAAACAAAAAAAGTATTATATCAGAATTTGTGGACGAGAATGACAGAATAACTAGTAAGTCACTCAGTGTCATTGTTGCCATGGTTACAGAGACCCAGGCGCTCTGTTTTTTTAATTTCGGTGAGTCCAAACCAAGACTCAGTCAGTCCTGTCAGAGGAAGGAGTACTGCACAATTCAGGATGAAATCAAAAGATCATGAACAGGAAAATAAATGCAAGATGAATTAAACAGATCATCAAGAAATCCCAGCAGCGACTGTACCTCTTAAGAAAAATGAGGAAATTTGACATGCTTACTAAAATCCTTAGCTGTTACAGCTGTACAGTCTAGAGTGTCCTCACCAGTTCAGTCAGGAGCAGTCTGTCCATCCATTCAGGACACTTACAACAGCAGGGTCATCAGGAGGGCCAACAACATCATCAAGGACAGCACACGCCCCAACCACAGTCCAATTTGGCACAAATGTCCACAAATGGCTGATAGGATAAAATGTTGAAGTGATAACCTTAAATATCCAAAAGGTCAAAGGTCAACTTCACTGTGACATCATACTGCAAAAACACTTTTCTGGTCATTATTCAATGTCAAAACTCAGCAACAGAAAGGGAGACATTTGGTCAGATACTGACTCAGTGACACTAATCTTGGGTGTCCATCTTGACACTCTGCTGATTGTATAGATCCTCTGTAGATCCTGTTTAGATCCTCAACTACTGTAACTGCAACTTGACCAGTTCACTGAGGCATACAACTGTGAGGCAATAATTCTAGTTTACGCAGATTTTAAGGTACAGATGTGTGAGTTTACCTCACAGCAAAATAGCTCTTAACCTAAGGACAGGTGATTTAGTCTAGCATCAGTTTAAAAAGAGACTCAACAAGTTGCTAAAAGCGCTCTTTCTGAACGGGGCAGGCTTCAATGTGATGTAATGTAATGTTCTATAATTTGAGGTATATTGTAATGTGTAACTAACTAATGTACATTTTTCCCGTTTGTTCAGTCAGGTACACACCAGCCACACAAAATGCCAGAGGTGCAAAGAGTTAAAAGAAAAAAACAAAATCCATGTAAAGCAGCATATATTTGGTTTGGTTTTAAAGTCTGATGTTGTTAGTGCTTTTCAGAAGCCGCTGCAACACTGTTATCTGTGTCTTGGGAGACTGCTTTAGTGTGGCACTTTTGTCACACCTGACAGGAAACAAAGTGGGAGCACAAGAGAGCGAGAACAGGAAATGACAAGGTACAAGTTTTAATGCTTATTATGAGTCTGTTAGCAGAGTAGAGCAGCAGATATCTTCTTCTTAAAAATAATCTGTTATGCTGATCTTCTCACACCACCAATGACCATATTGTGCTTACCTTACTAAAATGCATGATAGTGATGCTGAGGACCACAACCCAGCTGAGGTCTGGAACCACATGATAAATCAGGAGGACTCTGATCATGTTGTCGACTCCTTAAATTCCTAAAAATAGTCTATTATACGGATCTTCTCACACCGTCAATGACTAGCCTATGTTGTGCTTAGCCTTAGAAGGAATACTGACAGTGATGCAGAGGCCTGGGAGTTTGAGACTTCTGAGTAGTATCTTAGCTGTTCCTAGGACTGCACTCTTCCTGACAGAGACCTCAGATGTTGTACCAGGAATCTGCTTGAGCCACTCTCCTAGTTTGTGGGTCACAGCCCGAGTGCTCCGATTACCACTGGCACTACTGTTGCCTTTACTCCCCACATCTCTTTTCAGCCCTTGGTATTTTTCAGGCTCCTGATGTTGCTGTTACTCGCGATTGCTACATCTATCACCACTGCCTTCCTCTGTTGTTTGTCCATCAATGCGATGTCTGGTTGGTTAGCCATCACCAGTTTGTTAGTCTGGATCTGGAAGTCCCACAGGATCTTAGCTTGGTAGTTCTCAACCACCTTAGGAGGTGTCTTCCATTGTGACCTTGGGACTTCCAGCCCATACTCAGTGCAGATGTTCCTGTACACTGTGTCAGCCACTTGATTATGATGTTCCATGTAGGCCCTGCTATTGTGCTGAACTGTCTCAGGAGCATCTTTGCACAGCCAGCACCTGGGGTCCTGTCTGGTGTGGTAGACCCCTGCTTCTATATCAGTCTTTAGGTGCGATAGCAGTTGTTGTTTGTGGATGTTGGAACACTGGGATAGGTGTTGTTTCCTTCTCAGTCTAGATGTTGGGTTTCATCCATATATCCCACATCCTCTGCATGTAGCCCCTTTCACTGGGGTTAGTTGTATAGTAGCTTTCCAACAGTTCCATATTCTCTGCTCTCATCCATCCATGTCTTGTTCCAGTAGCCCATTTCTCATCAGGTTGCTTTGGTTCCCCAACACCTGACGTGGACCTTGTTGACCCGGGCGACGTCCAAGCTGGTATGACTCTTGTTTTTGTGATTTCACTCATCCTAAGGAAGGCAGCATTATGGACCTTGACTAAGGGTTCAGACTGGATATTTGTTACCTACCCTGACCAGGATTCGAATCCTGCATTCAAATCAGCATAATGACTGACTTGTAACAGAGTATTTCCACAGTAGCAAGCTGAACAATGCAAAACCAATAGTTGGTATCAGTTTTTTGGTCACTGAGTATTGCTGTGACGAACACAAGTCTAAACTGAGAAATGGAGCTGTTTTTTCTGAAGTGCTAATGACAAACATGGCAGACAGAGGTTGCATTATGTCACCAGGATCCCCTCCTAAGTATCACACTACATACAAACATTATCATTTGATCACTGTCCTGATCCTCTGCCACGCCCGGACTTTCCAGTGGTCCAACCGTGGCAGAACAGTTTAGACAGTAACCCAAGCCAGAACAAACTGAGGAGCTAAAAATACCAACAGTCAACAATCCGGCTGCTGTGGGACTGAGACAGCGGGCATGGGAGGGTTAGACAGGCTGGCAGCGAGGGTAAAAGGATAGACAGCTGGGGCAAAGAGAAGTTGTGAGAGCTAGGACAGAAAACGGAGAGAAAATACGACTACAAACACCAACAAAACCAACATCCAGAACATTCCCCACCTATCTCTGCTTGTTATCCTCTTCTTTCATCTTTGATATTTTACTCACCGCTGCCTGGAGGAAATGAACTTTGCTCTCAGGCCTCCATCAGCAGGCAGTTCTGGGCCTGGTGCAGGCGGAGGAGCCACCATGGAGAACCTAGAGAAGCAGCTGATCTGCCCAGTCTGCCTGGAGATGTTCTCCAAACCTGTGGTCATCCTGCCCTGCCAGCACAACCTCTGCCGCAAGTGTGCCAACGACATCTTCCAGGTGAGTCTGGGATTTGTCTCACGTGGTAGATAAAGGATAACTTCACACACAAAATTAGGCTATCATTTGTAGCTATACCAAAAGCTTGCCTTGTATTACGTTCAATTTGTGAAGAAACCTTTTGTTTTCACATGCCTCCATGGTGAATGAAGAATCCAAAAAGAGGAGAAAACTTGTGAAAACTTTAATTCATCAAGAATTTTCTGGCATGCAATAAAAACAAAGTTTTCTTCAAGAATTCAAGATAACATTAACACTATTGGTTAATTTAATAATAGAGATATTTCAAAAACTCCTCAAATGTTTTGGTCTAAAAACTTAATCTGAAAAGTAATGAGTAATTATACACTCACTGGCCACTTGTACACCTGTTCAACTGCTCATTAATGCAAATAGCTAATCAATCAATCACATGGCAGCATCTCAACCATTTAGGCATGTAGACATGGTCAAGACGACCTGCTGAAGTTCAAACCGAGCATCAGAATGGGGAAGAAAGGTGATTTAAGTGACTTTGAACGTGGCATGGTTGTTGGTGTCAGACGGGCTGGTCTGAGTATTTCAGAAACTGCTGATCTACTGGGATTTTCACTTCACACACAACCATCTCTAGGGTTTACAGAGGAAAAAGAGAAAATATCCAGTGAGCAGCAGTCCTCTGGGTGAAAATGCCTTGTTGATGCAAGGATTAATGACTGTGTGCCCATCTCAGAAGACAAATACACCATGTACTGTAATCTGATCCTAGTATTACAAAACAGAAACATTATGAACTGCTCCAGAAGTTATCACAAGCTGAGCCATCACAAAGACATCCTAATGGGAACCTCCATGTTTTGGAATAGGAGGAGAAGATGGTGGTAGTTTATCTTTTACTCAGGAGCCATCAATGGACCTTTTTTTAAAAAAGAAAAAAAAAAACATTTTATTTCTCTCTCCTGTCTATCCAGTCAGCTAACCCTCTGTGGCAGTCCCGCGGCTCCTCCACCATGGCTTCCAGTGGCGCTCGCTTTCGCTGTCCTTCGTGCCGCCAGGAGGTGTTGCTGGACCGCCATGGGGTCTACGGTCTGCAGAGGAACCTGCTGGTTGAGAACATCATAGACATTTACAGGCAGCAGGAGTCCTCCAGGTGAGTGTGTATGTGTGTGCTGGAGGGATATAGAGTCACACTTACACTATATATATAAACCTTTAAATGAATACTTCACCCACAAAATGTCCACTTGTATATCCATGTTATGCTGAATTTGCAAAGAAAACTTTGTTTTTCTCACATGCCTTGATGATGAACAAAGACTCCAAAAAAGGAGAAAATTCTTGATGAACTGAAGTCATAGGGGTCCATGTTTAGTTCAGTAAACCTAAATCAAATCACCCGCTTGCAAACTTTCACACAACTGGTGCAGTATAATCAAAGTCTTATTGTGCTGCTGTCTTGGCCAGGCCTCCCTTGTAAAAGAGATTGTTGATCTTAATGGGACTTACCCGGTTAAATATGGATAAAAAAAATAAATAAATAAAAATCATATTCTGCGCCCCAAACACGTGCATTTTTGCTGAAACCTTAACATTTAAAAAAGGAACTGAAAGCAAAACTTATCTATGCTCTAGGCAGATGTTGTTATTGCACTTAATGTATGTAATGTCACCCAGACTGGAAATGAGAATTAGGACAGTTTATGAGGTAAGGGAGTTTAGAGTTGTGATGGCCCACGGAAAGAAACTGTTTGTAAGTCTGTTTGTCCTGCTTTTAATGCTGCTGTACCGCCTGCCGGGGAAGCAGTTAGGTGAACAGTGATTGACCAGGGTGGGAGAGGTCCTTTATGATTTTCCTGGCTCTGCAGAGGCACTGGGAGAGGAAAATGTCCTCCAGGGAGGGCAGAGAGATGATTTTATCTGCTGTGGAAATCACCCTCTGCAGTGCCTTCCAGTCTGCTGCCGTGCAGCTGGCACACCACGCTGTAACACAGTATGCCAAGACAGTCTTGATGTTAGAACGATAGAAAGCCACAAGCAGTTTCTTTTTCAGGTCCACCTTACGGAGCAGTCTCAAGAAACGCAACCGCTGCTGGGACGTTCTGACCACTGTCAGAGTGTTTGCTGGCCAGGACAGGTCCTCCGAGATGTAGGTCCCCAAGAACTTGAACTCCTCCGGTTATGAGGCCAACCACGGTGGTGTCATCAGCAAACTTAAAGATTGTGTTGCTGGAGTGGTTAGATGTACAGTCATAAGTGTACAGGGCATAAAGGAGTGGGCTCAGCACACAGCCTGGTGGGGAGCCGGTGCTAAGTGTGAGGGCGGAGGAGCAGTAGGGGCCGATTTTGGCGGTTTGTAGGCGGTCAGTGAGGAAGTCCTTGATCCAGACACAGATGGAGGGGGAGAAGTCCAAGTTCTGTAGCATGCCAATTAATATGCTCGGGATGATTGTATTGAAGTCACATAATAACATAAACAAACAAATTGATGGTGGCAGTGGTAGACGAGCAATGTTTTGTCAATGGAGTCTGGCATTGAGGAGAACATATATACATTTCACTTTCAGTTCAGTTTGAATACTAAGGTTTAAGCGAAAATGCATGTCTTTTGGAAGCACTGAGCATAGGATGGGATAAATGAGTTTTTGTGACTAATTCAGCATAACACAGAGTAAGTAATAGATATGCCAATGGTTATTTGGGGTGTAAAGTATTCCTTTAATGGCTAATAAGACACTATTATTTAACTGTAAGGAAACATAAGGACATTTTTAATCATCATTATTCATAAATACTCTAAACTGAACTATTTTCTGCCCAGTAGTTGTCAGTATTTACACCACATCTTCTAAACAGGTTTAACAGGAAGAAGTCTTAATATAGAATGTGAAGTAAGACTCTTCATGTTATTGTAATCATGAGTGGCCACCAACAGAGAGCAGTATTGTATTCTATTCAGACCACAGTCTTTGTTTAACAGTGATACAGAACTGATCCCTAGTGATGGGGTTTTATTCTGTTTTCATTGTAGACAATTTAGAGAGTTTAAGGCTTTGAGGCAGATAAAAAAACAAACCGGTACTTGCTGACATGATATATACGGTAGTTTTAAAGTGAGGGGATCATACGATAACACACTTTTCTGAGACTCTGCTTATTTGCATTAATCATCAATTAAATGATAGATAGATAGATAGATAGATAGATAGATAACGTTATTGTTCACCTCAGTGAAAATTTGTCTTTGGCTCCTCTCAAAAATCAAAGGTACAGGCAGACACACACCAATAAAAATGTACAATTAAACCATATACAAGATGCAATAGTGCAAATAGGCAGGTAGGACCAATAAATTAAATAAATAGTAAAAGAGAGCACATCTCAACTGGCTCTAGGGATGCTAAATCGACGCCCAGATGGGGGCAGGTCAAACTGTGAGTGTAATGGATGTGAGGCATTGGCAATTATATGTTTAGCCTTCCTGCATACAGCATTGCCAAATATATTGCTGAATTGGGGGGTTATTTTACAATACAGTTACAAAATGCTTGACATGGTTGAACCAGGATTAAAACATTTTAGGACTGCAATGAGGCACACAAAATTAGACAACAACAATAATATAAGATAAAACCCGTATTAATAAAACAGAAAAGATATGTTGTAAATAAAATGGTGTGCAAGCCTTAATAAAAAGCTTTTTGACATGTCTCTATTTATTCATTTTACAACTGTCAGTAGATCGAGAGGTCAAACTGAGCATCAGTCACACGAAATGTGACAGTTCAACACCACAGTGTCACCAGTTTTGAAACATGTCCGCTGTCTTGATTTTGTGTGTTACCCCTCAGGTGATGAATACCATTTTCTTTCTATATTTGCATTTTGATGCACTGTTTGTTTACTACAAGTTATAGATATGATGTGTGTGCATGGAAAACATACTAGGAAGGTGAAGGATGTCAAAGACACTGAAGAAGAAACATAAAGAATGGAGTTTGGAGTTGGAGTCAGTAGAAGTGCAGTGATGACGTGGCACGTGTTTAACACAGAGTTTGCAGGAACAATCTGTATCTCATTTCTGCACTGAGTTGTGCAGCAATTGTTGCATATTTCCGGCCTGAATTTGGTCATTCTTTTGTTAATCTATTAATCATCATATTGCTTTAAAATACATTGTGTTGTCTGAAGTCTATTGCTGCTCACAAATTTACATAAAGACTACAATGTTCCAAGTAGAAGCCTCTTCAGTCCATCTGCTTGTGTTTTTATAAGCGTACACACTTACTACAAGTCTACACTGATATTTAAGTCATCCTCACTCCAAAATAGAAGCTCAGTGAGTCACAGTTGGCATTCACTGGCGACAGAAGGACAGGAGTCCCCTCATTATGTGTGTGGGCTAAAATAGATGTGATTGTTCACAAATGTTTTGTAACTTGTAGTTTCTCATCATTTTTTTATGTGCGGAAAAAAACATCTCATTACTTAATCATCATTTCTGTCAGAGACACCTACGTCAGAGTACAAAGGACCCTTTATTGCATATTCCGTAACTTCCGTTAAATATGCTTTGCTTTTTTTAGGATGCTTCGTAGTGCCAATGCTACCCAACTGTCCCCACTGCCTACATGAAACAACTGTGACCTCGCTGTGAGGGCTGGGAAATGGTGTTTAATCTGGTTGTTCATTTCTGCTTGTATGATAATTAAAGGGAAGCTTTTTGGCTAATTGTCAGGTTCATACTTGTATTTTGGGTTTCCACTTTATTTCCCTCATACTGTCTGTGCTGAGACATCTGTATTCACCTTCTGTCTGAGACGCTCTGTTTTAGCCCCTGTTTCTTTAAGCCCCCCTCCCAAAAAAGCCCAGTCTGCTCTAATTGATCAGTGTTTTGGGGTCTTCCAAACAACCCTTAGAAACCCATAGAAACAGCACAGTTCTGAAGCCAATTTTACATAGTGGCCCATAGAGAGTATTTCCCATAGACTTATATTATAAAAGTGTTGCCTGTAAATCAGTGGATACATTTTTCTGAGCATCACAACCCCTGCAGAATGACTCATTTCACTCTGGGGATTTGATCTATTCTGTCTGATTACATTTAGAAAGTCTGGAACAGTGGTTCTCAAATGGTGTCAATCCAGGTATCAATGCAGGTGCCAATCCAGCTGCGCCGTGGGAATTTTGTGATAACCACACATTATAACTGCAATATTCAACTGGGCCTATACAAAAAGTTATGAATGAATTTTTAACTGTATCAGTATGTTGTGCATATCCATTTCCTAATAGGGAGGCAAAGACTAGCGAAAAAAAATAATTTAATTGAATTAATTTAAAAAACCTTCACTGGGAACCAATTTGTCGCTGTTTGTGCATGGGAATTATAAGTGTGTGACACATCAAAAGCCCTGATTGGCAGCCAGTGTGAGGCATGCTAACAATTAAAAGGAGAGAGGCCTGAGTGGGACAATAAATCGCTTTATTGTACGGAGCAAATTACAACAAAGCACCAGTGATGATGACCGACGACTGAAAGAAAAGAGAAAAAAAAAAAACGGTCCTTAGACAGTATCACAAAAGCTGTCTGTCTTATTTTTTCTTATATTTATTGTCTTATGTCGTGATAAGAGTGCTAACAGACCTTATAGAAGCTATTGTACAGATATAAATACAGGTGTGCCTTGAGATTTTGGCATGCCCTTTGGTGTGACTTGGGCAAAAACAGTTTGAAAACCACTGGTCTAGAAGAGCTGCATGATTAAATTTCTTTTCTTGGATTCATGCAATACCGAGCAACTTCCATAGGAATGAACAGAGCCCCGTTCAGCCTCTGATGCTGTGTCCAGTTCTCTTAATACATACATCCTTCTGCATCTCTGCGTCTTTGTGCAATCATTGCAGCTGGGGAAATTACTGTACCAGAGGATATTGGCACTTTCTACCATGAGAAATCACCAATTAAAGCTTCTAAACCAAAATCTTCATGGCAGGAATATGTTCTGAAATAAGGGAGAAATTAACATCAACAACCAAAATCAGTTCTCCCTGACGTTAGCATGTAGCTACATGTAGCAGTGTAGGCTAAGTTAAGTTGAACACTTGCAGTAGAGTGTCTGGAGCAGATGAACATATAAAGAAATCTGTCATGAGCTAATGTCAGCTTGTCTTAAAAGTTGAAAAAACAGAAACAGAGTATTCAGAACAGCCCTGAGATTTTTTCTAACATGGAATTACTCCCTATTTAAAACTTTGGTCACAGTTACTATGAACATCTGACACTGTAACATTATACTGATGACAGAAAATAGGGAAAAGCATAAAAGCTCTCCTTCAAATGTGTGGCCTTGAAATAATCATATAAAATGCACATTGACAGAGACAAATCTGAGAGGAAAATTACATAAAATCACACTAAAATACATTTCAGTCAGGATCACATGGAAAGCCAAAGGCAGAGGTAGCACACCTCTCAGCCCTTCTGCGTGCCTACGTGGAAAGCCTTAAGGCAGAGAGAGCACACCTCTCCACCCTTCCACATGCAAATGAGGAAAGCCTGAGGCAGGGAGAGCAAACCTCCCTGCCCTTCCATGCGCCTTCATGTAAAGCCTAAAGCAGGGAGAGCAGCAGCAAAGACCCCCCAGGAACAGTGATAAGTCAGATACAGCATGAAAAGGAGGAGCTGGGGTGGAGGCAGGTTGCAAAGCAGCTTGCAGAGGAAGCAGCAACAGTAGGCAGGTCAGAGCAGTTTAAATAGGGCACACAGAATGAGATTCACCAATTGGTTGCATAGAAAGGAATTATGTGATCTATCAGCTGACTCCCTTTCATCAATCAGCTGCTCCATCAGTTGATTGGGCTGTTTGAAATCAGCTGATGTAGCTGGGATGTGGGCTGAGCTTAAAATTGTGTCCTGCCTGAACTAACGCTTGGTTCAGTGTATTTATGGTGTCCTTTGGAGGTATATTATGGGAAGCTGAAATCCTCAGATAGCAAAGAAACAAAAGTGATCTCAGCCAATTTTTCGGAGTAGTTCTTACATCATCCCCTGACATGAAAAAATATGTCAGCAGTAACAGAAATAAAATAAGCTGGTTTAAGAATTGCAGACACTGTGTCACTAGAGCATGGAAATCTGGCCTTTAAGAGCATTTTAGGCACATTATAATAAGTGCATCACAATGATGGCCAGTAGCAAAGACACCTGTGCTTCGATATTCTTTTTGCCAAAGAATAAATACCCTACCTGGAATTATCTTGTAAGAAAAACACAGGATGTACCTCTGGGCAGAAAATGCTGATTTGTTTGAGCAGTGTGAAAACATGAGTTACTCTTCCACACTTGGACTTAAAGTACCTCAAGGTTAATGTCTGCCCTTTGTTATGACTAAACTTTTAGTTTTTGAGCTTAACTCTTGTTACAAACTTTGGAATTAAAAACAAGTCAAAACACTTTATTTCTCATTAGTAGAGTATATATTTTTCAAAAAGCTGTGCATGAACCTTTTGATGATCCATTTCTCCTTTTTGTCTCGTCCAGGCTTATGAACATGAAGCCAGAGCAGCAGCAGCAGCTGTTGTGTGAAGAACATGAAGAGGAGAAGATCAATATCTACTGCCTGTCCTGTGAGACGCCAACCTGCTCCATGTGCAAAGTGTTTGGAAAACACAAAGACTGTGATGTCGCACCACTCAGCAGTGTTTACATGAGACAGAAGGTAAAGAATCGACTTCATTATGTGAAGGTGTTAATATACTCAGCTCACATCACTCCGGTTTATAACGCCACTTCACTTCACCTCTTTTTACATGACCCCACTCCACATCATTTCACTGCAGTTCACTTCGTATCACTTTACTCCACTTCACGCTACTTAGGGTGCTTTCAGACCTAGAGTTGTCTTGCTTTGGTCCAAATCAGGAACTAAGTTTGTTACAAAGTTGTATAATTGCCTAGAGTTTGTTTGTGTTCTCACGACAGCATTTACAAGCAGGCCAGATAAAATGCCTTGCACAAGAAAGCTGCTCTTGATTGGTCAGAATTTCCATGTGGGAAAAATCTCGAAAGTAAACAAAACGTCAAGGTGCAAGATAAATGTGACACTTCCTAATGTCACAATGGAGGGACAACTACGCAGGTTGATTTTAGCGCTGGTTATTGTGGACTATATTGCTGTCATTGTTCATTTTAGTCAAACCATACAGTCTGAAAACGAGGCGCAGCTCCAAATAGAAAACAATGGTTTGATGCATTGGATGTGCTGAATGTGCATATTAAGGCAGTACAGGAGGAGGTGCACATTAATAATCCTCCAGGACTGTAACATGCTCATGTTTAACCCAAACAATGTGTCATGTGACTGCAGTTGGTTCAGATCGAGGTCAGAACACATTCTCACCACAAACGAACCGCACCAGAGTTAGTTTATAACCGGACCAAGACCACCTCTTCAAGAACATCTCAGTCCGAATGTTTTGGTGCGCAACCAAACCTGCACAAATGAACTGCACTTAAGGGGCAAACAAACTTGAGTTTGATTGAACCAAACCAAACAGGGAAGGTGTGAAAGCACCCTTAAGCTCAGTCCAATAAGCCTCACTACCTTTAGACTACTTGTCTTCGGAATCAAAAACAGAGTCCCGTTTTTTGCAATTAGCTTTTCACATTCAAGACATTTGCTTTGGTGTTTTGTTGCACAAGAAAATGAAATTAAAGATAACAGCAAATGTTGCAAAAATCAAGAAACATATATACAGAATGAAGATAATCCTCATGAAGACATGAAAAATAACTTTGAAAAGAGAGACAAAAGCAAGCAAGAGATAAGAAGAGCTGTGCAGTCTTCAGAAGTGGTAGCTTCGCACTACTTAACTGCTTAATTTTTCCTTACTCCACTTACTCAATTTCACTTAACTTCACTCGAGTGAAGCTTCACACCATGCCACTCTACTCACTTTTCTTCACTATTGTCTACATCAGTTCACCTTACATCACCTTACATGTACTCCACTGTACTGCTATTTCCTTCTAGTTAATTTGGTGAATTTCATTTTCTACTCATCTTCACTGCTCTTTCCTTCACCCAGCTCCACATCACTGCTCTCCACCTCACAACACTCATCACTTCACTTCTTTCACTTCACTTTCAGGCAAAGCAACAAAACCAGAGGCAGATACATTGTTGTTGTGTATGTTGGAAGTAATCTGGCAGTTTTTATTTTGGAGGTTTTTATCTCTAACTAAAGCTGAAGCTTATCTAAAGGTCAAAGAACCATCAAAGAGTGTTTACAAAAGTCTAAACTCGTGTGGGCGACTTGATGGTCTTTATCCTACATGCTTCTCTCTGCTTCTATTTTTAAATCTTACTTTCCTTTTCTGTTCGGTTTGTTTGGTGTTTCTTTCCAAGATATAACACAAACTGAGATACACACTGATCTACCACCCAGTGCAAATGCACAGTATATAAGTGAATACTGTATAACTACTGACTAGATACTGGCATTGGAAATTAGCAAAAGCCCTAAATGCTGACAGTAATACAGTGCACTGAATAATTATTTTGCATTTCTCTGTGTATATTGTATCAAATAAACACTTTTTTTTTTTAATTAAATCCAGTATGCAGCTTGGTCATCATCAGGTCAGTTGTGATGATACCAGACTTATTAACTTCTACATTAAATATATCTCATGAAAACAAATAATTTACTTAGTTGTGGAGACACAAAGTCACACAAAGACAAAGTGCAGCAGTTTTGTCATGCAGATGGCAGCAGCAGCAGCGTCCGGCTTGTTATTGAGCAGTTGGCTTTGTTGACATTTCAGTGCCGGCCTCTCCATCTCTCACTCTGTCCTCTGATTCACTCATCTGAAATTCAGATGAGGTTGATGAAAGTTGTTGATCCTCCATCTTCACGCAAAGGTTAATCTGAAAAACAAAAGTTTGTGGTTTAATTTGGCCCAGATAGAGGATGAGTGTTTGTTACACTAATAAATGACACTAAAAAGGTACAGAAGCTGTAAAGAAAAATGTGCATGATGTCATGTGATACTCTAAACAGATGCACACTGGTGACTCATGTTGTTGTGCTTTAGGCAGTGACAGGCTCGCTAACTAGAAAGTACTCAGAGTGCATTCCTCCGCCAACACTGCACACAATAAATGTGTGTTTTTAACCCTTTAATGTTTTGCTTAACCGTTTGATAAAGGACATTTGTAGTCACTTTATCTTAATAAAAAATGTGTTGAATTTAATTTAACTTGATTGAGCTATCTCTATCATTTGGTTTAGGTAGGTTATGCAAAAAAAAAAAAAAATAAATAAATAAATAAAAAATTAGATGTTGCTGTGTCTCTAAACAGTATGCCTTTGCAGAAAGTTAGTAACAAAAAAAGTCACTCCAGACATGAGCCCTCTTTGTGGAGGGATTTTTTTCAACATGTCATAGTTTCATAGGTCTAACAGAACAGATTTATGTAACTTAATACAAAAAATAAAAATCTAATAAAGGAAACTTTGTGGGAGTTTTTATATTCAAACTGATGTAACATCCTTTTTGGTCAAGATCAACAGTCAGTCACAAGAGGACCGTCAACAAAACAAACAGAAAGACAATGTACGCGCACCTCTGTACATATATGTTAGGACGTAATGTGTTGCTGGGTGATTCTTGATGCAGTCAAAACAGTCCTTTTAGTTTCACAGCATTATGTTTTCAGAGGAATGTTGGTATCTAAATGTAATGTCAGTGATGTTCTGAATGTTTGCAGACAGACCTGAGTGACAGCATTGCAATCCTGGTTGCTAGTAACGACCACGTCCAGGCAGTCATCTCTCAGATGGAAGATATCTGCCAGGCTGTGGAGGTTAGACACGCACATGCACAAAAGGAAACTTTTTTCATTTGGGATTTTCGCATATTTAGACACCTTGTTATGTAATGTTGTCCATGTATCAGTCAGTACTGAGTCCTGATGCAATTAATTTCTCTACAGACAGATACAGTGCACACTTGAAGTAGGTCTGCTCTGAAATTAGTAGATAAGCATGCAGCACAAGCAGATGTTCATGAAAGGGGACCTATTATGCTTTTCCTTATTTGCTGTCGTATATATAATGTTACAATGTCAGCTGTTCATATGGAACATGGCCAAAATTTCAAATAATGAGGTAAACGTATATAAAACTAATCCCTGTGAGCAAAAACCTCAGGCTTCAGACCATTCTGAATACTCTGTTACTGTGCATTCACACTGGGCGCGAGTGAAGCGAATTACTCGCTCGTAACGCGCCGTGCGTAACGCGTGAGTTTGGCCGCTGGACCATTTTGTTAATTTGCGTTATCGCGTCAGTCGCGCAAGTAGCGAGCCCGCCCATTTTCACTAGATAACAACATCTGGCCCGCCATTCTCTCCTCAACCATGGTTGAGATAACCACCATCGCTGCTTTGTACCTGCTCTGGAAGTCCAAGATGCATCGGAGGGCCAAACTCTGTCGTTTTTGGGTTCACCCTATCCTGCAGAAGTGCATCCAGCTCGACGAGTTTCACCACCTCCTTCAGGAACTCCGTCTGGATGATAGCCGCTTTCAGCGGTACTTCAGGCTGACTGGGGCCCAGTTTGAGGACCTGTTGGCGAGGGTTGGCGCCAGGATCTCCTGGCAGGACACCAACTACCGGTGCTCCATTTCAGCTGCGGAGCGCCTGTCCATCTGTCTCCAGTGAGTAGCAGTTTATTGTTGTGTCAACAACTGGACGTCACTGGACGGCACACCGTCACGCGAATTCACCTCAAAAGTTCGATATTTTCAACTCGAGCGATGAGGCGATGGACGCGAATTTCGCAGCTATCGTGCCATGCCTACGTGTCTATTGCGTTGCGCTAGACGTGTCCATCACGCCGCCCGGCGCAAATTCGCGTCTAATTGCGTCTTTGCATTGACTTTGTATGTAATCTCGATGCGCAAATTTGCGAATTCGTGCTTGGTGTGAACGCACAGTTACTCAGTTTTTCTTCTTTTAAGACAAACTGATGTAAAAAAAAAAGGACAGAGTTTTTAATATGGTCATCTGCTTCAGGCATGCAACTTAGTTTACATTACATTACATGCTAACATAAGAAAACATGCAATCTAAACTGCTACATGTAGCTACGTGCTAATGTCCGGGAATCATATAGTCTTAGTTGCCTACACTGCTACATGTAGCTACATGCTAACTTCAGGGAAACATGTAATCTTAGATGCCTACACTGCTACATGTAGCTACATGCTAACGTCAGAGAATCATGTAATCATAGTTACCTACACTGCTACATGTAGCTACATGCTAACCTCAGGGAAGCATGTAATCTTAGATGCCTACACTGCTACATGTAGCTACATGCTAACGTCAGAGAATCATGTAATCTTAGTTGCTTCCTGCAGTTTCTTTGTATTGGATTATAACTGTAGTTGTAGTAAAAGAAAGCAGATTATAATTTTCTTCATACCTCAGGAGAACGGTCGGCGACAGAGAGAGCATCTGGCCGACAGATTTGACAACCTGGTTGCCATCTTGGATGAGCGGAAACGGGAGCTGGTGGGGCTCATTACCAAACAACAGGATGACAAACTCAAACGTGTTCGATCTCTCATTAGTCAGCACAGTGATCACCTGGAGGCCGCAGTGACGCTGGTGGAGTCGGCCATTCAGTCGATGGAGGAGCCACACATGTCTTTGTTTGTACAGGTGAGTAACACTTTATATCAGCTGGTTCCTGCAGGTTGAGTTAGATGATTGGACAGTCTCCTTAGTTTCTTTTTTCTTTTTTTTTCTGTGAATTTTTGGGGGCATTGTGACCCAACTGATCCAAAAACTACAAAATCACCCAGGGAGAACAAATATGTTAAAGGTAAATTCCTATGTGTTTTGTATCTTTTCAATGTGATTAATTTTAGGCAAAGAAAAAGAAACCAAAAATCATTTTCAGAAGGCTGAAGAATTAAAAATATCCTTTATCTAACAAGATTAGAAGCAGAAATTTGAATCAAATATCAGGATACAGTCTTAAAGAAAATAATCATAATTTTGTGTATCAGTAAATCTGTTTTTCTCATGACTTTCTATCCAGTTAATTATCCAGGTTTATGTTGCCTCACTTTCAGAGGATCCAGTGCTTTATAAATTTCAGGCCTCCCAATTTAAAATAACTGAACAATGATGAGTAAAATCTTTTAAGCACTAAACATTTTATTGATACTAAACATACAGTGCATTTCTATTACATCAGCAGTAGTTTGCATAAAAACAAACTTACCTCACACATCACATGCTCCTCTGTCATTGAAAGTTTCCTTCCGCCCATCTATATTCTTCCAACCACAGGTTTTGTTTGACAGGATGATCTGTGCTTAGTAGTCACCGGGCCATGTCTGCTGTTGCTGCAGATGATCAAGGGCTTTATGTGCATAGCTGCAGGGTGAGGAGGAAACAAGGGGCAGTAAGCCCAGCGGGATGCCTCTGAGTTCCATAAAACCCCCCTGAGGACAGCTCGGTCTCTGGTCTTTCATACCTTAAGACACAGGCACACACACACACACACACACACACACACACACACACACACACACACACCACAAACACATGATTGTGTATTGATCAACCAATTGATCACATGCACTTACAGAAACAAACCAACACATTCTCACTCCGACCTTGTCACATATCAACGTTTTTGGTCATGGAATTTCCATGTCCACATATGACTTGCAAAGTACCCTGGGTGCGTTGGTTGTCTGATGTTCTGGGACACCGTGTCAACTTCTGCCTGTTACATGCACTGTCTTCTTTCTTTACGTCGGGACAACACGGTGAATTGACATTTTTTTTCTTCAACAAAAAAACATGGTTGAGTTATGGTTTAGAATCTTACGGAAGCGAAAACCACTCTCTTGGGTGAAAGTTGGTGTTTGTAGGACCCACCTACCACCCTTCCCGCCCATCCCACTCGGACTTTTGCTGCCTTAACTCTGTCCTTGTCCTGCCATGTTTACTCTGTTGAACTTTAACAGCAATCGGCCGCGTATTATGCTGACGTTAAAGGACGCCTTATTTCGTTGGTTTCTGATGTCAGAAGTCACTGCCCAAGCGCCAGATTTCGACGACTTCAGTGTGAGACCAGGCTCGTTTGATGGAAAAAAAAAACACACAGTCAATACACTGACTTCTACATCTCATGTCTACAACAATAAATTGAAATTGAATTATTTTATTTTGAAGGTTTAAACTGAAATATCAATTTGCTCATGTAACTAACCGATCAGATTTTTAAGTAGCTTTACCTTTTTATTGTCCCATGGACTTAACACTGTTTTAGAGGCTTTTCTACTGTGAGAACAACAAATCTTGGGGTGAAACACTGAACACATCAGATTTCACTTGGTGAAATTTATTCATGTGTTGTGTTAAAAAGCATGTAGGACAGGAAATAGAAGCATAGGTAGGAAGGCTTCTAAACAAACTGTAAGAGTTAGCATGGCTAGCGTGCTAACAGCAGCAGTCCACAGAGTTGTAAATTATACAGGTTTTACTTAGTACCAGGGGTCAGCAACCCTTTCTACCAGAAGAGCCATTTTTGGTCCAAAAAAATAAATTAAATCTGTCTGGAGCCACAAAATCTATTTCAGACCTATCATACAGGTAGCACAGCCTTCTGTATTAGCTTATCAACATTACTAATAGGTCTAATCATTAATGTTTTACCATAAGGTGGCTCCTCTGCAACAAAATATCTATGAATATTTGGTACCTTGCAGCCAAAGTAAACACATCTGTCCATGCACTATTAAATTCAATAGTTTCCCCCAAGACAAAAACAAAGTTTTCCTCACAAGCGTAACACAGGGTGAGTAATTGTTATCTAAATGGTCGTTTTGGGGGCTAAAGTTTTTCTTTAACAGAGTCTAAATTTTGTCACATTTCAGTCAACCCCTAAATCTTTAATGAATCAGTGCAGGAAGGACCCAAAATGCAGAGCAGCAGGCAGATTTGAGGTTTAACAAAAAGCGAGCTTTAATAAAGGTGATAAAAAGCATCCAGAACAGGCAGGTACCAGAAAGTCCAAATGCGAGAAGAACCAAAACTAAACTGAAAACCAACCGCGATAATAAGATGAACTGAAAAAATCCAAACATAACACAAGACATCAGGCAGGAAACAGAGCAGGGAACGACACCAAGAACACAGGAATGAACTGACGAACGCACAGGTATATATACACAGAAAAAGAATCACAAGAACGACACACAGCTGGAGTAGGAGGGCACAGGCGAAAGGAGGGAAATGGAGATTGGCTAACAACAAGGGTGTGGTTGGGAACACGTGGGTGGAGCAAACAAGAGTAATACAGAACAGGTGTGAAGGGAAGACTCTGGGAACAGGGAAGGACTAACGAGACAGGTGTGACAGAAAACAGGCATAAAAACACACAAAGACAGAAAGAAAAACCAGACATGACACATGAGGAGAGAATCTACAAAATAAAACAGGAAGCAGCTAAAACATGAATGAATCAAGGAACAAAAACAGAAACTTCAAAAACAAAGTCCAAACAATAACAGCATATACACAGAATCCAAGGATCGTGAGAGAATTAAGCTTGTTTTGAAAGTAGTAGTAATTATGACACAAATGTGGAGTTTCTAAGTAACCTTTGTGTGCTGAAAATACAAATAAGGACAGCAACTAAAACTGTAAAAGAAATGCCTTTCACTATTTTCCAGAGCCCAAAGCAATACCTTCATGTTGCTTATTTTGTTACACCAGCAACCAAAAACATAATTATTTTACAAAGACAGTGCCGTTATAAAACAATCAATATTTCCTGAATGAGAAGCCAATCTCTCCTTCTCTCTCAAACTGAGCGGACATTGGAGATCCTCATGATTTTGTGTGTCAAAGTTCAGTCAGATTGAAGACGTGGGGTCAGTTTGCAATACCAATGAGTACCAATCTGTTTCTATAAAAATACATCCCCTACTACAGCTGCAAATTTGATTTCTCTCTGACACCTGCAACGTCAGAGTGAGCAACATGTTGTCTTGATACAAACAAACAAAATGATTGCATCACAAGGGTCGGAATAAATTAACTCTGAAGAATCTAAATTCTGCTCAAAATGATGCACACGACAAATCGTTTCATTGTGACTTTACCCTCTTGAACTCTTGAAGCTGTTTAATCACTTTATTCCTGAGCTAATGACATTGTCAGTAAAAGTTAATTGATTACTCAATCAACAGAAAATTATCTGACAATAACTGTGATAAATGGTTTATTATGTGGGTCATTTATCAAGCAAAAGGGCCCATCAACTGTTTCAAGTGGTCTTTCTCTTTTATATATCATTGTAAAATAAATATGTCTTGGATTTTGGACTGTTGGTCGAACAAAACAAGCAGTTTGAAGATGCAGCACTGGGCTCTGGCAAATTGCGATCACTATTTTTTTTAATTAATTGGACATATAATCATTAGTTGCAGCCCTAATTTGTATTTTAAGGACACAAAAGTTACTCCGAAATGCCACCATTTTTGGCAGACTGACTCGTGACTCGTGATGGAGCTTGAGGGCCGAGTGAAACGTGACAAAACTTTAAAAGTTAGTTAAACTTGACAGCAGACAGATGGAGGGTCCAACCTCGGTCGCCTCTGAAGAGACAAGCAGGTTGTTACTAAATTCAGCATCCTTACTGCTGATGCAACGTGCCTGCGTCACTGCATTTCCACTGAGGAAAGTGTGTGTTTGTGTGTGTGTGTGTGTGTGAGAGAGAGAAAGTCTGAGCCTCAGGTGTCGCTGTTTTATGTTCACCCACATCCTCTGCCAGAGCAGGTGTTAAAGGAGATAGAGTTAGTGGCAGCAGGTAGTAAACACCATGAGGCCACTCTGGCAGCTGGCAGTATTTCTTAACATCATGTTTTTTTTTTTTTGTTTTAACACGGTGACACGTCTGACAAATACTTGTGACTGATGTCGTTGGCACAGACAAGTGAAGCACAATGTGATTAATTTTGTCTCTTTGCTCTTTTCTGTCCGTCTTCTTCACTGTCACAGAACGCCCAAGTCATACTGGAAAAGTAAGTCGAGTGTTGTCTGTGGTGAAGCTCTGATTCTGCATGTAGTGAATGCGTTCAGATTTTCATAATTAATTCATCAGTAACTGAGTGTATTTATTTTAGAACTATTCTGAAGTTATTTATTTGAGTATTTACATTATTGCTACTTTATACATTTTAGAGGGAAACATTGTACGTTTTACTCCACTACATTTGAGTGACATTTTTAGTTGCATGTTATTCAGTAGATTTTAAAAACCTATGATAACAATGTAAAATATACGGAAGAATAATTTTTTCTTAAAGGTTAAATCTGCCCTTGTTTTTCTGAATTAATGACTATTATTTTGTTAATTAAGAAAAACAGAGCAACAGATTTTCTTCCAAGTTAATGCATTACACCTCATCAAAAATCTTTCTATCTATCTAAAAGTATAAAAAAGTAGTTCCACCTCAGCCAGCCACAACATTAAAGTGTTGCTTCAACAGTAAGAATGATCCCATGATATAGTATGACAATGTAAACCTGTAAGGGTCCATACAGTATTACAAGTAGTTTTACTTTTCATACCTAAAATGAGCACTCAAACATTGAGTACTGCATTCCATTAATTGGAGTAATTAAAAAGATAATTTTCTTTCTTTCTTTTTTTTTTTTAAATAGTCAGAGCCAAAGCAAAGATAGCAAAGATAGTTACAACCTCCAAATAGATCCTACATTTCCCATAATGCAGTATGATATCAACCTTTGAGTCATTTAAGTCTCTTAAACTCCATACTCACAGGTTGTAACATCCGCCCTCTAGAAAAAATAAAAAATAAAATAAAATAATCAATAATACATTAAATAAATACATTTTAATATGTTATATTTATTTATTATTTAATTTAGATTTATTTGTAAATAAAATTGTATTTATTTATTTTATTTTTCGCATGACAACATAATGGAAAGAAACCTACAGAGAAATAAAACATTTTACCTGGGGTTACCTTTCACTTAATGGTAAATGGACCTGCATTTGTATAGCGCCTTTTTAGTCATCCAACCACTTAATATGCTTCTTACACTACAAGTCACATTTACCCATTCACACACACATTCACACACTGGTGGCTGAGGATACCACACAAGGGGTCACCTGTTACTCAGTTTTAAACACACTCACACACTGGTGGGAGCAGCCATCGGATCAAACAGTCAATCATCCGATTGGTGGACAACCTGCTCTACCACTGAGCCACAGCCGTGTGGTCTGTTTGTTACTGTCTTACTGCAACAATTTAACTCTCAAGAGACGTCAGAACGAGACTTCTCAATGAGCGAGATTTGATTAAACACAATAACAAACAGACCGATCAAGCAAAAAGTAAAGAAAAAAGGTTTTATTTCGTTGGCAGACACTTAAGATAATAACCTGAGCCTGTCAGTGGACAGTAGTGGATGTACATTGACAGTGTGATATTGACCTGAAGGATTACAGGATGTAGGATGTAGTTTCCCTTTAAATACAGTACTTGAGTAAATGTGTTTCATCAGTTTCCACCTCTGCTGGTATACAGCACTGTGTTGCCTCGTGCTAACAGTCATCAGCTCTGTGACATTTAGTCATTTTACATACATTATGTAGCAGATGATCAACTTGTTGCTAAGAGATCGAAAAACCAAACAAATCTGCTCTGAGCGCTGCCGTCAGTGAGCGGCCACATGGGGATGAGATGGAGGTCAATGTGTTTGTGCGTGTTTGGTGTGCGGACGGATTGAGACAATATATTGGCCTTTAATTTCAAATCGACACCAGTTATCTTTGAAATGGAAGTTTATCTGATAAAGTATTGTTGGATTTACTACTACTACACTGGTTGCAGATTAGACACCTTTAGTATGAAATAAGTCAATTATATATGAGTGTATATATGAGTGAGTCTTATAATATAAAATGCTGTGTGTTGACAGAATGGCAGTGACAGCCCGGACCTCTAATATGGAGCGTCCAGAGCTCGGTTATGAGAGTATGAGTCACTTAGTCATCGATACTGACGACCTCGCTGCCATGCTGAAGAACATTGACTTCTGCTCTGGTACGCACAGAGGTACAACATAAAACTAAAGTGTTATCATGTTGGTTACTTAACAAAGACAGTATGAGGTAGAGGAGCAGTGATGGAGGAAGAATGTTTAGTTTATTAAAAGTACTAATACCACACTGTACGCATACATATTCTGTACGCAAATGTACTTAAAGTATTATAAGTATTCAATGCAATGTGTGTGTGTGTGTGTGTGTGTGTGTGTGTGTGTGTGTGTGTGTGCATGTGTGTGTCTATAGGTGTGGGAGATGATGGAGAAGAAGATCCCGAAGAAGGTGTAGAAGAGTCAGAAGTTGACTTCTTCTCCAGATATTAAACCCAGAACTGAGGTAGCCGTTGCTTTTAATGACTCGTGCAGATACAGACCTTGCAAAGGTTAAAACTGTGATTCTAACAGAGGGCGGATACAAAGTGTTTGTTTCGGTTCTGAGTCTCCCCGTCAACCTGTATTGATGAATTGATGAGGGTTCTGCTTGGCCAGGGCTTTGTGGTGTGTTTGATTTCAGTTTAGAAAGTGTCAGACCCCTCACATTAGTTATTCAGCTTCAAGTGCTCTGTCACCAGTTGGAAAGGAGGTACCTGCAGCCCCGTCTCTCCTCTTGTCAAATGTTTTTTTTGCGTTTTATACACAGTAATCGACTCACGTTAGAATGAAGAATTGAACTGAAAAAGTTTAGCGAGAGGGGCTGAAAAGGAAATATTTTATTTGTTAATTTAGTCGTGAATTTTAGACCTGTCTGCACTGTTTTGGCGAGAATCAAATCTACAATTTTTACAAAAAAATAAAAGCAAACTCAAGTTCCACTTACTAGGCTTTTCTGGAGATTTCAAGTGCATTTAATGGTCTTCATCAGCAGGTAGAGTTTGCTCAGCTATCACAGAGGCCATTCACATCACACACCAAAGAAAGGGACAGAGGTCAAAAAATAAAATCAAACTTTTTCTCATTTTGCTGAATAAGATTTTCTTGGAATCTACTTACTTAAATACAGATAAATTATAGCAGTGGTTCCCAACTGGTCCAGCCTCAGGGTCCAGATTTCTCCTCAAGGTCCACACAGTTTAATGTATTTAGTGTCATACTTGCGTTTGGCCATGTCGTCGAGTTAGTTTGCTGTCTCTGTCAAGAACCTGTCTGTTAGTCACTCATGCTACAGCAGGAAACAGCACTTCAGAATAAGAGCTCTGTGCCAGAAATTCACTGTACTTAAAAATAAAGTTTGTTTTTTAGAAACTTTTAGAAACACATTTGCAAGTCATTTGTGGTCCTTTGAGAATGGACCCACGACCCACTTTTGGACCATGACCCACCAGTTGGGAACCACTGTCTTAAGGGATTGCTTTGAGTAATATAACAAACACAATCCCTAAACGCAGATGAATTATAGTATTCACTATAAATAATTGTCACTCCCTTATTAACTTTAATATATTTATAAAATAAACATATTTGTTAAATTTTCACTTTCTTGCACTTCGATAAAATTTAGCCTCAAATAACTGACAATGGTTGTTGATTATTTACTTTTTCATTGTGCATAGTATCACATCATTTCTTGGTGTTAGAAGTTAGAAATAATTTAATCTTTTAATTCTAGTTTTTTTTTTTTTTTACACTGTAGGTGCTGTTTAGTGGTTGCATAGCTCCAACAGCAGCCACAGCCGATAGCTAATCGGCCTGATGACCAGGCTACATTCATCAGGTCACCGAAAACATGATTCCAAATGACTAATTATGTTGCTCTGTAACTTCCGAATGTGTGAATATACAACTGTTTGCTAACAAGTTTGCCATAGGTGCGTTCCAATACCCATACTACCATACTATTTAGCATACCGGAAAAAGACTTAGTATGTCCCAATACAAAGTGTGTCAAATGCAGTATATTTTTTTTTTGGCTATTCTTTCCCACAATCCTCTGCGTAGTAGAAGATGCATCAAATCAACTGAGCTGAAGATAGATGACAGCTCATCGATAGCAGACAGAGACTGGCTAAAACTACATACATTGCAAAGTAACAACAGCGGAGCTCTCTAGGTTGACCTCCATCTCTGGCCAGCTTGTCAAATGCTGTTTCGTTGTATCTCCAAGGTAATGCTAACGGATAACGTTAAGGCCTGCTGCATTCCAAATTACATACTGTTTCATTTTACTGCAACAGATATAAGAGCAAGACAATCGAAAATCAAGGCACAGTGTTATTACAAAGTGGTATGCCCAGTTGTATGCACACTCCATGCAACAGTATGTACAGCAGCAGTGCAAACTGAGAGTAAAAAGACAAAGAACATGGGGTGTGTGTTTGCTATTTTTTTCCACTACCCAAAAGTGGCCAAAAAATTAGGTACTGTGTGTTTAAGTGGATTGTTTTACATACTGTATGTATGTATACAGTATAAATTCATGGTGCATTATTGCTTGACTTGTGATGTCTTTTAAGTGCAAACTTCATGAAATGCTACATATTTAAAGTGTTTCAATCAACATCCTGCAGACATACAAGCTTCTAAGAAAGCAAAAGAAAGCGACAGCTCTCAAACTGAAGCAGTGCAAATGTGTCAGAGCCTGTTTATAGATGTTCTTGTTGCTCCGCTGATGAATTATAATATTTGGGAATGTGCAGAGTCTGAAGTCAGCAGCAGCAGTGGCGGCGGCAGCTCGCTGTGTATCATACAGAGGGGATGTGTGAAACCAGCTCTAACAAGACCACTTACGTAAAACAGAGCTGCAGAGAGCAAAGGATTCCCCTCATCCGCACAGAAAGGCGACAGCATAGGCGTATTGATGCTGACTCAGTCAAAAATAACAGCATCCTCCTCCATGCTGCATTTGTGTGACATTAGGCCGAGCAGCTGGAGAGTCACTGGTGATTGTTTAGACGTAGGATGATGACACTGATCTCATGATATTCGTCTTTTGTTTTTTACTCGAGGTCCCCGCTGCAGTCCTGGAGGAATGTAAAACAGAGACGGAAATAGAGGTTTACCATAATCCTCTGGAGGAAATCCATGCAGTGTTCAAGAGTGAATTCAGCCACATGAAAACAACAAAGACAACATGAAAAAAAAAACACTAAATGATTGATTGAATTTACACCTTTCTTTACGTTATCCATGTGAGTTTCCTTCTGCAGCAGACCACATGCAAGACTTGGACAGATTTTTGCCTCCCACATTGTTGCCTTTTGTTTGGTAAATAAAAAATCCAGTGTGTTGTGTATAAATATATCTATCTGTGTAAAGCTCACAGGAAATGTATACCATGGATTTAGCACTGTATTCTGTGTTGTGGGAGGGTAAAAAGATTTTGCTCATGTGTTTCTTCAGGATTTAAAGCCCTTATATAGCTTTTCTGTCACAATACCTCCTAAAGGCGTCTGTAAAAGACTACAGTTTTATAATTCTTGTCAGATGTTATGTAAATAAATAAAAAAAAACTGTGTGAGGATTAAAGTCAGTGAGATAGAGATGGTTCCTTTCTGAGTAGACCCATTTTAACAGGGTGTGCTTGCAGCTCAGAACTGATGGTAAATTACTTTGTCAATGCAACAGCATATTGTCCTTTTTATATTTTCAAATAGAAGAAGAGAATTGTCCTTTTTAAATGCAAAAATACAGGAAAATGACACCACCAGTGAACAGGATGTAAAGCTGAAAGAGTGGGCAGATAAGCTTATTACTGTAGGTAGTATTACAAATGACTGTGGGAGGGATTTCCAAAACAAGCCTTTCAGAACTACCCATACGTCGCATATGGACAGTCTCTGACTTCCTACCTCTGTGGTGGTGAAGGTTTTGTTAGGTTTGGGCACCTGACTCTGCTTTGTTTAAGGAAGAGGCTCGTGATATTCTGTATTTCTTTTATTGTCAGCATGAATAAGAAAAAACCCAACTATGAATTGATACATATAACATGTATTGTCTTATTCCTTAGTGTCATAGAACTCCATTGTTGTTCAAAAACGACATCAATTAGCAATGCTACCATAAATACTCACAAGAGCATCACGTGGATTAATCCACTACACACTGAAAATAGTCCCCATAAAATGCGCTGTTCACTCCTGTTGAAGTCATGTTTTTGGACAGAAATGCTAACATGCTAAGCTATGGTAAACATGGTAAACATTATCCCCGCTAAATATCAGCATGTATGCATGCATACGTTGGCATTTAGCCGAAAGGCAACCCCCAGGGCTGAAAAACGAAGCCAACACCAAGTGCCAAAAACTGCAGTTCCTCTAATGGCCACTTGAGGCTGGAGCAAGTCAATCCCTACAAACACACATTAAAGACCCCCACTTTACAGGAGAAATGTTGTTGTTGTTGTTGAAACATGTTTACAGCCACGTACACTCGTCGAATGTTTGTATGATATCTCACAAAGGTGCACACACAACAGTTTGTATGATATCCTGTGAATTAGCGCCCCGTGAATGACATTATATCATAATTAACGCAAAGTTACGTAAGTTAGGTTTATGCAAGTAAAGTTATTGTGGTTATGTTTAAGGAAAAGAAATATGGTAAGGACTTACCTTAAAATTACTCAAAGTTCATTAAAGCCCTGTTTCCACCAAACATTTTCAGTATGGTACCTTTGGAACCCAAAGTCACCCTTCAGACATGGTACCTAGACCCTAGCGTTTCCACCGCAAACAGTGCCCTTAAATGTGGGCGGGGTTGTTGTCACTCACAGCTCCGTCCAACACACTGTATTTCCTCATTATTGGGGACACAAATTTTAGTCTACACCTCATGTATCATCCACAGAATTAGGCTGCACGCCGACATTTCACAGAATAAATAGAACAGGCTGCAGTGAGAGTCTCTCTTCCTTTCAATTTGTTGTTATATTTCACTAATGTATGCAAGACTTCCACGGTATGAACAGTGGTTACAAAACCAGCCACAACTCACCCCTCAGCAAGAGTGACCGTCCACTATTGACCAATCAACAGACAGCAGTGTTCACAGCTCCACCTTTTAGTACCAGATCTGTGTGCTAGGTAACCCAAAATGGCAAAAATGGGGACGGTACAGAACAGCTCCATTGGTACCATCCACAACTTTTTAAAGTGTAAATGGAAAAAATTAGTACTGAGCTGAACTGAACGTACCATACGGCTTAATGGAAACTGGGCTCTAAAGTTCATGCGGTTCTGAACACCTGTCTCATGGGGAAAGTCCTGTGTTTTGTGACAGATTCTCCGCCCCAACCTGCATCCCTACAGACTGCACTTGGATTTTTCTGGTCAGCGCATTGATCACTTGATTGCAGCCTTCAAAAATATGTGGGTTATGCATGAATTACTGACATATGATTATATGGGATATGTAAGAATATGGCTGCATTACTTTTCATAGGAAAACGTACAAACAGTTTATAAAAGCAGCATGGTACAAAAAAACAGTTTTAATCTCAATAGCTAATTTCTCCACTTATGACAACTGTACAGGAGTGTATTTTTATATAACTTTACATTTAATTTTTATTAAGGCTTAAAGTTATGAATAATTAAGGAGAGACAGGTGGGTGCCCTCCGTTGACAAGTCCAATACAAGGTTGGCTAGCTTAACAATGGCATAACCCCAGATTCAGAGAGTAGGTGTAGCTGTAGCTGTCGCCGTCAGTGTGTTTTCAGTTCAGGAGAGTTAACTGTAACATTTTGGTTGCATTAAAAAAAAATTGTCGGGGCATAGGTGGTTTAGTGGTAGAGCAGGCGCCCCATGTACAAGGCTGTGGAATGAGGGTGGTGGAGGATGTTAGGGCATTGAGTAAGGGGATGTTGGAAGTTAGAAAGAAAAGTTGTATTAGAGGTGATCTGTTGATTTACAAAGAGAAGTCTGTGCTTTTATTTTTCTCTCAACTAGACGACTATTTTAAACACCGGTATTAGTCAGGGCTCTCCTCCGCTGGTTATAATTTTGTCAGAATGAGTCATCAATGAGATAATAGATCATATTTCTCCTGTGCTAGCCATCGCACTCATTTTTAATAACTTTTGAAGACAGACTTGTCAAGATTGTCCTAATAAGACAATACAAAGACTCACACAAAAGTATCCCTCTCAATCATCAGTAATGACCCCTGAGCAGTGTGTGGCAGTGTCTGTGTCTGCCGAGAACCTGCCCTCTGCCTGTCCTTCCTTATTTTCTTCTTAATTTGGTTTGTTGGGATGTTTCTGGGTGTCAATCTTTTGGTAGTGGCGTGTAACCTCCAGCTAATAGCAGCGCAAGGTCAGAACTCTTTAAAATAGCGACCAGGTTACATTGCTGTCTCGGTCTCTTTCCTCTGCTCTGTGCATGCAAGCTGCAGGTCTCTGTGTCTGTTTGATTGAGGGCATTTTACACTTTTTAAAAGCTTTTAACAAGAAAGGCTTTTAATTCCCATGCAATGTAAGTTTTTGTTTCTTTTCATACACATGTGACTTGTTTGTTATGTTTATGTTTGTATTCCTTCTGACTGCATGCTTGCTTCCTGTGAAATAATTTTTTTAACTGATGAAAATTGCTATCATTACTATCCATCCATCTATTTTCAACTGCTTATCTGAGGCTGGGTCGTGGGGACAGCAGGCTCCCTTTCCCCAGCAACCCTAACCCTAGGGTTTCCTAACCCTAACCCCCCGAGGCATTCCCAGGCCAGATGAGATATATAATCCCTCTAGCATGTTCTGGGTCTGCCCCAGGGCTTCCTACCAGTTGGACATGTGTGGAACACCTCTAACAGGAGGCACCCAGGAGGCATCCTGATCAGATGCCCAAACCACCTCAACTGACCCCTTTCGATGCAAAGGGGTAGCGGCTCTATTCCGAGCTCCCTCTGGGTGTCTGAGCTCCTTACCCTATCTCTAAGGCTGAGCCCAGCCACTCTTCTAAGGAAACTCATTTTGGCCACTTGTATCCACAACTTCATTCTTTCAGTCACTACCCAGAGGTCATGATCATAGGTGAGGTTTGGGGCGTAGATGGACCAGTAATTCGCCATCCGGCTCAGCTCCCTCTTCACCACAATGGTCTGCCGATCCATTTCATACTCACACGCAATACCCCGTTTTCTGGCACAGAACCATGGCTTCAGACTTGGAGGAGTAATAATACATCCAAGTCTGAGGCCATGGAGGTATTATCACTATGATAATAATAATAAGGCCAGCTGCACAGCCAGGTGTTTGTTTTATAGCACGATGTGACAGCCTCAAGTAGTTTATTGGTTTTATAAATATACCAGCACATCATCTGTGAATATCATTAGGTGATTTGTTCTCCTCTAAAAATGTCATTGGTGCACGGCCCCTGCCTGACACCCCTGTAAAGTGTGAAACATGGTGACGTTACAGTATGTAAGCTTTTGACTGTGACTGTGGCCACTAGGCTGCATATAAAAAAACTGAATAAGTCAGTAATCAAATAAAGCACAAACACATACTAATTATAATTTAAAGCTTCAATAAATGTTGTAATGCCAACCGTGATTATTTTTCAATGCTGTTACTCAAGCTGCAGTTCAACATAAGAAAGTCTTGACACACTGTCTAGACATAAAAATCTAGTGTCATGAGTGTCAGTCTCTAAATGATGCTATTTATCTTCACGCATTAATCATTGTAATTTAACAGGTATAATCTTTCGAAGTCAAACGTTCTGCAGATTTATAGCTGAGATGACACACATTTGTCATTGCTTTGCATCTACAAAGCGATATTTAATGGCATTTGTAAAGCACAAGGGAGATGAAACAACACACACACACACACACACACACACACAAACAGAAGGTGATAAGGCAGACGAATCACCAACACACCCACAGTTTGGACTGAGTCAGAGAAACAAAGGGCCCAGAGGCCATTTTGACTTCTGTTTGTTTCTTCTCTCTCTCTGTTATCTGTTTCAACAACTTGGACCAGACGCTATTAACTTCCATCATGGCTGGGCCTTCAAACTTTATATATCTTCAAATAAAAATGCCTCTGTTGCAATGATAAGCTGCAAATCTCTTAGCAGTTCGCAAATGTTCGTACTGTTCAGCAATTTTTTTTAAATGAAGTAGTTGAGTTTTATTTTATTTTTCTTTTGTATCACACACACAGCTAAAGAAATGAACTATCAACTAAAAAGCAACAATATGTGATCATTTTTGTAGGAGATGACTAGATGCAGTCAACAAATAGAAAACATCAGCCCAGTTTCAGGTCTTGTGATACAGAAACAATCTACCGTGCATTGTTCCTTAACTGGCAATAATACCCGGATTTAAGTGTAAAGTTCATCCTGTGGGTGGCGTTAGAGGAAAGTCATGAAAAGTGTTTGGCATTCTGGTAAGGTAGGGGTTTGAGATGTTGGTCATTGCAGTGTCAACAGCTTGAGTCTGACTGGGGAAGTTTGTTATACGTCATCCTCTCTCTGTCTCCACTCATTTCCTGTCTGTCGCTGCAGTCTAACTATAAAGGTCAAAAAGGTGTGTGTAACATCAGGGGTAATCTCTTTTGGGAATATTTTGCCTCATGGTGGCCCTAGAGTAGCATCGTAAGATACTTTGTCACGAACTTAAGTGTTGATCTGGTGAAAATTTGGACCTGATGGTCGTGCTTGTAAAAAGGTCATTGGGTTCACCATCATCATTGGGAATCGTCATCAGGGGGACATGAATATCCAAACATAAGTCACGGAAATCTGGCCATTAGGTGTTCAGTGTTTGGTTGGAAGAGTTGTTAGATGGAACATTAACTGCAATTGTAACCTGGTCGCAAGCTTGACAAAAATCTTAGTATTGTCTTCAGGAAGACTAATCACAAATGGAAAAACACTGGATGACACTTAAACCAAACAGCAGTCACAAAGGGTTGTATTTTATAATAATTAACACACATTTATAATCATGACAAGAACAGAATCAAAAGAGTTGTACTTCAAACTTTTTTATTACAAAATATAAATGGCAAAAAAAGCATTTTCTTCTTTTGCTAAAACAATGTTATTGGTGTCAGACATAAATGTTTATGGTGAAATAAAGCTCTTTTTTAACGTTTCTTTTTTTGTAGGTTAGCATGCTACAGGTGATACAGTACAGGTGATAGTGCTCCCGCTCAAACTAAAGGGGACAGAAAAGAGGATGAAAGAAAGGTAAGCGCTGACAGATTGTATGGAAAACAAATCGATGTGACGTGTTTCGTGGTTTCTTCCACCTCGGATATGTTCTCAAACATGCCATCACATTCAGAGAAGAGTTTAAAATCTGGAGGGGGGGGGGGGGGGGGGGTTCTGCCTCATGACTTCAGTCTGCAGATCTTTACTAGTTTTTTCTATTATTTCAAGGATTCATTACGGGCTAACTGCGGCTTGAGTCATCACTTCAACTAGCCGAATGCCACCTTCATTTGGCCGGTTATGTATAGAATTAGAAACTAGGTTTGAACATTGTTTGGTGTCGTCAAGAAACCCTTCCTGAGAAGGGTCTTTTGTGCTTTAGTTACCCCTTTAGTAGTGTACAAAATTACAGTTTACATGAACTAATCTGAGGGAGTGGGGGGTAAACAAAACAAACAAAAAAAAGGTTACGATTTCTGTGATGTGATAGAGGTCAAAGTTTGCCCTAGTTTTTCTCCCCATTACATTATGTGGGAAAATGTGGAGAAATGTCCACTTGACACTTGTCACATTAAGTTATCTGATGACTGATTAACTTCTAATATCTTTGAAAGTTAATACACAGCATCAATTCAGTTGTGTGGTGGGTACAAGCCAAACACCCATAATGCACCTTACATTAAACTTGCTTAGTTGCAGGTGCTAACAAGTAGCCTGTAAAGTGGGTACATTTCATGAACATCATTGCAATGTTCCACAAAATCAGATCACCCAATTTGCTGAAAACAAAAACAAATATTAAGCCCACTGGATTCATTTATTTTGGTAATGTGTCATCTGTCATTTTCACTTCAAGCATCAAAACATTTGATCAAATCATGATTTCCGAAGCAAATCTTTCCAAATGTTAAGGTGTGAAATCCAGGACAGGCTCTCTTCCAAAAGTCCAGTTTGTGTGAGGAGGGTGAGGGTGGGGGTGAAGTCAGAAGGGGGATTGAGGGGAGGGAGGTGTCTGAGAAGTCTCTTTCCATATTTTCCAACAAAGTCTTTAAATAACACTTTAATTTACATTTTACTCGCGAATGCTTTGATGCGTATATTGGCACCATCTGTGCGTAAAATGATGTGGAGAGAAAGGCAGGCGCACAAACAACAACTAATGTCAGAGGTCTTGAATACTTAGACAGCGCTGACGGCTGTTTTAATGAGGCATTTTTAAATTAGAAAAATAGAGCTTTACTTCCCGACCTCGTCGAGAACTTTGCGGTTGAGCTGAGCCTGCTCCCTCTGGCTCTCCATCTTGGCCATCTGGATCATATTCCTCAGCAGGTGGAAGGTGAGGTCGATGGACAGCGGCGACTCTTCGCTCCGTTTCAACAGCTGCGCCGCCGTCCTCATCGCCTCAGCTTCAGTCTCCTCTTCTGGCGTGAGCAGGTGCAGAGGGTCCAGGTTTCTTTTTTGGAGATACCTCAGGATGTTGTCGCCCAGTAGGTCTGAGGCGGTGCTGTCCTCGGCGGCGGCCGCTCTGAGGAGCACATCGTCAAGTTGCTGCGTCTGGAGGCGACCGCTGTCATCCAGCCAGCCGGGGAGGATGCGCGGTCTGCCGGCGGCGGGGCGGAGGTGCGATGAGAGGAGGACCGAAGAGAGGAGCAGGAGCAGGGAGACTGGCTTCATGTCCTGCAGGCAGATGTATTTAATGAGATGACATTGAGACATCTCAGGACAGATCATCAGGAAAACCAAACTCACAGCAAACATGATTTCTGTTGCGCACTTATTTAGTTTTTCAGACAAATGTTTGCAGCACATTTACTGTTTTATGCACGAGAATAAATTGAAATGATTTATGTTAAGATTGAGATGCCTGTAAGAAAGAAGTAAGGAATTTAAATTTATTTGTATTGAGATTCACTAAATCTGCAAAATTCAACACAGGCCCTAAAGATGATCATTTTAAAACTATATGATGTTATCTTGTACATTTCATGTCAGTCAGGCACTTTCCTACAAGAAAAAAGAAGCAAATAAAACATTTAAATTTTTTTTTTACAGGATTAAACTTGACAAAAAGCATGCACATAAGTCCAAGAGAATAAAAGTACAAGTATAGGATATCTGAAAAGGTCACAAGATGATCTGCCTGCACTGCTTCCTTCTACCTGTCATGTTCTCTTTTGCAGAAATGCGTCCATTCTACAAAACTTTAACCTAACACAAAGAGTGAATGAGAGCTGCAATACTCACTTTGTTTTCTCCAGATGCTGCAGCTGAACTTTGTGGTCGGCCGGTGGGATCTCAGGTCGGAGCCGAGTCTGGAAAGTCCTTGTGAGCGGCGACTGGAGAGGACGGAGGGTTTTATACATCCAGCCTGCTCCTTTGACGTCAATGCAAGCACACAGACCGGTTTGGAAACTGGACAACTATCGAGACGACGAGGCAATATAGTCCCGAGGGACAGCTGGGGATGCTGTGATCGGCAGGAAATAAATAATGCATTTTTTTTTTACAGGTTTATTTCCTATCTATGAGGGACCTCCCAGGGGTGCAAGAGGAGGATGCAGGGGCCTTAGGCGGGGCTGGAGGGGGTCTTGAGGAGGGGGGTGTCTGATGTTGGGCATTTCTTGAGAAAGTTTCAAGGGTTCTTCAAGTTTGAACACCAGCAATAAAATGTTTTTACTCAACTTTATGTGCCCTTTTGTTATTGGATATGGATATGCCAAATAACTTGTGTATTTCTGCTCTTTTCTTACATCATGTTTTTATTTTGATTGTTTTTATTAGGTGAATGAATAGTTTGTGTGATTTATTTTTGCAAACTTGTACCAAATAGCTTCACTAAAGACTAGCAAGGTCATTTGAATTTGAATTGAACCGAATTGAATGCAACATAACATCAACAACATATGGCGTTTTGTTTTTTTGAAAAACGAAAAAGACGACCTTAATTAGGTGTAATTAAAGTGGTAAATTAAAGGGGTAGTTCACCCCAAAATCAAAAATACATATTTTCCTTCTTACTTGTTGTACTATTTATCGGTCTAGTTTGTTCTGGTGTGAGTTACCAAGTGTTGAAGATAATGGCCATGTGACATCTGTCTTCTCTTAAATATAAGGAACTCGATGGCACTCAGTAAATATGTCTGAAAAACTCAACAGCAGTGTGTCTCTCTCCAGAAATCATGACCCAGTTACTGAAGATAATCCACAGACCTTGTTGGGAGAAGTTTCATGTAGGAACTATTTTATTTTCTGCTGAACTACACCGACCAACCAAATCACTGCGCAGAGTGACATGTTGCTGTTGCGTTTTACGGATGATTTTTTTTTAAGATATCTCTATTTGAGCACCACAAGTGTCATCTATTTCCATCATATTAGAGAGATGGCAGACAGCTCTATAGCCGATATCTCCAGCACTACACAACTCACACCAAAAAAATCTAGATTAATAAATAGTACAACAAGTAAGAGTAAAAAATATGTTTTTTTGATTTTGGGCTGAACTGTCCCTTTAAGAATTAAAGGTCGTTGCCATAGATCCTGAAAAGCCAAAGTGATGCAACAAGTGAAAAACACAATAAACCAGTATTTACATTCTTTTCACATCAATATGAACTAATTTAAGTTTAATTTTTGACCAGATGCCCTATTTACTGAAAGCCGATCTTAGCATTTCTAAGCAACCACGCAATCAGGTAACTTTTCCAAACACTGCTGTGAACAAAAAGATGAAAAATCCCTTTAAAGTTAGAATGAGTGAGTCTGAATGAGCTGTCCATGGTGCTGAACTGCTGTTGAAAGCCTGCAACTGAACTCATCAGACATGTAACACACACAGTGTTAAGTTATATGTATCATATGTGGATTAGACCAGCATTTCTGGGGTGTTTACAAACGTTTTGGCCAAAATGATTCCATAAAAGACAAATAACCTCCCAGGAAGCAACAAGGGTAAAATGTAGCTGCTGATTTAGAGATGAATATAGTGCACTCTCTGCTCTGTATGAGGCAAAGAGATAATATTAGTTAAAATATCCAGACTTCTGCTGACACGTCTGCTAAATTTAAAACCTTTTTGATAATCTTAAATGAGAGTTTTCTATATTTTTTAGTTACTTGTTTGAAGTTGACAGGGCTCAGTTGGGGAAAAAGCGGATGTCACATATAAGTTTGTGCACTAGTGTATTTAGATCCAAATTATTGGCTCATTTATATAGCACTTTTCTAGTCATAGCAACCACTCAAGCACTTTGCAACAACACAGCACAAGCACCCATTCATACGCTGGTGGCCAAGGCTATCATACAAGATGCCACCTACATGCACACTCAAGAACCAGCAGCACATCGGACGCATTTTGGTGATTAGTATGTTACCCGAGGACACTTCCAAGGACACTTAAACGGCAAGCATGATATCCTTAAAGTATATTCTCATATCTAACATCAGATGTAGTTTATTTTGTTGTCATTTGTTGGTTTATAGTTTATTACTTTTGTTTATGCATATTTGGATTCGGACATTTAAAGACTATCATAAATTATACAATCTGTACATCAACACTGGCCAATAGTTGTTTCTCAGCAGAAAACATTCATGCCATTACTGGTGTACACTCAGTGTCCTGCTCTAACGACTTTAACCGAAACACAGTGTCAGCTCCATCATGCCACGTGTTCATTTGGCAGTACTAACAAGACTACTGTACTGTGTCTTCATTAAAGTACCACAGTGTGATTTTAAAAACACAGCGAGCCTTGGTGCTGAATCAAAAATGGATTCCAGGGGAGGGCTCTTATCCCTCAGGAGGGAAGAGGCTATTTGGCAGGTTTTCAATGGATTCCTCAGTAATGTTCTGCTTTTTTCCCTTGATTACAGCTCAAGTGTGTTTTTGTGTTAAAAAAAATGTGTGCAGTTAATTTGGTTGACAGCCCAGCTCAGCAGCCTCCACATCTCCCAACAAACAAACCCCACCCAGCAGTTGGCCACAAAAGTTAGCGAGGTCAAACACACCATTGAGATCACCTCATGGAAAACTTTATTGGCTAATACACCAGAGACAGCCTTTGTTATTAAAATGTGCACATTTTGAGTATAAAGATTCCATGTACATTGAATAATGAAGAAAAATTTGACACTTCAGCAATGATTGTCGGTACACCAATGAAGTCATGGGTCTATTTTATTGTTTAGTGCCATGCAGTTTAACAGAAAATGATTCAGTGACACGGACTGTTTAAAAGAGTAGTTTGATAGTTTATTTCAAGATTAATAGCGCTCTCAAGTCTGTTTTTTTTTTTGTTTGTTTGTTTTGGTTTGTATCTTTGGATCTGTGTTTTGTTTTATGGTTAGGTGGCTGCGGGTGTGTTGATAGGTTGGTATATATCCTGGAGTATGATTTATTTGTGTGAGGCTTATGTATAGATATTGTGCTGTCCAATGAGCCGGAATGTTTGTTTTGTTGTATTTAATGTGTCTGTATAATCCCATGTGGGATGGGTCATGTAAATGTCCAGATATGAAAATAAAATATTCATTCATTCATTCCATCATTCATTCATTCATTGTACAGAAAATATGAAGCTAGATTTAGCAGCCAGTTAGCTTAGCTTAGCACAAAGAGAAAAAGGGGAAACATTTCACTTGGCTCAGTCCACACAGTTACCAAAATCAGTCTACAAGCACCTTTAAAGCTCACTGATTAACACTTGATATCCTTTCTCATTTGTTTAATCCATACAAAAAAAATAACTGCAGTTTTACAGGGTCACGGACTATTTCTTGGCCAAGCACAGTTGCCAAGCAACCAGCAGAGACCCCAGGAATTTGCTGCACCCGGTCAGGAGAGGTATGCTGCGTTCCATTTACCTCGGAAGTCGGACATCAGAGCTGGGAATGATGTCACACCAGAGGTTGGAGTTAGGAATGACTTCACACAAGTTGACCACGTCCCTGAACAATAAGTCAGAAAACTAATGTTGTTCGCAATACCAGTTCTAACCAGTTTAGCCATTGTTAGCTATACCAGTTGATAACAACAGATTACGCTGTATTTTGCGCATGAAAACACTGTGGCAACATGTCCATAGAAAGAAGTTGGACAGGACTGTGTGTGCAACTGATGTAATGAGACACAAAAACTACAAAAGTACTAACCAACAACTTTCACAACTGTTGACGCTTGGAGCAGCCATCTTGGATTTTGAGGTCAGAGTTGGTGAGATTCCTCCGTCTTTCCAAGTCAGAAATCCAACTGGCATTCCAGTCAAAATTTCCAAGTGGGATCTAAGAAATTCTGACTTCCCAGTGCAAATGAAACACACCAACAGCCCAGCAAATGATACTACAAAACAGCAACTTGATGTTTTTACACTTTGGTTTTTGTAAAGATTAAACAAACTAGATGTCACATACAAATCAGTGAGCTTTGAAGGTGCTGTTTGGCAGATCATATTAATGTTGGACAGAGTCAGGCTAACCGTTTCCACCTATTTCCGGTCTGTGTGCTAAACTAAGCTAATCGGCTGCAGCCTTGTATTTATCATACAGATACGAGCATGGTATCATTTGTTAGCAAGAAAGCTAATAAGTGCATTTTCAAAAATGTCAAACTATTTTTTTAACATCAGGTTTTGTTGTGACTCCTTCAGCATTGAAGAGCAAGCGCAGAGACATGTTTTTTTTTTTTTTTTAAACCCAACAACTGATGCTTGTTACTTCACTCACTGAAGCCTCAAAAGACCAGAATGCATTGCCACTTTTGCATTGCTCACTTTCTGGCCATTCATAGCAGAAGTCTAAACAGGTTTCTTGCCCTTTCCTGAGGGTTGTTGTTGGGAAATGTAGAAAAACAGTTGCTAAAGTAGAAGTGCATAGATGAAGTGGTAAAGACATGAGAGTACACCAAATATGCTAATTACAATACATTATTGTGGAATGCATATTTTGGAATGTACTGAAAATTAATAATAAAAGAGTGGGGTATGAAAACGAGAACCAGAGGGGAACATTTCCTTCTTCATAAAACTAAACATGATGCTATTAACCTGTAACAAATGATCCTTTAACATGATTTCAAGTAAGTAACAATACATTAAAAGATAAGAAAAGTTTCCTTTGCAACCAGTGAGTGTTAATGTATGAATGTGTGCGCGTATGTGTGGCTACACCGTGGCACCACTGCCAGATCCCATTTCCATAAATAACAAACTTTCACGGACATTTATGCAAATGCAAGTTTGACTTTCAAGTGTGAATTTGTCATTCAGAGTAGACAAGCACTTTCTCCCGACCTTTATAAGTGAGTCAGTCACAGCTTTACACATTGGAAATATCAGGAGAAGTAAGTTAGACCAGAACGGCCCATGTCACACACACACACACACACTACAAATGAGTGTAAAATCATCATCATCATCATCGACAACAGCAACAACAAGACAGGCCAGACTTGTTATCATCCTTCACATCTTATTGGCCTTCCAGGTCAGGTAGGAGTTCCAAGCAACAGCAACAATCTGGACGACAGCCAACCTGCAAGCAGGAGGAAATTTTACGTGTTTGATATTTGGTATATTTAAAGCTTTTAAAGACAATAATAATGCTACTTATTATGAAATTTAGGAAATTTTCAGTTGAAACATGGTTCAAGAAAACTGTGTTGCTTTGCAAGTGTGCAAGAAAACTAAAAATCTTTGGTCCATTTTGAGACATTATGATATTTTCAAGACTTCTCCAGGCTAGACAGATACACTGTTTGGATCCCTGTTCTTTTAACTTTACACAGACTTCAAATGTCATCAATGCAGCTGATTGTTTGTATGTTAATAAAGCCATAAACTCTTACCTGTGGTGTAGAGGAATGAAGTAGAAATTGGCAATCTGGACGGGGGGCCATAGCTGAAACACAAACATAAAACAGTCAGGGGACCAATTTACTCATATGATGTAGGGATGTCAAGTTATTAATTTCCTAGATTATACAGTTGCACAGTGATAACTTGAAGTACATTAAAACTAAAGGGATGCTTGACAATTGAATAGCTCTGCAAACCCTCTCTTTAATCTTTTTGGCCTTTTCGCTGTCTCTTGGGAATTCTCTAGGGAATTTCTTTCAGCGTTTGTTGCTTCAGTGCAGCCACTATCTGAGTTACCCAAATAAACTGTATTCTGTTGAGTGTATAATTTAGTCGTGTGCACATCGTTTGCACAGACTACAGTATCAAAGAAAAAACACCTGTGTGACAGCTGACGTAAAACAAATGATTGCATGGGGCTCTGTTTAGCTCAATGCAGCCGATCCCAATCAGTTAAAGAATGCTGTGATCGGCACAGTAGCGATCTTTGAGACTGAATTGGGACATCGCTGATAATATGCGATCAAGTACAAATGTATACCAATCAATAAGTTAATTTTAACAAAACAGAGACACACTAACTTTACAAGCATACTTCGGTAAAATGGCAAACACTAGAGGAAAAACTTACATAGTAATTAGAGATCAGGGCGTCTGTGTAGTCCTGTGAACAAAGTTTAATAAGTTATTATATCAGCATCATAATGAGTCACTTTAAAATCAGGGGCTGGCTATCTATCTATCTATCTATCTATCTATCTATCTATCTATTTCTCTATATCTCTTATTTCACATTCACCGTCACAGACCAGTCACCTGCCAACTGATCATGGTTAAGGTACATTACTTCATGAACATTTCTCTTAGTTCTTTGCACAAAGTTGCTCGCAGCAGCTTAGTGCAAAGGTCTTAAGAGAAAACTTATATGAGAAAAAAATATGCCATAATATTGAATGTTATGGTAACAATATTACTTGCAATAAATAAACAGATATTAAAGTGTACCCAGTGCCTAGTCGTCTCTCCTGTATGCAAATGTTGCCAGACAGCTGATTTGTCAAACTTTCCTCCAACTTCCTTCAACCATGCAGAGTAGTACGGCGGCACTAGTTTAATAAACCTCACTCTAATTGCAGATTCCGACCAATCAGACAATCGCTACTGACAAGGGCTCTGTCGAACTGGCCAGAGAGCTAACAGCATGGTGCAAATTAGACAAAGCAGCACCTACAGACAGAATGTAAGTTGATATGTTGTAACTTGTTACTATGTTCAAAATGCAATATTGTAGTCTTTCAGTGTTCACTGCGCAAGTTGACATCACAGAGACTATAAAAACTGACATATTGTGCAGCCCTAATACAAAGTCTTCTGTACATATGTGTACATAGTAGACATTGTACAAAACTTGAACAGCTGCTGGGCCACTTGAAACTCTTGGTTTATTTCTGAGGACTGAAAAATAGATGAAAGTTGGAAGAAATTCCTCTTTGGTGCACATTAATGTGAAAGGTAACTATTCCTTTAGGAACATTTCAATGTCTAGTGCCTGGTGGGATAAAACAGATACACATTGGCTCTGATTCGAGACTTCTGACTCAATTATACAATCATTGTTGGCCAGAAGTTGCTCATAGTTGAGTTTGTTTTGAAATTTAAACCTCTGTTATGAAACTTTCAGCCTCCTACTCAGGTCTCAGGTTAAGCCCTCCAACATTTTCCATCACTGAACAGTTGAGACTGCCAGTGGGGGACGAAGTGAGAAATGGTGATGTGTTGAAACTCCAGTTGTTGGGGAGTTTCAGTCCAAAACAATGCAGGATAGAAGTTTCATAGCCAAAATTATCAGCAGATGTTCCAAGTAACTGTTGAGTAATTGGCAATGATCGACATCTCTATCAACCTATAGATACAGTATATTCTAGTCATATTGCAGTATAGGAAAAGTTCATTTTCCTTTAATGGTGACCATTCACACTGAGGACACATTTGTGCATTTAAAAACCTCCAGACATGGAGGCTGGCTGCCAGCAGAGCCAGAGAACATTAGCTTAAGCAATAAAAGAGTAATGTTTTTCCAACCTGGAACCCTTTTTCCCATGTTTTCATGTCACAGCGACTAATGTGAACAGAACTTTTTGAAACTGGTCCAGTACTGAGTAAGAGCCCTGCGGCCAGCAGCTTCAAAAAAAAAAAAAAAAAACGGGCTGCAATGAAACAACTCGGGGCAGGTGCACCGTTATTGTGCATGTACTACAAGTGCTTGTTTTTACCAAGTGCTAAGTCAAATTTTACAAGTGTTTCGTTTGTTGTCAGACTCTCTTTTAGGCCTTGTATAGACATGGTATTAACATGGATTTTGGGTGATCAAATCACAAGTGGACAGCTGAGACACATCACTGTTCATACCTGTGCCGATCATGTGTCTCCAGCTGACCACTTGTGTTCAGATTTCATTACTGCCTCACGCACAGTTCTTACGTTCACACTTTTGCTAGCTGCTCTGTAGCAACCAGGATTTTAACCACAATACTCAAGTAAACATACTTAATTTCCACCACTGGGCCCAACAATACAGAAAAATATGCTATTATTGCTGTGAAAATAATAATAAAAATGTATTAATAAAAAGGCAAAATTTGTGTGATCGAGTTAAAGTTCCTTTAACTTAGAAATTTCTATGAGTTTTCGATAAATGTTGAAACCAAGGGAGGTAAATCCAGACTTTTCAACCCCTAAGCAAATATGAGAGCTCAGCTCTCTCTCTCTCTCTTACACACAAACACACACACACACACACACACACACACACACACACACACACACACACACACAATATTACCACACAAAATCTCCAGTGTCATCTACTTAAAGGTCACCTCTTATGTCGCGACATATAAAAACAACGAGCCAATGTTCCAGTCTTTTTTCTGGAGGTTTTTTTTTTTTGTTTCAGGGTGAAACTGTTTTCTAATTATGGCCAAACAAGCTACTTTGCCACCTGAGGTGAAATTACCTCTGCTGATCGCTGCGTCAGAGACACGTCAAAATCTTTCCCCCCCACACTCTGCAGAAGACTGGACCTTTCTCAGCTCTTTCAGGGGTTTCTAAGCTGGTTGTAAACTGTCTTCAGTTAAGTACACAAGAAGTTATTGCATGTGAATTGGACAGGAAATGATACATGACAACAAATGTCAATTTAAACTGTGATTTTTGGGCAATTAAACTTAACAAAGAGAAAGTTCAATATATCTCAGTTTCACAGTTTCAATTATTGAGTTTTTGTTTCCTCACAGCTGTCCCACCACATTCATTTCCTTTGATTTCCTCCTCCTTGGGTACAATGTGTGTTCCAGGGCTAACTATCAATTAATTTCATTATCAATCATTTTTTTTATTATTATTTTTGTTTATTTTCAAAAGTAACTGATTAATTGCTGAGTCTATGAGTCATATGCTGAGTCATCCCCAAACTTGAACTGTGGAACTGAATTCCCATTACAATTTGACAATAAAATGTCATCAAAGTTTTCCATCTAAAAGTCCAAAAGTAAAAAAAAAAAAACAGCAAAGAAATCAGGAAATCTTATTGCCTGAGATTTTTTTCTTTCAATCGATTAATTGACTAAAGCTCTCGGAAGTCATCTCAGTGGAAAACTGACAGAAAAAAGTATGTTCAGAGATGTCAGTATACATACTATACTTGACTTTTGACTGACTGTGCTGTTGGTGTACACTATTTCCCCACAATGCAATGCACAAAGATGAGCTGCACAAGATAATAGGACAAGGTAAGGTAAAGTAATAGTAATAATTTGGTGTTCTACTAACTCTTCATCTATCGCCATCATCATATCAAACCTTTGATTTGTCCACGACCTTGATTTCTAAGCAAATACCTGCAAAACCACTTCCATCAAGTGCACTTTGTGTTTAATCCTAATAAGCAAAGGTTGTAACATTCTCAACTAAGACTGTGAACATGGTAAACATTATACATGCTAAACATTAGCATGTTAGCATTGTCATGACTCTGGGTGTGTTAGCATGTTGGCGGTAGCATTTAGGTGCCTAAAGTACAGCTTCACAGAACTGCTAGCATGACTGTAGACTTGTTTTTTATCATATTTGAATTGAGGGCCTAAGGATCGATATTTCTACAGATTGTAAAACCATCTGAGATACATTGGTAGTGTGGGCTATGTAAATAAAATTGATGTGACTATAATACATACATAATATTGGCATGTAGTACAGACCTGGGAGACAGGAAACTAGTCCATCTGCACCAGACTCTGCAATCAAGCAAATCTTGTACCCATGTGGGCTGGGCAATATATCAATATTATCAATATTAAGATATGAGACTAAATATTGTCTTAAATTTGGATATCGTCATATTAAAGTGTTGTATTTTCCTGGTTTTACAGGCTGGATTACAATTTACCAATCTGTACCAGCTGTTCTGTTATTTGTCAAAAATGTCACCAAGCACAAAAAGTCAACCTACAATATTGTCGCAATATCCATATCAAGGTATTTTGATCAAAAGTATTGTGGTATTTGATATTCTCCATATCACCCAGACCTATCATACTGACATCTTTAAATACATGTAATACAATCAGTTTGACAGTGTGTATGAATACACACATCCCTGGACTTCTATCTTCCTGAGAACACTCATTGACAAAATGTATTCTCTACCTTCCTTACCCTAAGCTGAGCTATCACAACAGAGTACCTTACCCTTACCCAAACCTAATTTTAACTTAGCCCTAAAATAGGCCTGGGAAGCAGTGAGGTACGGCCAAAATGACCCAATTGTCCAAAATGTCCTTGATCTTTAGGTTACAAATGTGTTGTGGTCCTCATTATGTAGCAAGTACAAAACACACACACACACACACACACACACACACACTTGATTACACTTGATTATTATTAGCATGTAGTATAGACAGTGTCAGCTATTGGAGGTTTTTGTTCTGTCACAGATTAAAAACTGGAGACAGACAAGAAGAACAGGTGGGTTAATAGGCAAACAAGTAGTTCTTGATTGGACCTGTGTTAGACTTTAACAATCAGAGCAACCTGTTCGGCGAGTGGCTCCATTAATTTTCATCTCACATTCCCTCCGTGCCAGGCGGCCTTGTTGTAATGAGCACATTTGTCATTTATTTTCTGTCCTTTCTGACATTTACCAGGTCGGCCTTTCGGGTCCAACGCCCCTCCTTTTGTAAATAATTGATGGTGACCAGCGACACGTTGGGTAAGCAAGGCGGTGACGGACGTTTGAGCAGCTGGCACAAAATGACAGTTAGCTCTGACCTAGCATACAAATACACACACAAACCCGCACACACACATTCATATGAAGGTATGAGTCACTCCAGCTATTTCCACAGGCCCCCCTCCCCTCTCGCCTCTTCCTCCATCACAGGAAATAGTTTCTAATAATAAGGAGTGTTGGAGGTCAGATACTGTAGCTACGATGAAAACTAAACTTCCTCTCTGTGTACTCTCATTTACTTGGGCTGTGTTCATACAGACTAAATACTGTTGTCAACCCAGTTTGTGTCAAGTCTTAAGTATCAATATAAAATACAAATCAAGTTAAATCATAACAAAGGGGAATCCAGTACCAACTTAACATACAAAAATGGGTTTTTCATGACTTGTTTTGTCAATATTGCAGCTGAAACCACAATGAAGAAAAGAGGTGACAGGCAAAGATGGTTTACTTGTACGCAAAATTCCAACTTTTTGATCTGGAATTTTTAAAAAATCTATGTATTTTTTCAATGTTATTACTCATAATTCAAGTTTTAAATGTGTCTATCTTAATTTACAGTGATTTCTTTTTCAGTGGGGCTTGGTAATGTTTTAAAAATCACGATACCAGTACCAATACCAAAAACCTTAAAATGATAAAGATACCAACAGAGTCATTCGATACCCATGATGTGAATGGAGTGGCGTGTACTATACTTCTTTAATATTTTCATAGCATCTCAGCACACTGAACCTCCAATGCTGTCAACAGGCCAAACTCTACTTCACCAAACCACAGATTGAATGGGTTGCAGCTGCTGTTGCAGGAGTGTGAGCTCCGCGCTGGGTACAGAGAGTCTGCCCCGCTGCACACACAGTGACACGGCTAACTGTTAGCATCACACGGCTAACATTACCCTAAGATTATTAACAGGTTTAACGACAGAGTCGAGGTGTCTCCATGTCACTGTGAGTTCGTTTGGGACTGTTTAACAGCTCTGTGTTGGTTGTTAGCATTGCTGTGTTAGCTCACGTTACCTGGGCAGGCGTTGAACTGACTGGTTGCCGAGAGGAGAGCACCTCCAGAGACGGCAGCTACAGAAAGTTTGCTCATGTGGCGGGGAACTGGGACAGTTTGGGATTAGACCCCCGGTGTAAAAATGATCCATCATTTGACAGTTCGATGGTATTTGGTACTAGGTTATTTCAGTTGATACTTAAAAAGTATCGAGTACTAATACTCAGCCCTATTTTTCAGTGACGTTTGCTATCCAAACTGACATCCATCAGGCTCTAGAGGAGTACGCACCTCTTCACCTTTAAAACAACATTCACAGAGGAAAGATCAGGAGAGGACAGATCAGGTCAAACAGTGAAATTTAACCTAAAGTGGAGATTATTTTGACCCACAGTCTGAGAGTTTTTTCAGGTTCGGCTAACCAACGTCACCCGGCATTTTTTTTTCCATATCTCAGTAACTCAACACAGGAATGCTCCTAAGGATGTAAGGATAACAATATAAATGCTTGTTTCTGGGTGTTTGGGGGCTGAAACCTTTCCTATAAAGCACTGGTGTATGGGAGGGAGTCAGGCAAACACATACTGCATCTAATGAAGGGCGTCCGGTCCACCTAACTGCGTCAGAAACTCTGGAGAGCATATGAGGTAAAATACAAACTCCTCAAAAAAGAAAGCACAAAGGATCATACCCATCAGTTGAGAGGGCTGACAGCTAAATACTGTGACACAGGGGGAGTCATATTGTCAGGTATACACAATGATGTGACATAGAAATAACTCACTAACTCACCCTCTTGAGCTTGGTGACATTCTCCTCCACCGTCAGTCCGTTCAGAACACCAGAGATACCGAGGAAAGCTCCCAGGAAACACGGAGCAAAACACAACTACAAAGACACATAGAAACACAGTGAATTTCAATGTTCGAACTACAGTTCGTACATAATAATTAAACATATTGTGTGCTTAAAACCCCCACACAATTTCACACATATTAGAAAGACGTTTTGCAAGAACTCTCCAAAATCAGTTTACATTACTCCCAAATTAGCTTCTTCAATACCAACAAATAAGGCACTACATTAAATGCAATTCAGAGTGAGAAAAGATCAAACAAGATGCAACAGTTATTGAAAAGCATTTTATGATGGTAACAGAAAAACACTCACTCAGTAAAATCCATATTTCTCATTTCTGCTGATATTTAACAGCTGATACAGCATAAAATGCCCTCCATGTGAAAGAGAAATAGGAGTTAGAATTAAATGTGTTATTGAGGAGTCAGTGCAGATTAATTGTTAAAAGTATAATTGAAACTGTCTAGTTTTTAAGTTAGATCATTTAAGGTTCTTTGTGATGTTTCTCTTAATTAAAGAAAAGAGGGACTCGCTATTCATAGTGAAGTGAAGCTACACTTTTTTTTTACACCATATAATTAGGGCATTTTAAGTTTTTTTCATTTCTACAAAATAATCTGGGCCAACAGATTTGTTTCTCTGTCACCTGGAAGTGTGACAGGTTACATAAACTCAGACTGTTATTGTGATCTTAACAAAATAAATACAAAAAAACAGGTCTTCAGTGGATCAGGTCAAACAAAAGAAACCATTTCCGCAGCTGCGTCCTCAGTACATGAAGGCTTCTATAGAGGTTAAAGAAAAGATCTGATGTATGAACTGAAGCAGAATGATGGAAAAAAAAACATATTTACTGTACAGTGGATTTTATGCATTTCACTTCATGGTCTGAGGTAGGTCTGACGCAGATGGACGCCACATCACCTCAGATCTTTCAATGGTACTTCAGTTGATAGAGGCAGGGAGAGCAGCATACAGTGTGACCACGTAGCTACTCAAGCGGAGGAGTGGACCCTTTGCTTCAGTAAATATTTCAGTAGAGGGGAGATGTTGAAAGCTCTGAAGTCTTGTTCTACATTTGTCCTGCTGCACTTTGATTGAATCAAACACCAGAGGGCAGAATGAAGAGGGGACACCAGCCTCCTCTCTTTTTTACATTTTCTGACAAAGAATTTAGACGAATTTTAGCATCTACTGTATATGCATTTAATGATAAAACCTTTAACGGATTGTAGCAAATGTACACTGTAATGTACACTCACTTTTGGGGACACAACCCCAGCTGGAAAAGCACATATGTATCGACAGCTTTTTGTGGCACTATTCCCATCTACGAGTCGCTACAAAACACCCACATCCGGAGCCTATAAAGCTGATGGAAACACACCTTTTCTATCCTCAATAATACATTTAATTCTAACTCCTATTTCTCTTTCACATGGAGGGCATTTTATGCTGTATCAGCTATTAAATATCAGCAGAAATGAGAAATATGGATTTTACTGAGTGAGTGTTTTTCTGTTACCATCATAAAATGCTTTTCAATAACTGTTGCATCTCGTTTGATCTTTTCTCACTCTGAATTGCATTTAATGTAGTGCCTTATTTGTTGGTATTGAAGAAGCTAATTTGGGAGTAATGTAAACTGATTTTGGAGATGGGCAAAAGATTTTATGTCACTGCCCTGATTTATTGTGCTCTACATTCTTTTTACTTTGAAATGTACTGTGATAATTTCATTTTCATCTGGTCATCTCTCATTTATAATATGAATGCCATTAAAAATTACAACAGGTACAATGAATAAATTTAGGTAAAAAAGGTTAGACTCCTGTTGGTCCTTCATGCTTACGGCTCATCAGCTGTATAGGGAGGAAGAAAGGGGGAATCACAGGAAGTGCAAATAAAAGGAGAAACAGTCAAACTGTACAGTCTGCTTTGTCCCAAACTCTTGACAAAATTCGACAGAGTTTTCTCCCGTCAGCACAACAAAGAGCCATCTGTCAGCCTCATATGGGGAAACTGTATCATCCACCCAGTTGGGCACAATTAATGAGCTGAGCCCTAACAGTAGTTTGTGTGTATCATTTATCACTGAGCTTCTTTCCTTTTTGTTTCTTTGTTTACTGAACACACTGTAGTTGCTTTAGTTTGCCTTTACCCAGCAACAACAGGTAGTAGAAGAAGAAGAGAGGAGTGCTTTTCTCACCTGGTCCACCAGCATTTTCTTCATGGCTGCAATTTTAGTTCCTCCGACCACCAGTCTGTCCAAAACTTTGTACCAACTGCCGATTACTGGACCCTTTGTTAGAAAACACAGAAATTATGAATTACAGAGCTTCTTCTATCATAAATATGAATTTTTAATGTGTTGTTGTTGTTTGACAAACATTCCAGTTAACTACATATCACTAAAGAAGCCTCAAAGGTTTTCTGTCCATAGCTTCACTCCTTTGACGACTGAATTCAAGCCACTAAAATGAATACATTATTAATGTGGGGAAGACTGATACATGATGTATGAGTTATGAGACAGTTGTGCCTCCCTAGATGAATGAGCAAACATGTCTTAGTGTAACATGACTCCTGTGTGTGTGGTTGAAGAGCTGTTTTTTCTATAATTTAAAACGACGAGGCACCTGATTGGCGGAACGTAAGACGATTATGGAAATATAAATAAACTTTGCTTACGCTGCGGTGATGTCAAAATGAATTGTGCAGCTGTCAAAGGACTTGAATGAGTGAATGTGCACACAAAGGCATAAAGCAACTCTATGCAACATGGGTAAGCGTGTACGCACATAATGCATGTGATGATTAGTTACTTACAGATCTACAAATTCCATTTTTGATGCCTTTCAATGTAACTTTTTTCCATTAATGTCTTCATTTTGCTTCACATTCTCTTTCTCATGTTTTACAAAAGACACCCTCAAAGCCCATATTTTTATTTAAAAAAAAAATCAATGCCATATTTACACCTATAGTGTCCAGATTATACTGTATTCATTTCAGTATTCAGTGCACTATTGAAATCAACTGACTAGGTCTGTGAGCTTGTGTTAGACAGCCAGTAAATGAGTCAATAATCAAAGTTTCATTATTCATCTCTTTGTCAAATGTATGTCATTTTCATGTGGTATCACAGCTGCAAGCACAGACCATTTGAACTCACTCATCATGGCAGATTCATTTAAAGTTTTTTCTTTCACTTTGTGAATATTAAGAGAAGTGTGTCACTTGTTTTGTTTATGACAGAATAGAATCAATTAGATAATCACAAAACTTGCCAAACTCATTACTTATCATTATATCATTATATCTAGTCAAGAGGTCACTTCTTACCACAAAGAAGAAACCAATGCTCATCATCTTGGCCGTCCGCGGCACATCATGATGAGCCAACCCTCTTCTCTCAATCACCTGTTGAGAGATGACATCACCGACACCCACCAAAGACCCTGGAGGACAATCAGGGGTCAGATACTGCGTCTGAACATGGTGGTGATACAGGTGATATTATTCCTGTAGATGTTATATTCATATATATTGTGATAGTGTATGTATCAATGCTTTTTTGTCATTTTCGTCACATTTTAATAATACGGTACATTTAAATAATATTGTAATAATACTGATAACAGCAATTTTTGGTCACTATAAATTCATTCATTTTCCATAATCACTTATCCTGTTGGGGGTCAATTAACCTGCATGTCTTTGGGCTGCGGGAGGAAGCTGGAGTACTCACACACCCACACTGACATGGGGAGAACATGCAAACTCCACAAAGAAGGGCTTCCCCACCCCAGGTTTAAACCAGGAACTCTCTTGCTGTGCGGCCCAGTCACTACAAATGTGACATAAAATTTTCATACAGTTTCATCTCTACAACAAACACATAACATGATGAATATAACTACTTTAGGCAACATTTCCATTTCTCTGGTGTGACTATGGTGCTATAAACGGGGATAATAATGCTGTAAGTTCCCATGTTAACAAAAGGACATTTAACAACATCAGCATCAGCAGACCAGAATGCAATGCAGCCAAGAAGACATTTTATGTTTTGCTGTAGGGGCATGTAGCACACAGCTGATAATTCTCTGTGGGCTTGTCACTACAAATGACACCTTTCATATAACACGTAGCCATTTGATCCATTGGCAAAGCAAAGTATTGATTAGTGGAACTTAAAGTGCACTAAACAAAGCCACAGCTGTCAATTTAACTCCTTTCAGAGTGATATTTAGTGCTGTAGTGCGAGGATCAGGATTTCACTGCCCCAGGATTTAACTGACTGAACTCTAGACAAGCCTGTGAAATCTCAAAGGGATGACGGTAATGGAAGGAGGATTGACGGAAGGGCCAGTTTACGATCTAAGGACGTCACAATAACCTGATAGCTGCTAAAACTCTCACATTCAAAAAGACATAAACTGCAACAACAAACACACAGTGGACACTAAAGACCAAGAGCAAAGGGACTGATGTTTGTGTGAAGAGTAGCATGCATGGTGTTAAACTAAAATGCTCAATTCAAATTTATGGAAACAAGAAGACACATCTCAAACTGCAGATATTATACTATTATACCATATTATATGCCCCAAAATTGTTTCAACACAAGTTAAATCCTGTTATTTTAAACTAAATATTCAGTTAGGATAGTCAAAACGGACTGTAGGCATTCTCTGATCTTAAATGTAAATCAAACCATTTATGCTGCAGTGAAGATCTTTTGCCCTTAAATAAAGGTGGGAAACCCCACTAACATAATGCCACCCACTGCAGCCCACATGCCACAGTTTAAATGGCATGTGTCATAGCACAGACCCAGCTGAACAGGAGCCAACCTTTGCTTAAAATGTCATGGGAGAACTAATAAAGCTAGTTAGTGTGACAAAGGTGGACACGCACTCACCAAAAAATGTCAATTGTACATCCTGTGAGCAATAAATACTTTGTCACTTTGACTCAAGCCTCCCTGATGGGAAGTGAAGCACCAAGAGAGCTCAGGAGCTTCACTCAGCATCGTCAGCACTTCGATGTCTATTAAACCACTCAAACATCCTAGTTGTAATAAAGTTAAAAGTCGTTTGGTTTTGTTGGTCGCATCAGTCACTGCGCTTCCTATTGCACTCAGTCAATCTCAATAAGAGGTCTGTATTAATCCAACAAGAGGAGTGGCCAGACTCTAAATTGACCTTAAGCCTGAATGGGAGCGTGAATGCTTGTGTGTCTCTAAGTGCCAGCCCTGTGTTAGTCTGGTGACCTGTCCAGGGTGTACCCTGTGTAGGATCTAAGCCTCGATAGATGCCACAGCATCCCTGGTTGTGTTAAGACAACAATCTGCAGGTTCCAGTTGCCAAACAATCAACATGTTTATTCATACCACCAATACAGGTTGAATAAATGTCCATTTCTTTATCTTTAATCCAAACTGAACACACAGCACATTGCCCACTGTCCTGCACCACAGCGGTAAAAACCTTTTGCTCTTCCAGGATGAAACACCAGACGTCAACAATGTTGTACCTACCTTTATACACTAATGTTCCAAACATCAATACAGCGCCACACAGTGTACATACATAGTAAATACAATTAATGTCTGTTGAGTGGAATGACATGTTTGGCTCTTACACCCTGCCTCTCACCCAGTGTCAGCTGGGATAGGCTCCAACTCCCCACGTGACCCTTAAGAGGATAAGTGGTTATGGAAAATGAATGAATTCTGTTTTTATCACTATTGAATACAAGTAAGAGCATTTTAATGCTGTAGTTCGTCAATGTGGAGCCAATTTTAGGTACTTTAAAAAAAAAAAGTACAATATTTCCCTCTGAGATGTGGTGGAATAGAAGTATAAAGTAATACTCAAGAAAATTACAAGCATGTCAAAATTGTACTCAAGTACAGAACTTCTGTCAATCCTGGTACATGATGTGCATCAGTTCAGTCAATTGTAATTATGCTTTGCTTTTTAACTGTTCATTTATTTATAATATCGTGCTGATGCTTCTTGTTATTGCATTGTCTCCTTTGTTGCTGTATCTCTACAAATTTCCCCACTGTGGGACTGTTCAAGAATGATCTTACCGATGAGCACTGTCTCCATCTAGTGGTGATCTAACAGCTACTACACTTATAGGTACATTTTTCAAACACTTGCACATTAAACAACTGCTCAGAAATTCTGGACATGGGATGAGTTATATATTGCAGAAGTAGCATATAAAGATAAAGTCAGATTCATAAAACCTGAACATGTTGTCCTACATATCACCTACTTTGAAGGAGAGGTGACCTTAAAAATTTCTACGCATTTTTTTGGACAAAAGGGTCAAAGGTCAGGGGTTTTATATCCTGAAAGTGTTCTCCAAAGGCTCTCTGGGAAACTGCTTGAACTACAGGCTTTATTTCCTTTCTAATAAATTAAAGACTGTTGGAGCTGTTGTTACAGTTTCTACAAGTGCTAACAGTGATTTTCATTTTTGATTATTTGTTATTCTTGTTAACGGATGATTGATTTACTCTTCTAATGTAAAAACCTAAACCTAGTATAATTATGTCATTGGAGCATCTTTTCAAGTTAGTCTGATTGCATATGCTGGTTTTTGTTTGTAGAAAATACATTATCTGCATGGCAACTTTATTAACAAGGTCACCAGGACCAAAACAGGCATCTTGTAGGTGAGAATTTTGTCTGACGAAAAGGAAATTATTTACTTTATGCAAAGGGAGAAAAACTAGAAAGTCCTGTAATCAGCAAGGGTCTTTTATTTTCAAATTAGCTGTTCTATTAATAGTCACTTTCCATCCATCTCAAAGCTGATATTGATTAGGAAACATACAAAAAGACAGACCGTGGTCACTTGGTTCAAAGGTCTTTTTTGTTGATTCTGAAACTGAGGTACATTGTAAACTGGCCCAAAGGTCATATAATGTGACAAACAGCTGAACATTTTAACCCCCCGTTTCTGTTATTTACACTTTATCTTTCCCCAAAGAGTGACTTCAACTATATTTCTGCACTTATTAAGTTGCTTATTGATTAATAACTTAATTAGGAAATTTGTCTGCTGTGTTATGGAAATGACGTGCATGTGGAACCTAGGGTATGAACAGTGTGTCCTACCAGCAGTCACTATCTGCACTGTCCAGGGGTATTTGGTCATCAGCACTTGGTAGGATCTCCACAGGGCCGCCATTCTCCGTCCTGGGAAGACAAAAACAGATCAGTCTCATTAAAGAGACTGCAAAAACGGGATTTTCCCACTAACCCACCCCGCCCACCGGCAGGCAATGTGATTCAAATCAAGCGACCCGGCAAATAAGCGCCGTTGTACTGTCAATTATGGCATGTCAGTTAGTTTCAGTAATTAGTCTGCTTCTTGGAGGTGGCTATCATTGACTAAACATATACTATACTAACCTTTTTACAGCTAGCATGCTTTCTTTCACCATTTTGGCAATGAGAGTTCATTTAGCAACACTTTGAGTACATACTTTAACATCTTGTCCACTTAAACTGCTGGCTAACACCCCCACTGGATGAAACTGCGCAATTACAATATTACAATTCAAAGTTAATTTTTAGTTAAATTACATCCTTCTCTGTGAGTTCTGTCAAAGCCGAATTAAAGAGTGGTTTCAGATAATTTAGTTAAAACTCAAAATGAGGTTCTGATATGTAAGTTTATTGACAAACAACCACGAAAACTTTAAACTGTGAAGTTTTTGAACGCGATTCTGTCTGAGTCTAGCTGAGCTAAACCTACATCAAGTTCAGTGCTGCGTCTTAATTAACGTTAACGACGTTACAGCCGGTTGTTTATAGCTAACGGCTAGCTTTACGTCTGTAACGTTAACAAGTTGTAAACCAAAGTAACTTTTAACCGTATTATTCACAGTGTTTATTTAACTGTACGAGACATCCAAGCTGCTACCTACACACAAACACAACTGTCGCGGCTTGCACCTCAACTTTAACGTCAATTAATACTTAGTATAATATAAATAAATGTGATTTAAACGCGTACATGCCTGTGAATGAGCCCGGCTTCGCTGAGTGCTGCTGGTGATGCCTTCACGTCCCCGCATCCGCTCCGAATTGTGACCTCTGAAAACCATCCGGGTAAAAAGCGTGAAGTGCTTTGTGTTGAACCCTTGTCCTGGTGCAATTTAAATATTAATGAGGTCATATTTTCTTCAGAATCAATCAAACAGTATTACTTCAAAGACTTTGCTAATTATCTACTGTATTGTGCAAAACAACACTTATTATTATTGAAGGTAAAAAAAAGTTAGCACGTTATGAATGGTGATGACAAAGTGTGTACTATTGTTGCATTTTAATCTTATTAAAGTTGTTATTCGTATTGAAACTGAACGCTATTTTGAGTCTCCTAAATTTGTGACAAATAAGAAATCCACAACAGCAGATATTTACTCAAAGATGTTTGTTTGATGAAGTCTGACATAGAAGTAATCCTTGATTTTTATTTGTCAGTATTTTCCTTCTTCTCCTATATTATAATTATTTAATGTATATTATTATAATTTAATAAATAAATGAATGAAATTAATAAGTAAACAAACTAAAAAAAACGTACTCCAAGTTTTATCCAAAGACATAAACCATGTCAAATTAATTTCCTTGCATATTAATTGCCAAGTACAAGATGCTGCATCATGTTACTAAATCAGGAAACATCATTAACAGATTTGATTGAAGTAAAAACTTTTTTTAAAAATTATTTTACACATAGCAGTGAATAAAACAACAAAACCATATGATAGTGGGTTAAATTGTTAGTCTACATCTTGAATGCAATCTGACCCTTTAAACACATGTTGTACCCTTCTTTTCATACTCTTAAAATTATTTATTTTGAGTGCATGTAGCTGCTCTGTCTGAAGAGTGGACAAACTTGTTTCTACCTCGCCCTTTCCGTTCATTAGAAAGCACAGAAAATGAACCCATGATTTCCTACAGTCCTGGAAAGCAGCATTAAGACTGCAGTGTGCGTCACTTCCTCTGTAAACAAGCCAAGTCGAAGCCTGCTGCCCTCCTGTGGACAACCCCAGCACTAAATAAAATCACAGACACAAAACTACAAGTTCTTTCAAGTTAATATTTTTATTCTGTACAAGTGAAATGGAAATTGTGAAAACAAAACTAAAGGAAACCAAGAAATCTTTCTCACAAAGCACATGTTCACGTGCCAACACACTGGTGTAACTAGTAACATTAATCATGGTTGCATCCCATTCAGGTGTACTGGTGCATGGCTTACTTTGGGGCCTAAAGTGAACTGAGTCATTATTAGCGTTAACAGTTACACCTGTGCTTTTACTGCCATGACAAATATCCAGTGTGCAAACAATTCATCCGTCGCACACTAAAACAGTTTCATGTACAGTAAGTAATTAATGTGAGGTTTCAAGCTTCCACATAAAAATATATTGTGCCATACAGTACAGATCAAAGTGACAGTAGATAATGTTATCGTAATTGTAATGTGCTCTCAAATACAGCTGGACGTAAACCTTTCTCTTGGTGGACATTTGACAAAAGCACAGGTGTAACTAACACCATTGATAAATGACTGGTTCCAACTAGCTGTGTCAGCAGTGGTGGGATAAAACTAAGTACATTTACTCAAGTACTGCACTTAAATAGGAATTTGAGGTACTTGACCTTTAATTCTTTATGATACTTTATGCTTCCACTTCTCTACATTTTGGAGGCCAATGTTGTACTTTTTACTCCAAAATATAAAGACACTAATAACTGATGTATTAATAACGATTAAACTACTGGGCAGCTGCAACAATAAAGTGATGAACACATTGTTGCATCACTAATTATAAGTCTGTAATTTATATTATTCTGACACAGGCCATTCTGCATCATTATCCGTTTTCCTTTCGGTACTTTGAATGTATTTTGATGCTTATGTTTTTGTTATTTTAGATATTTTAGATGCAGGATGGAGTACTTCTACCACTACTACTATTCTTTTACTCATAGCAAAAGATTTGGGTACTTCTTTGATCACTGTGTGTCAGTAAAGACAGCATACACACTAGCACGTAGCACTGGAGCACCTGAAAAGAATGCAGTCATAATTTTAAATTGTCAAGAGCATGAGGCCTGTTGTCAAAATGAACCTGATATGATCTGGACAGTGACTGCGTCTGCAGAACTTCAGTGTTATAAACATTAAAACAACAAAATATAGTTTATGTAACTTGGATAAATGGCCGCAAAGTAATGCAAAACAATTATGTGAAGATGTAGAATCCCTGCAAACAATATAATTAATAAATAAAAACATAAAAAAAGGGGCGGCAAACAAAATTACCACAACACGTAAGTGTCCCATATGAGCCAGTTTCTCTATATATGGGGGGGGGGGGGGGAGCTGGGCCTTTAAGTTAATTTGAATATACCTAACTTATGCTAACACAAGTGCTGTAGTTGTTTACAAATCATGACATTAGACCACTAGCAGTAACACTTGGTGTCATTTGGTCTCCTGGTCAGTTAAAATTTTATCAGCCCATATATGAACATTTATGATATTGCTGACAAGCTATTGAAAGTGACAGAGCGTTACACTTGCGCTTTCTACACAAAGTCTGACAAGCAACGCAATACAAAGCTATACGTTGAATTAATTAGCAGCTAAAGCTAAGTGATATAATGTTTTGTGATGTGACAGGTTTTTTTTTTTTCAACTCATGGAAAATAAAAAGAAATTAAAGGAATGACACTTTTTCTGAGCACGTTAAAAATATATGGAAGCAAATAAGAGACATAAGTAACTGAACTTTAACAGATGCTGAATACTTTATGGTGAAAAAAAATCTGCATGCTCAAACTCAACTGGTGAAATTCAAATCTAAAGATTCAAGTTAAAAAAATTAAAATAGCAACATCTCAGATACCAAGCATACAGGCAATCGAGCCTGAATGTTTTGACCAATTGGATTTGACTGATGTTTTATTTAAATTTTTTTCAATCAAAATTTTTAGTTCTAAATTTTATCCATCAAATTTAAAAAACCTGACTCTATTTTTTGAAATTATGGAACTTGAATTTTTGGATCTTAATTTGTAAACATTGGGAAATTAAAAAAATAAAAATATATATCATTATAATTAAAAAAAAAAAAAAAGTAAATTTTGAACAAATTAATTCAGATAAATGGTTTTTAGGGTAAAATATTTCAATGCTCTCAATTCAGTGGTGTTTAAAATTGCAATATTAGGTATTCAGTTGCTGTTAAAATTTAAATATTTGCCTCTTATTTGCTTCCTATGAATGTAAGTTTTACTTGAACGGACACAATGGCTCTGTGTTATTATTGTGGTAAACAGTGAGATAAAAACAAAATCTAACAGATAAAACAATATATGCTTGTTTCCTCTAATCATCCGTCAGTCAGTCTTCTTGTTCAAGTATGACTCCTTGTTTCTTTCAGTGAAAGTTGCCTGAGATAATACCATTATACAGTACGGACAGCTGGAGCTTCATCAGCCGAGCAAAGCTGCAATACACCAATAATTCTTACTGAAAGCTTCGAGCTAAAATTACACAACACTGCTACGTGGGCAAATTAAGTTACATCTAACTCTGGAAATTTCCTCCCCTAAACATCCAATACTTGTGATAGAGACTAGACATAAAGGTTGAGATGTAATTTCATGTTTGTCGTTTCTTTGTGCAAAACAAATGATTAGATAATTACCGATTAAACACGTAGCAGTGTATCGACGGATCGATTTGACACTATGAATTACATTTTTTCGTAACTGCTGTTAAAATTGAGGATTAAAACTGAGCCTAGCTCTAGCCAAATCTTCCCAGCTAACTTTTACCAATGATTTATTTACAATATTTAAAGGCAGAGACACTCACTGTGCAAAAATCCCGAAAGAAACTTGAAAATTTTAAGGCCCTTCCAGTAAACTGACAGTACGTGAATTCAAACCTCAACGCTTCAGCAACAAAAACACATGACTCAACAATATTTACATGATAATTGAGCAGTTTTCTCTCTCAACATGCAGCTTAAATTGGTGGCCATTGCAGTACACTCCTTTTGAGATTGCAGTGGAATTAATACAACTGAGTGAGAAGGTGCCAAAGCTGACCAACACTTTGACTCCTTTAAAACTGGCTGTAAACTCGAATGGGGAATGGCACAGATGGAAATCTCTGCTGAGCTCTCACTGACATTGTCAGTAATCGCGCTGACCCAACAGTGAACTCTGTTCAGAACAGGAAGCAGTTTATTAAAGCATCACCTCCCTGGTCTGGAGGATGTCGATGGAGCAGATGAGCAGCGAGGGATGAAGGAGAGTCTCTTCAGGGTTTTCATGGCTGTAAGTGCTTCTGTAACAACGCTCCACGTCCCTGATAGGCTCTCTATTCAGAAGTCCATCCCTTCATCACTCTCGCACCAGTCTGATGGAGCGTCGGTGCCAAAGTAACGATCTCCAAAATTACCTTTGGAAACAGAAAAAAGAAGAGAAAAATGAGAAAAAGACAGGATTTCTTTCCCATCTGTAATGAGTCCTCTCCTTTAGGCTACTTCAGCAAACTATACACGATTCAGGCCTGAAAACTCAGGTGGGTTGCAGAACACAAACCCAGGTTAGGGGACATGACAGGGGTACAACCTCTGCCATCTGTCTGTTGACTAAACCAACTACTGTTCATCTCCTCTATGTTAGACTGAACAGTTACTGTAAGACTTGTGTACAGTTGTATGTAAGTAACTCTATATTTTGATTCATTTTATTCTATTCTAATTTTAATATCTCCGAGTTTGCATGTTCTCCCCGTGTCAGCGTGGGCTTCCTCCCACAGTCCAAAGACATGCAGGTTAACTGGTGACTCTAAATTGTCCGTAGGTGTGAATGTGAGCGTAAATGGTTGTCTGTCGCCATGTGTCAGCCCTGTGATAGTCTGGTAACCCTTTCCAGTTCCGCCTCTGGCCCAATGTCAGCTGGGATCAGCTCCAGCCCCCAGTGACCCCCGACACAATAAGCGGTTACGGAAAATGAATGAATGAATAATGAACGAGTATGATTTCAAACCCGATGTGGCTACTTTTCGTTGAGGTTTTCTCATGGTGGCACAGACACAGATCAAGTTACCATCTATTGCACCATGTTGTGAGTTCATGTTGATAAGTTTCGCTTTTGTTGCTACGGGTGTGGTGAGCAGAGCTGCATTTGTATTTATAATGTTACTAGAATACCTATTAGTCGATAGAAATACTGGATTTGGATTGCCGCCCCCGCCCCCCCAATGACTGCATATAAAGACGGATGGTATGACAGCTCTCAAAAAGTGAAGCCGAAACATCTTGATCTTCCCCTGGTGGCTGGCTGCAGTATAGGTCATAAACCCCGCCCTCCACGTTAGCTGAATGGACAAAGCACATGTCAAATACATTTTTCCCAAAGATGGTTTCTTTTATTTGAGATAGTTCTTATCATGCTGATGTATGTTTAAGTGTTCATTTTTCTAATACGTTTGTTTGTAATTAGTTATTTGATAGTATAAAAAGGGGGTCTGACATCATGATTGACAGCTGTGTGTGTCAATCGACGTTTCCGCGATCAGTAGCGCTGCTCGTAATTGAGTTGGATAGGTGTATGGGCAAAAACTTGATACTGCAACTCCACTTCCTGATCACTTCTTCAGAGACTCTCACTCCAAATGATGTTAACAACGCAAGATGGCAGCGCCCAATGTGGAATGTTTTGGCTTCATTTTTGTACAGGGGGAGGAAGTGGAGACGTGTTTCGCCCCAGACACACATTTCATTTCAGGGCAAACTCTAGACATTTATGAGATCACAAAAATACTTTTGTAGATGCAACTTGCTGGGAACAAAAATAATGTTTCTATTTTTCCCCCAAAGATTTGTGTTGGGAGTGCTATCTGACTTAGTCACAGAGTTCAGGTGGTACATTAAGTGACTGATCAACATCTTAATGGGCCTTTTTTCACAGTAGAGTATTATAACTTGTCAAGTGCAGGTGTTACTGATAACATTATGATGGCTCTGTTCTATTCAAGTGTGCAAGTAAGTCGTGGCAGTGTGACAGTGAGCCAACATGAACAATGGCAGGACCTTGAAACTGAAGCAGCTAAATGAAATTAAGCCATCATTCATTTTGTTATTTGCATCAGTGCTTTTCTGACAGTGACATGTCAAACACTAGATTAGATTACATCAGACTCTAAACCTGTGGCTACACTTTCATTACTAAAGTCAAAGCAGATGTTTTGTTCCTGCTGTGGCATCACTAGATTTTGGAAGGTTCGGCATGTTGAACACATCAAACACACAGAGAACAGCAATGTGATTCAGCGTTGATTTGGCATTTAATATCTCACCATCTGATAGATCTATAAATCACCTTTTCTTACTGTCTTTCACTGCCTGCAAATAAAGGTTAAAGATAATTCATAAAGCTTTGCAGTGGCTGGCTCGGCCTTACATAACTGAGCTGCTGAGCTCTTATAGCACTGCAAGGTCAGTTCGGCCTTCTTATTAAGGACTCTGAGACATAAAACCAGAGGTGATGGTGCCTTTACTGTCCTCTGGAAACACCTTACATGTCAGATAAGTCTGCTAAACACTTAAGACAGAACATTAAGACACAGCTTACACTGTTTGCAACATCAGTAGATTTCCTAGGGTTGTTTATGTATGTGTTCTTGTATGTAACTATGAAAGTGCCACTTAAAGCGGTGTGAAACTGCTCCTTACAGTACATGCTAAAAATTCAGGTGAAAGTGAAAAAAGAAACCTCACCGATGCCTGGTATGATGTGGAACTGGTCATTGACCTCCTTGTCCACGGCGGTGGTGATGATGCGGACTTTAGGGAAGGCGTAGGCCACTGAGTGGACACCCATCTCTGCCATCAGCAGGGACAACAGGAAGATCTTATCTTCTGCTACATCGTGGTCCTTGGAGCAGAAAATGCACATTAAAGACTATCGAATACATTCAGTATCGCTGGTGGAAGAGACGGATGGATGGATGACACCCATAGAGCTGTGTTGACCTACTAGCAGCACTCTGACAGCCATGAGAGCAGCAGCTCCGGTGGAAACTGTGCTGTCCATCAGGATGACATAGTCTTCACTGATGTCTTTGGGCAGACGAAGGTAGTGAAGCTACAAGGAAGAGAACAAGACAGTAAATAACATCACATTAAAAATGGACAGGTATTCTGATATTTACTACCTGTATCAATCTGTTAGTATCATTAAATCCTGCCAAAAAAAGAGACAAATTTCAAAAATGAATTGCTACATTTGGTCAGTTATATCATGAAGTTTAAGAGGAAAAAAAGCAATCCAAAAGAATCCATATCCTCCTGAGACCCTGTGTCCTCATAGAGGACATCTCATTTTGGGTTTACTGCACCTTAAACGTCATTCTACTTAACTTAGATCTGTTGTCCTCGGTCATGGACACTTTTTTTGTCCCATCTCGTGGCCCTGGCAGAGCGCTGAGAAGACAATCAAACTTGACTATTTAGAGGAGGTAAAGGTTGTAACAAGGTTTCCGTCCGTTAATCTTTGTAAAAACAAGATGGCAGCTATCTCTGCCTAGTCAGTCTGCAGCTAATCCTGACACAAAACACAAGGTTCAAAACCTGATCACATTTTGTGGTTGAAACATGTTTATTTATGATTAATAATATCTGTTCTTTGATATGCAATACAAATGTGACATATTTTTGCACTCGTTTGAGGACATTGGGACTTAAATCATTGACTATGTTTAGTTTTTTATACTAATCAAGTCCTACTGATCCCAAATAGCTAGGAGAAATTAAAAATGCAAACCAAACAAAAGTTCGAGTCTCAGGAGGATATTGGAAGCCTAAACCCCAAAATCCAGATAAAACAAGCATTATGTCAAGAAAAGGTTTTATGATGAAAACACACAAAGCAGTGGTGAAATGCGGTTAGCTGCAATAATTGCATTTTTCTGCAGCCAGTAGTAGTGTCCGTGTCTTTGCTGCAGATTGGTGGGATTTCAGCGTAACTGTACATTCACACAAAAAGCTGCCAGAGCTGCAAACGCATCAGGTCTAATTAATTTTCAATGGATAGTGGCGACCAGAGGAGTTTTGAGCTGCAAAAGCAATGAGCGGCAGCATTCGGCGAATTGAGCTGCAAATGAAAGTTGAAGACTGGTTAACTTTATGCAAATTAGCTATGATGTGTTTGAGCTGCAAATGACCAGGCACCAATTGAAAAGTAGATGTCCATCCAGCTTGTGTGGAACCCAGAGAACATCCTTGGAAACTTTTAGTTCCTACCACACATTCGTTCCTACTAACAAGCAGTAAGCTGTCAAATGAAGTAGCGCTGGAACCTCTCTCCATCTAGCTGCAGCTCTCGCACCGGCCGATGATATTCCCTGTGCTGTTCACAGCACTGGAGGATATCGTGAACCCAGACCCGACGGTGGCTACATCCACGCAGGTATTACAAGAGTGTCTTCTTCCATGTTGAATCAATACACACGCGCACGTACTTATACAATTTCTTTGTGTTCTGGAACGCTTGTTATTGTTATTCAGTTCGGGTTCAGCCCCCTTGACATGCTGCTGTGTTGTGCTACGGTGTATTCAAGCACTGGAATTTGTTATTTACGTGACAATGCCTGAACGCAACACAGGCTGTGTGTGTTTAATGTTTAATCACAGACCTATTTAGACTTTTTATCCTGTTTTCATTGTCCAAATGTGAAAGTTTCTGTACTCAGGCAAATGCACAAAGTCACATTTCTGTGCTCCAGCCAGTAACCTGCTTTGTGGCTCCTTTAAACTGAGAAGCATAATTGAGCATTCAGAATTTGACATCATGAGCGACTTGAGCTGTTTTTGCTGCCACAAACATTTTACCAGTGGCGCTGCTAGAGCGAATTCAGCTATTTTGCAGCTCTGGCAGCTTTTGGTGTGAACGTACAGTAACACATCAAAGCTGATGACTGACAAAATTATGGATTTCATTGTGTTGGATGGTCATAGTTTTTTTTATTTTGTTTTTGTATTACTTTAATTGTCAGATTTGATTTGCAGAATTCAAAGTCCTGAAATGTTTAATCCTCAGTCAACCATGTAAAGCACTTTGTAACTTTGATTTGATAAGTGCTATATAAATAAAGTTTACTATTCTTATTTAATGCAGTTGAAACCAGGATTTCTGACTCATCATCTTGAACTTTGCTACTCACTGCCAAACACATTTGTATCTTTGGTAAGGCTTTTCCTTTCTGTGTGTGTACAACAATCAAGATGTGACTTAACGACTTAACTCTGAATTCGTTATGTAATTTTTCAGTGATGAAGTTTTGTGACACTTTCAAAGCCATCGTCATTCTTATCAAATACCTGCTAAAACTTTGTGAGGCAAACACAACACTGTTGTTGAGACATAACAGAAACAAAGGCTGTAGTGTTTGAGACTCACGTACCTCTGGTTCACCTGTGTCATGGTTTGTCTGGATGAGGATCTTTCCCAGCCTGATGTCTTTGCACACAGCCATCAGAGCCTGCTCCATCGTCTCTCCTGCTCTCAGGATGGAAACGCCTGTGATCTATAAGAAACATAGATTTTAATGTTCTGGGGATGTTAACTTGGGTGCGCAGCTTATCTGGAGCTGAGAAGCAGGACAAAGTGATGACCTTTGAAGACCCAACATATCTGCATGATGAGCACCACCTGCCTAAATACATCTAACATTCTGCTGGCAGCTCAAGGCCACCAGTGTCCTCACATACATTGCTAAATGCTACATTTGGTTTCTCATAGATCCTACCAAATTTTCTTCTAACTTTGACTGCATCATTTTGATTGTGCAGTGAGTGTGCACCAATACCATGGTCGGTAGTGGTCAGTGAGTGTCTGTCGCCCAAGTTTTTGCAGTGTGTCCCGCACCGTTGGCACTAGTTGGCCGCTGCTGAATGTTTTTCATCTGACCCAACATGTTGAATTCGTGTTGGAGACTGCAGAGACCTTCAGTGAAAGAAATCACTCTGAATGGCTGTTCAGTTCAGCGTACAAACGAAGAACCGGAAGTGAGGAAAGTAAACAAACTGCTTAAGTCAAGAGGGAGTGAAATCCAAACAAACTTGTTATATAAGGTAAGATTATGTTTTAGCCATGGAGCTCTTTAGCAGAAACCGTTCGCAACTGTTTGTGGTATTGTTTGCTATCGCACGGAAAATATAGTTTGTTATTTCAACATCGGACTGTGGTGTTAACGTGCTGAGCTGCTAACTAGTTTCTCAAATCCATCCTGTCATTTTCCGGTTTTCCATTTTGAATGACAAAAACAGAGTAACTCCACTTGCTGGTATGGAGAGTTATTTCCTCCCATGTAGGCACAGAACGTATGTGCTTGTTGGCCATTGACTATAGTCTTTGTGGTGTGTTCAAGTGCAAATTTTTGGCTGAAACACAGTGACACAACAGTCGTCCTTAGTCGCCACTAGTTTTTTGATGTTGTTTTGGTGTGTCTGGGTCGTGGTAAAGGTGCTGAGAGGCCAAACACTAAACACAGACTTGGTGACCAATAAGATAATTCAACAGTGAACAGAAGCATAAAAGCAGACTCACTCTTTTACCGCTCAGCCTCTTGCCATTATAGATGCCTCCCTGAGGCGTTTCCACAGATACTGGCTGGAGAGGGAGGAAAACGAGGAAGAGGAAACAAAAAGGAAAGGGACAAATGAAAACCATTTTGTCTGAAAAATCACATTTCACTTTAATAATTACACCAGTTAAGTTGTAGGTGACACCAAGATTCAGCGCAACCAACTTCGAGCAATTTTAACAGTAGAGAATACTTTGCTATATTTATATTCCAACACCATTCAACCTTAAAATGGAAGCAGCAGGTCAGTTAATCTTCACATTTCCACACAAAAACAAAAGACTTACCTTGAGGGGCAGGAAGGAGAGGGCATGCTCTATCAGAAGCCTCATTAATCTCTTGGAGTAGAAGATAAACTCATCTCGGTTAGTCTCCTTGTTCCTACATAAACACGCAGAGGTCAGGAGCAAAGAGGATGAAAAAGATTTGTAAGAAAATGGCAAAAGTTTGACCCATACAGGGAGTGAAAGTCGGGATATCTCGACGGCTGCTGCTTTGATTTCAACCATTCTTGTCTTGCAAGTCCCCCAACTTTATGTACAATGGATGGTTAAACAGTTTTGAAGAAGACATTGCTTGTGAGATGTGAGTGTGTATTCTGACCTGATGATGGTGTGCATGCCGCGGACCTGTGGCGTACTCTCCATCACACTGAGGGTTTTGGGTAAGGGCTGACCCTGGTGAGCCGAGGCCAAAGCCGATCTGTTTAAATCAAACAGAGGCAGCGTAACTGACATGTAGGAATGATAAAGTAACATACTGCAGCAGCAGACAAGGACGTCCCTCCAGCCTTAGCTTTTCTCAATCAGATAATATCCTGCTCTATCTTTTCAGTGAAAGCTTTTTAATTTAGAACGAGGGCTATCCCAAATACCATTTTTTGGGCTCCGGTAGAAAGAAAAATCTATCTTTTAGTTTAACAAAAGACATTCAATTTTAAGGATTATTTTCATATTTAACCCATCCTATACACTAGGAGCAGTAGGCAGCTGCAGTGCAGCGCCCAAGACCAAACCAAAACAAATGCTGGCTACATAGCAGATGTTTACAATATGTTGTTAAACTGCACAGGGCCTGGTTTCACAAAGATTAAAGACTTACTTAATTTCATCAGCTTTAACCATCTTAATCAGCACTAACTGACTCATTGCTTGTTCTCCAACACTGTCATAAACATAAATTGCCTAAAGTATTCTTGTGTTTTGTGCCACCAACTGTTATAATATAAACAAAGATGTAATTTTGGGGAATACAACTAAGTCAGTCTTTATTTCTAACTAGCAAAAGGGCAAAAGTAAGACTGGTTTATGTGTGTAGATCACTCCAACGAGCTGCACGATATCTTTGTGCAACCAGGCCTCCAGTTTTAGACAAGCTGCTATGATCTAAAAGCAACATGTTCGGTCTCCATAAACATATCTGCATGCATATGTATGTGGAATCTGTAGGCAACAATACAAGATTTTGGTTTCGGAAGCATTCTAGTCTCTAAACTGTCTGTTTGGGGAGCAAAAGATGCGATTTCCCGAAATGCAATCTCGGAACCTACCGGCTATTGTCTGAAGATGGCTTAGATGTTTGTTTGCTTTTTTCTATTCAATTATATTATTTTATTTTTGCAATAAAGTGGTTACAGAACAAGAAGAGACAGGTACAGGGACACATAGATAGCCAAAAGAGATTATATAAAATAGAAACAAGTCAAACAATAAAAACAAATACAGCAAAAGCTGAACAAAAGAAACAGAAAAAGGAGGTCTAACACAGACAGTAAAGGCAGATGAATGTGTGTAGGTGTTTGTTTTGTGTGTGATCTGGATGACGTGGTGTGTTTTTTTCTAATTTATCTGTATTCATATGTAGAGATTCACAAAATATTGTCTGGACCTGTATTGAGTTGTGAACTGAACCGTACACAATGACCGATGTTCTCAAAAGGAAGTCTTGACCTGAACATCTACTTGCCACACTGGATCTCCTCAAATTCTGGTTGTTGCCCCCAGAGGCTTTATTGTCATCATCACACGACAGTCAATGAGTTCAGAGATTGCTGGAAAGGTAGCTGGTTATTTTGTACTGTTACTGATTTTGGAAGCAAGGCTATTGCAGTGTGTGCGATCACGTTAAGCCAACGAATGCAACGCAAGAAATGCAATCCTGAAAATAAGCAAATGCTGCAAAAACACTTTCAGCACACATGCTTACAAAGTTAAAAAGCGAAGAAGCAAGCTGAAAAATCTATTTCTGCTGCCACCTACAGCTGCATGCCCTGTCCTAAAGAAATACAGCATGCGTCTGATGCTTCTGCTGTGACACCCTGGATTGCCAATGAGTTTAATGCTTTCCAGCCAAAACAACTTTAGTGTGTCATGAAAGGCATCAAAGAGGACAAACAAGCATGTTGGCTTTTCTATGGTGAAGGCGTTCGCTCAGTTCAATATGCACAGCTGATTTTAAGTTAAAAGGCCAGAGTGCATAAAAACTGCTTTCAAAACTATGGCACTAAAAGAGGATGCACAAGGCGAGCCTCACATATCCCAGCGGAGCTTCCTCTGAAGAAGGTGACAGAGATTCATTTGATAAGATTTAGAGATGAGAAGTGGAGGCGGGGGGAAGAGACAGAAAAAACACAGGAAGAAAAATACACAAAAGGACAAGAAGAGACAAAAATATAAAGGAGAAGAGAAAAGAAAGAACAGTGTTAGAGTAGTGAAAACAGCTCCACTACATCACGGCTCTGCAACACTGAACAAATACCTTCTAGTTCTGGGCTGAGGAGCAGCGATTCAATTTGTCTTATAAGCGGGTTCATTTTAGGTGACTCAATTCATTCACACTCCAAGTAGGCTACTTTAGAAGGCTAAAATACAGATCAGTCACCCTTTATAACCGGGGCACAGAGATACACTACTGAGAGCAGCCTTTGTTCCTGCGCATTAACAACCCGACCTGAGCATTGATCCTTTTATGTGAACTCAGGTTTTTAACCATTAGTGTGTTTTAAAACCACTTGGCTTCATTTTCAGAGCGCCAGTGAGGTTTTTTTCAACATATTGTACATTTACCCAATAACGTCAACACCCGTGAGCATTTCATTCAGGTGTTAAAATGCTTTTCTGCCCAATAGAGCGTCGAAAAATGCACTAGTGGATCTTTGGTGTGCTGCTTCAACACAGGGTGGACTACAGCTGTAATTTTTAAAAGGCAAATGGTACCTGTATCAAATCATATCTTCTTGACATAAGGGCAAAAGAGGATGTAAAAAGTCCCACTTTCCCCCATGTGAATTTACATGAGCTTTGTTGTGTGGTCGTGAGAACATGGCCTGTGGAGCTTTTGAAGACGTAGATTTAACCAATTATTTTGGCTACTTAGGAGGCAGCGGACATGTCAACTCAGAAAGTTGATTTGGTGACGACACTAGCAAACTTACATTATTTTAGTCGCCAGCCACGAAATTTTAGCTCTCCTTTGGTCTCCACCAATTCCATAGGAAAATATCTGTCTCTTTAATTTAGATATCTGTAGTAACAGAACAAAAGCTTGCAGGCAGAGGTAATCAATGCAATCCATGCAATCCATATTGCTACTACTGTATACTTCCGGTGTGCAGTGTGCAACACCCTCAGTTGATGACATACCTGATTAAAATGGTTCCTCTCAAAACTGGTGGAAATACAGGCTGGCTCACCAGATAGAATCATGAACATAACTGGATCAAAACCCAGAGCCAATGTGGTGGAATGTTTTCCTGATATACATGTTGGATGATATTTTCGTCTCATCAATAAACGGCCAATGGTAGACAGACGATGCGTTTTCACAATGAGATCCGGTACTTCCACTGTAAAGTACCAATCACAGAGGGAGGAATCCATCGAAGAACAAACAGAGATTATCAATATCTGCAGAATGAAAGGCTTTCTGGGCAAAAAAAGCAATCGCTTGCAAAAGTTATCCAGAAAGAATGACTGATTGATTTGCTCATCAGAAAAAAAAAAGACAAAACAAGACAATTATTCATGTTGTCTTTGTTTTCAAATGAAAACAGAAAATAGAATGAAAGCAGGAAGGGGAGGGAAGGAGAGGGGGGGAAAGATGTAATAATAAAAAAGCAACAGTCATACCTCACAGTGATCTCACGCTGGAATGGTTACACAGCATTCAGGCAGGCAAGGGGAGTCGTGCACGCACAAGGAGACACACACGTGTGTGTACATACAGTGAGACACAAGAAGAAAAAAAAGAGATAAGCAACATAAACCCCAAAGCCAAACATTTAAAGCACAATAAATGTTTGTTAAAGTGTAGTACTAATGACATCCTTACAAAACATTAAGCATGTTGAGCTGTGAGCTAAGTGCTAACATCAGCATGCTAACAAGCTCACAAGACAATGCTAACATGCTGATGTTAGCAGGTGTAATATTTACTTTGTTCACCATCTTAGTTAAAGTTAAATTGAGGCTGATGGAAATGTCATTAGTTTAGGAGGAATTGGTCATTAACTAAAGTATTGGAACAGTCAAAATTTTGACCTGTCGCTGACAGATGAAGGGATCACCCATGAAATTACCATTCAGTCTGAGTGTGGACATGAATGTCTGCACAAAATGTGCTAGGGCTGGGCGACATGGAGAAAATCAAAGGTCAAAATATTTTTGAACAAATATTGTGGGTAAAGTCAAATAATAGAACAGCTAGAACAGTCTGGTAAGTTCAGAAAATTACATCACTTCTCTGTAATGCAGCCTTTAAAACCAGTAAAAGACAACTCTTTCAGTATTATGATATCCAAAATCTTAGACAATATCTTTGTGGATGGCGCTCTATGAAGAATACGACAGTATCATACGAACCTTACCCATGTTTCATGCTGCAGGTGTTGTAAATGTAAATGAGTGTGAAAGATGTCAAAAATGTCAAAGGAAGGACAAATCATGGTTTGGAACTGGTCCAGAAGTGGATGGCTGACACTACAGTGAGTTGAGGAAAGATGGAGGACAGCTCTCCTGGCTTCATGCGGTCATTAGTATCTAGTATCAGGGCCAGATCAGGGAATAAAAGGGGATAATGAGACAAGAGAACTCTTGACATAAATTCTGAATGACAAGGTTGACTGAAAAATTGAATCTTTAGTGTCGTTTTCTTCAACCAAATGGCTGACTCTAATTTTCACTTGCAGACAACAGCAGGAAAGCCTGACCACCATTTAGCTTGTTCAACCAGCAGAGGGGGGAAATGGTCAGAGACAACATAAGGTTTAACCAAGTGCTCAGACTCCTTTGACCAGATCTGAGGCTGCATTCTTCTCATGAGGTAAAACAATCAAGACTGTGCATACTACCATAAAAGGGTAAAACAGCCTTTTCTATCCTCTTCAACTGAACCTGCTCTCTCCACCAGTTCAACAGTAACAGGCAGTGGTAGTAAGAGAAGGGCAAAGAGGTTGTCAAATTTAGGGTGAGAGAGAGACATCCCTCAATTGGGACCCAGGGTATGATACCAGTGGAAGTATCACGGTTCTGAGTAGTATCATGATACCACAGCGAAAATGAGGCAGATGTGCCTTTTGTCATTTATAAAAAGATAAATCACTTTTCTATAATACATCAATGATATTTCAATGGAATAAATTACTTAGTGACTTATTCATACTTCAAAAACAGCATCAATGAGTGATTAACATAGGGGGGGATCAAAATAAAATAAATAAATAAAATAAAAATCAACCAGCCACCCTCTTCCCTTGACAAGTCCCTTCATAAGTAAAGAACAGTCCCTAAAGTGCGCTGAGGTTTGTGGACACAAAGAGAGAAATGTGAACGGCTCGTTTCTCCTCTGATACGCCACATACTGTGTGCTGCCATGGCTCAGCTGGCTCAGCTGTCATTCACCTGGAGCCGGACTTCTTCTTCGCCAGTAAGCCGTTATAATGCGCCGCCGTATTTGACAGGAATACGTATTCCTGTCCGTGTCTGTGACCCCCGTTCAACCCACAACCGGCGGGATTCGCCGTTTAGTTTCTGCTGCTGGTTGAGATCTGTACTCACACAGCGTGCTGAATGATTTATTTTGCCCACACAAAACTATTTTTAGTCACAAATGCGAGTGCGGTGACGGAGTAAAATATCGCCACACTGCCGACATTTTACTCCGTCAGTCACCATCCCTAAATAGAAGCCTTCCCCCACTCCCCCCTCCCCTCACCGCTGCTCTCCTCACTATACTGGCTGCTGCGCTGTGCAAGTGCACAGATGTCTCAGAGTGGTGGTGCATTTGCAAAATAAATGTTTTGAAGGAGCAGCAGCGGCGGCAATAATTTAGCAGCGGCGTGTTGCCACTGCTAAATGAATGTAGTGGAAACACTGAACTCAGCAAACTGCGCTGACAGTGTCGAGTTGAAGGTGGCCACATGAAGGAGATCAAATTTCAGTAGAGGTGGAAGGGGAGAAGATGTGCACGGTGCACATTATGCTTGTTTACTGGAAAGTTTATGTGTTTTTTGGGGTGACCACATGAGATGTAGCAGTGGCAGTCTCAAAGAAAACTAAAACTTTGTCATTGTGGCAACATTTTGGATTTGAAGCAGACGAAAGAGGTGAGCCCAAAAAACAGATGAGGCAACGTGTAAGTACTGCAGCAAAAAGGCCATGGCAAAATAGATGTGCATTAACACCACCGAGTGGACTAGAGTTGCTACACTCTCATTCATGGGCTCTCTTGAAGCTCATTTAAACTCCCTTTACACATGAAAATAGACACGTTCATTTCAAACACTGTGACTGTCACACTAGAGGGCAGAGTCAAAATTTTCTGACAATAGCAACCATGGCGAAGTTGTAGGAGGTTTGTACCTTTTAACAAAGGCAGCATTGTAGACGGCAGTGATCTGTAAGACCAGTAAAATACATCGCACCATGGGGACAGAGAATTCTTTTCACTATATCACCGATTGGTTTCGTTGCGCCATTTGTAAAATGTTATTTCCATGAGCCTTCAGAAAAGGTGCACAAATATGGATGAAATAAATGCAATAAGGACAGAGGGCTCTGTGTGTGTCCGTATACATATCTGATGTTGAACATAAAGGAGCCATTGGTCTTATTATGTTCCACCCGGGGGCAGCTGCTGAGTTGAGTGTGACACCTAAAATTGTTTGGCTTAATATCAAACTGGTTTGAAAACATTTACTCTGGCCCAACCCTAGTAGACTTTCTTTTACATTTAGAAATTTGTCAGTTATACTTGTATGATGTGATCAGGAAATGAGTAGTTTATTACACTTGTTATAAATTTGAGACATTGAAGGATTTTCTGATAGATATTAAGGCCCATCGTGTATGTGAGGCAACACAAGCAAACCAACAGACTGACACTCAAAGCGCCACAGGCCATGTTCACACTATCTCACAGCTTCACGCACTCTTCAAACAGCCATTGTTCTTTCTTACTTAAGTTAAAGTGGCTGTTTTGAGGCCGGATGGTGGGCTTTCTAAACCTTTGGAAACTTGAGCTCTTTAGAAGACACTTCTGATCTATGGCATCTAAAAAACTGCAGCCAAATGTGTAGCAGCGGTTATTATTTTGATCATTCTGAAGCCCATTAGCTGTGTTATTGAGGAAATGGCTGTTTAAACTGCTCTTCCCTCATAGCAGCTGCAACTGCAGATTACAGAAAAGACACAGTAATAACAGCTATCAGCACAGCATGCAGTCGAGGCAGCGCTTTTTCTACAAAAAAAACCCTCACAGACTGAACAAAGACTTTCAATCTATAAGGGTGGAAATAACCAAGATAACCCAAATGTTCAGCTGAATCAATATAATTCTGTTCAGGGCCCAACAAACAACAAAAAGAAACTGTTGAGGAATCTTTACCTTCTCCAGCTGACTGTGAACATGCTGAACAATCAAATCCAGTGCTACAAAGTTTTCTCCACCTGCAAATAAGTTTAAGACAAAGGACAAGAATTTAACGCTAAAGTTTAACCAAACCTGCCAAATAAAGTAGCACAAGTATCAAGGAACATGTAACGGTTGGACATATTGAAAAGTAATTATTAAACCAAATTTCCACTGACCTCTGGGCACCACAATGTCAGCAGACTGCACAGTGGGCTCGATGTACTGCTCGAACGCTGGCTTTACAAACTTATTGTACTGTTTGATGATGCCACTGATGTCCCGCCCACGCTGTGAGATGTCCCTCTTCAGCCTCCGTATCAGGCGGATGTCAGAATCTGTGTCCACAAACACCTTCATGTCCAGCAGCTGGCAGATCAAAAGGGAAAGGAGAGAAATCAGTCTAATTAATATGTGATTTATTTTTTCTACTGCATTTCTATGTCTTACACAGAATTACTGTGATTTTCCTGTTTCCCAGAATGTACTGAGTGCCAGCATAAAGGATATACTGTAGTGGTGCAAACACATGTAGAGTCTAATGTAAAGGAATATAATGGATCTAAAATAATGCTAAATCTGTACAATGTTTTACAATGTTCCCCCCTTTTGTTTTCCATCCAAAGTTTTAGAAATTGAACCATGACCAACCACAGAGGCGGCAAATTAAATACTTGACATACTGTATCTCTACATAGGGAGTGGGTCTTCGTTAATGGAGATCGCCATGTTGCATGCTGTTTCTGAAATAACCCAGAATGGACAAACCAAAAATTGGCTCCTTTATTAGTTTTGGAAAAGAAGAGACCCTTGTGGATACTTCGGCTTTCAGTGAAAACCTTCTAAACGTCTGGATCTTATAGTAGAAAAAAGGTGACCACACATCAGCATGTGTTGGACAAACACTCGCAGTGACATGCCAAACTGTGTCCAAAATACCAGGCTTTGTAGAGTGAAACTGCGGAACCTCCTGAACAATGAACACTGAAGTAAATCTTGCCAGAAGTTTTAGCTTGTTGCAATCTGCAATTCACCACTAGACACAACCAAATCCTCCTAAATCTTACACACTTCACCTTTAGAAATACGCATAATTAAGGCGGGGCCACATCCAAGATGGCGACGGAGGAATTATCGAACTTGAGGCTTCAAAACTAGTCCAAACCAGTGAGTGACATCAGGGTACCTTCGTCCATTAATTTAAATAGTTTGTTTAAACAGTTTTGTTTTGGCCAACCAACTACCCAAAACTCAAAGATATTGCGTGTACAACCGTAGAAAACTAGCCAATGTTCAGACTGAGAAGCTCAGCCAGAGGATTATAAAAGTATTGGCAGTTAATTTTCTGCTGATTAACTCACTAACTGTTTCAGCACCGAACCCGAGTATAAAAAGTATGTGGTTTGTACAAACAGTATAAGGAGGGAGGAACAAGTGGCAGACTGAAAACTGTGCCGGCTTCATCTTTTAGTTTTGTCAAAATGCCACAGCCTGCTTTGCTGCACACTGAAAGTCACAGTGGAAAAACAATTTTGAGTTGCCTCCGTGATTTGACATTTTTATAGCTGAAATGTGACGTTGGGTCGGGACATGTCGAGGAAGTCAAAAGCATAAAAAACTGAGAAGACATTAGTTATCATTGTCACTTTAAAGAGAAAGTCAGCTCCATTAAACCGAACCTCAACTCAGCAAAACCAGGAAAAATCAATGAGCCAGCATCACAATAGAAGCGAAACAACAAAAAAGGCAACAGCCTTGCTCACCAGAAGAGCTATTGATGACAACTGAAATAAAAAGAAGTTTGTGAGTGATTTAGACAAGGAGGACAGTAGGGGTCCAGGAATAACTCAGTTGTACAACAAGCCGATGGCTTCTGTCTGCTGTAAATCTGACAAACCGACCAACCAAAAGACGGCATGTTGCTGGATAAGCACGGCTGTCAGCCTATAGGGGGAATGACGAGTGGATGGTTCCCAAAGGTTAGAGAGCATGGCTGTGGCTGTAGATCATTTGCTAACCTGCTCCAACAGGAAGGCAATCTGTTTCTTTATGCTGCAACAGTGAAACTGAAGACATAGCTTTCATTAAAGTTATAGATGAAGCTCTTTTTATACAAACATTTTTCATATGTTTCTTTATTTGACAAGAATTTTTAAGCAATCTAGTTATCAAAGAATACAACAAAGGTTTTCAAATATACCAGTGGGTCCCTGTGTTTGTTGATACTGGCAATAAAGACAACCTTACAAAAGCTTTAGCCCCATCCGTTTCCTGTCTGAAAAAAATGTCTTTGAGTTAATTGCAACAGTTTACTTTACTTGTACATCATTTCCAAATCATTTCCTTGAAAGTTTCCTATAAAATTATGTGGTACTTATTATAAAGCAAATATAGACGGCAGGTAACCTAAATATCAAATGTGAATTTCGTCAACAGGTTTAAAGTGAGCTGTTCTTTTGAAGAAATTCCCATTTACACTAGTGTCAAATAAGTTTTTTCCAGGAAACTATCACTACTACTTTAATTTTTACCCTCTGCCTGTGCACACATACCTGGTAAATATGATATGATTATATTACATAACATTTCCAAACAGTACGAATTAATCAGAATCACCTAAACACACCATTAACAGACTGTGTTGTGAATTAGATTGTGAGATGCTAAGTGTTTCATCTAGATTAATTTAGAGAGGCATTTTACCTGCATTTTTTAATAACTGAGACGAGGCTTTGCTGGCTATCTTCAGAAATGAGGATGCGACTTTGGGAAGAAGTCATTTTAATAGACTTTTACAGTGATGTTGTTACCAAAATACATCTTTATGTCTGTGTGCATGGCTTACATTAAACCAAAAAAGAGACCCAAACAAATGTTATTCATGTTTGTAGTATGCTGGAGTGCGTGATAAAAAATAATATCAGATTGTTAATTTCTTATTTAAATTTTTTTGTTAATTTAAATAAGAGAACATTTATACAAGCGATATCGGATAACAGACAGGAATACCGTCTTTTTGGCTCCACGGGGAAACTCAGCAACTGCCCATCTGACTTAATGCAGAAGTCTGTGGTATATAGGTTGGCAGTCCAAAAAGCATCCGAAGCACTCTGACTGTCGGTTAAAAATCTTTACTAATAAGCTAAATAAATGACCGTGTTTTGACTTAAACGTTCTACATTCTACATCAAGTTAGTTGGGCACTCATTGTTCTTATTGTTATTCAACTACTTGCCCTATCTTTTTTTTTTAACACCAACACCTTGTTTCTTAATCCAAAACAGTACACCCTATTTGTTTTTCTTTACATTTACATATCTACTATTGGCTGGACTGCATTATGGGAAATGTAGGATCCAGTGTTTTAGAAGCTTGACTAATATCAGGCTCTGAAAGTCAGGATATGTTGGCCTCTGCTGACTCAAATTTTGACCTTTTTTTTTTTTTTACACAGTACAATAGTAATTCTTCAGAATACCCCTTTAAATGCTTGTACATAAATCAATCTACTTCAAGACACTGATGCAAAATCCTGTAAATCCAATTTTGCCTGAAGTGGGACTACTTGCATGAAATAGATGGACTGCCTGCAATAGCGTGATAACAACGGAAGATATTACAGGGATGGGCCATTTTAGTATTAATAGTGTTATAAAATCTGCAATGGATAACAAATTTCTTATCTTCAATTAGTACATATATTATATACATATATCGTCATATCACCCAATCCAAGCAGTATGTGTGTCTGTGCAGAGCTTCTCAGTTTCTCAAACCAGACCTCTACATTAGCATATCAGATTTGCAGCTATAATTGACTTCAATTACAAGAACGGACACAAAAGACGATTAATCACTGTGGACAACGGCTGTTATTAACTGAATCAGAGGGTAATCAACTACACAGCCTGGTCTCAAGGGAGGCTGCGTACCTTATCACCACGCTCCAGCTCACACACACAGAATTAATTTCCTCCTCATAAACCAGGTCTCCTCTTCACATGCACACAAACAAGGGTGTAAATCCTAGCTGAATATTTTGCTTTTCAGTATAACTGTTATTACCAATAGTGTAAAAATAAAATAAATAATACATAAAAACCCACAATACATAATACCCACAGAACTATAAAATGTTATTACTCATTTAATACTAGTAAAGAACTCCTCGCATTAAATTGTGATTAACTAAAAACTGAATGGATTTTCAATACTCAAATAAAATGTCGTCTTATGTGGACATCTCTGTAGTCATGATTCGAGAGGAAAGCTGACTGATTGGTATTTGATATTTAATAAAAAAGCCAATACCAGCCTCAATCCTCCGTGTCACCACTGCACATATGAAATATTTCACCACTCCGATAAATTAGCTGATTTAATGTCCCAACTCAGAATCAGATGATTTAGTTCACTATTAATCAGCCTGCTGATCGTCTCTCAGCTGACAGATCCATTAATCAGGTCTGGCACTGAGAACAGAGGGGGAAGAAGACAAGAAAATATCCAAAATGTTTTGGTAGCACAGCATCCAATAAAACCAGTGTTCGAACTTATTTGAGAAGTCTGTTTGTGTTGTGCATTAATGGCTTAAAGGTGTCTCAAAAAAAATGTCAGACTTGAGGGTCAGCTGTCTGTTGATCAGTGCTGCTACTGTATGTTTTTAATAATGAGGCACTGGAGGTGTGAAAGAGTTCGGGTGTGTATGAGTTAAAAACAATATGACAAGAACAAACAATGAGTGACAACTTCCCTTGTAATAAGAGAAAGGTTGTTCTTACCTTCAGCAGCTCCTTGTTTGCAAACGCCAGGATGCCCTCAAAGATGACAACATTGGCCCCGTACACTGTTTTCTGTCAAGAGGAACAAATAAAAGGATGCACATTTTCACACACATGCGCATATGTACAGTATGTTGAAATTGTTCATGGCTGCTGTAATCATGTCTCCTGTCCCCGCAGCAAGCATCTGGTGGCTGGACCTTTGGCTATGGTTATTATTTTTTGCACTTTGAGCACTCTTCTTTTTGTGCACCAATGTTCTGAATAAGTTGACTTTTTTTGGCATCGATCTCAGCCTGTGTACCTTTTTTTGTGGTTGTCCAGCCCAGTTGTACTGGTGTGCAGGTATTTCATCTGCCATCCTTTCACTGACACACAAACACAATCTCAACACATGTTCACGTTCTTCACTGTTATAGGATAGACCTCATTGTGAAGCTGCTTTACTACCAAGGAAAACATGTATGTGTGTGTGTGTGCGAGTGAGAGTGAGAGAGCGCGAGAGAGATTAATCACTCTCTCAATCAAAGACAAAATGGTGCTGAGTATGTCACAATCCTATTACCTTCCTCTGACCAGCTTCATGCTAAAGTCAATGGACTGGACACTCTGGTATTGATTTCTTTAGAAAGAGAGAACGAGAGAACCAGAGAGAAGAAACAAAGAGAGAGAGAGAGAGTCCAGGCGAGTTTGTGTGTGAACAGCAGAACGTGAATTCTAAAGAAACAGATGAGTGTTTATCGATTTGTTCATTTCCCTGTTCTTTGCTAAGAGATGATTTACTGGGTCTTTAACATGTTTAAGTGTGTGTGCCTGAGAAAAAGAGAGAGAAAGAAAAAGGTGACCTCCAGTTTTACCAGCGAAGAAAAAGAAGCAAGAAAACTCAGCTGTGACCTCTCCTTCATCCATATAAGTGATAGGAAAACACACACCGTATACAGCCTGGAGCTGGCCAGCCCCTGCAGTCCTCTGCACCCTCGGGATCTGAGGCTTAATTACATTCACCCCGGTACAAAAGGTACATAAAATGATTTCAGACTCACGAGTCGTGATAGGCGATTTTCCCATGTGGTGTTGTGCCTTTCAGCCATGAAATTACATTGCAAAGAAATAGAGGAGATGTCAGAGTGCTACACTGCCAGATTGATTCTTTACAATGCTTTCGGGAGGGGATTCGTGCTCTTTGCTTGGGTTAATGTCCTGTACACTAAATCCTTAATAATTAGCTAATTAGCTGGGATCTCAATTGGCATCAGCTCAAATGGCTAATACATCCCTTGGGGTGTTCAGTGATTTGTAACTGCAATGGTAATTCTATCCTGTAAACTACAAAAAAACAGAAAAAGAAAAACTCTAATGCTTTTATTTTGGTGAAGAGAGATTATCCTCTACAAACTCAAGTGAAGTGGGAGGTCCCAGTTCCTTCACCACGACGGCAGCACTGGTGATATCACAACAATTCAGATTAGATGATCAATTCTGCTCCAATTGATAAAGAATCAGCTAATAATTACTTTATACATGATTAATGATGCCCTCTAGACCTGTTTTACAGGGTTCACATTCTTTTCTAGAGATCATTTTCCAGGACATTTTCAAAGATGATCTAGCTGATGGCTGACAGGGATCACGCCATAAACTAATATGTTCCACATTATGGAGGTCTGATAGCCGTTAGCAGCTAACTCAGAAGAGGAACAGCAGCTGAAAATGTCCACAAACTGGGTAAACAATGAGGTCTGGAAACTCAGCCACCATGTAACAGGGACAGTAAATAATTATTATTGCCATGTTAATGTCATTGTTATTGTTTAGAAAGTGTGGCAAACACTTATGTCATATGTCACACAAGAGGCTGACGCTGTTGTGTTACACGTCACGCCGATCACACCTCTTTTGCTTCCGCAGTGCTGGCATGCTGTGTAAAATCAGATACTAGAGTAGAGTGATGCTGCCATTGTTTGGTTCTGTGTATATATGCAAAGGCTGTATAGAAAAGGGACTTCGTAGCAGCCCTATAGCGTGATGTTGGTGTAAAAAGGGCTTTTAACTATACACATTTTCTTTAATTCTAAAGTTGAACTGTTGGCCACACACGCACTAGAGACTTAAAGTTTCCACATTACACTTGTGCAAGCTGCATTTCAGACCATGATTGGCTTCAAAAGTATCATTTTAATGTCACAAATCACGCTCGTATGTAGAAGTGTCAAACTCAGTGATTTAAATTGAGAACAGACAAACTTTCCCACTTCAGCAGCTGAATGTCAAAACAGCCTTTCCATTGTCAAACTCTGCATATACATCATTCTGCCCAGTGAAGGTCAAACATCCAAGAATACATTTCTCAGCAGAAGGGTACTGTAATTCGTCATCCTTATGATTGTTAAATTTAGACATTTTAATTTAGACTTCTTACCACAAACACAGTGATTTTTATAACATTTACAAACAAAGTAAAAATAGCAGACCACATAGGTAGTGTACAACTAGAGTTAGGCTTCCTGAAGAAATTCTTATGTGTGACTACTAAAGCAGAAAAGAAAATTCATCAATAAGAAACTAAGAAGTGCTCATGCTGCAGTTTGCAGGGGAAACAAGGGAAACACACTATGTTGACTGCTGAAAGAGTAAGAGGTGAGGGACATTAATAAAGGTGAGGTAACATTGTTTTTATAAGTATTTCTCTTGGTCACAGCTTACACTTATGGTCGTAATTTCAGTCTTAAAAATCCAAATGTTTACAATCTCCTTTTAAGGGAACGACTGACAGTGACTGTTACCAGGATGCAAACAAGACATCAAAAAATACTTAAAAATATGTGATGTTTATCTCAGACTCCATCGTCTCCAACACTGATTAAACATGCTAAATTGGCTGAAAAAAGCCAACTTTTACCAACAGTGCGGGACACACTGTAAAAACTAGGGAGACAGCCCAACACTGACCGACTGCCGGCATGTTGCGTCAGGACCCTTCGTCCAAACCATAATGACAATCAGCTAATAAATGTCACGTATACCCAGTTGCAACCTTAGTGTAAACAGTGTCAATTAATATGACAAATCCCAACTAAATTTTTTTTTTTAGTAAAACTGTAAGTTACAAAGACCAACAGTTTCTTACCCATTCTTTGCGTCTGCAGTGAGATGTGAAGTCGTACACCGGGACTTTGATGCTTTTTCCTTTCTTCAGCTTCCTGAGGACAGTGACCAGCAGCTCAAAGTCGAAGGCATCGGGATGGTCAAAGTTATACTCATTTTTGGCCGCCAGCTCCTGCTCTTCTTTATTTAAAACCTGACACACAAACACAACAACAGATCAAAACGCAAAGTTCAGCAGCACCAAGGATATTGATCTTTTCATTTAATCTCTTTCTAGTGATATTCAATATTATAAGGTTGCTGGTCAGTGGGCTGCAAAAGTTTATATCTGCTAAGATGCTGCAAATCCAGCCACAGACATTTTGTTGCATTGGATATTAACTCTCCTTCTCTTTGTATTTGTCTTGTTGCTTTTCACTCTCATGAATCAATGGTGCAAATTCCATGAAAGGATCAGTAAACCACAATTCAAGACACCACATTCTGTATAAAGGTCTCCATCTTTTAAGTGTAAGCAACAATTCTGTAAGCAGCCATTTTTAAGTATATGACATCAGAAATGGACCTAATCCTCACTGTAAAGCATCAGAGTGGAGTTTTCCTTTAAAATAAACCACCCCCACTTATCTTATTCACTAATGTTAAACTGACAAAGACTGCAACAGCTAGAGCCAGTTAATAGAGACATGCAGACATAATGGACTGTAGGACTGTTTGAGTAAAGCAAACAATCGACCTCTGGTCTCAGAGGAGAGGGGGTGTAATTAATATAACTATTGCGGTCAGTTGGTTATCACTCAGGAGCTTTTACTTATTATGCTGAAATCAGCAGTAATGGCTTTGGGTTAGGAAAGAGAGACTGTTTGAATTTACATCAATTTAATATTTCATCTACACTAAGGGGTTATTGTTTTGCATTTAAACGCTAATTAATTATTGTGTAAACACTGGGCCTAACGTGCTGAGCAAATTAGCTGAAATGACCGCTAAAACACAATTAATCAAAGTTCTTATTTATATTTTAAATCACACTGCTGTTAACTGGATTTCGTACCTTGTAGAAGGAGTCCATGGAGAGCAGAACCACCCAGGGAACGTCCAGCGCTTCAATTATCTTATTGGCTACTGTGGTTTTACCAGAAGCACTTCCTCCGCACAGACCTACAGGAGGAAAACACAAAGAACCACAACACGGTTACCAATAAAGACTGGCTGACATATTTAAATTACTGCAAAATACATTACTGCCAGATTCATTCTTGTTTGGCGTTTCACCTTAGTATATTTGCTTTTTTTTCTGCCTCTGCTTTATTTGTCTTATGTGATAGTAAACCAAATATATTTGACCGTTTGTCAGACAATATGTGTTATCTGATAACATCACCTTGGGCTTCAGGAAATTGTGATAGGCATTGGTGTGTGGACCAAAGGGTGAGTTGATTAAATGACAACAAAATTTGCAGATTAATCAATAAATGAAAATGAAAATGTTAGCTGCAGCCCTACTTGATGGAGACCCTTTCTGCCTACCCACATCTTACAGTGAGAGGTTATTGTCTCAGTCTTTAAAAAGCTCCTCCAGAGCAACAGAATACACTTTACAACTATTTTCACAGGCTAAGTAGAACTAAACATGACCCGTAAACTGATCTAGGTGTGGCCTTTTATCACTTGATATATATGTTGATACACATATACAGTGTATGCTATAAGGTGATATATGGAAAAGTATGCTCTGGTTGCCAACTGTTATCCTATTTCCCTTTACAAGATACAGAGTGAATTGATCACACAGTGTGACTGCACTCTCACTGATCTCATTGACCATTTAGTGTTTCTGCTGTGAGTTGGTGAGTTTGTTCTCTTTCCCCACACTGCCAGCATTCACAGAAATTTGGTTAGACAGTACAGATTACGAGCTGCAGGCTGATAGTGACAGAGCCAGCGTAGAGCTCAGGTACCCACAGTACCCGACTAACGGCTCTCACAGCACAAAGTGCTTCTACATAAGCACCGTATACCTGCAGCTGTCAGTCTTGTCATTTCTGCTGCAGCACTGCAGTCGCTCGTGAAGTGAAGTCACTTCAGTTCTGCACACACACACACACACACACACACACACACACACACACACAAACACCAAACACACACACACACACAGTCAGCTGTGGACTGACTGTGTAAAGGTTGACTAATTTTTCATTTTTCTCCTCTAAATAAACTCTTCTTGTATGGAATCATTCTAACAGCTTTTAAAGAATAGTGTGTAAGTTTTAGGGGGACAGTGTATAAAAATAAGACCTGTGTTTCTGTTAGCTTAGAATGAGCCATTTATATCCACATAGGGAGCGGGTCCTCATCTCAGAGATCACCATCTTCCTCCATCCACCATGTTCCTACAGTAGCCCAGATTGGACAAACCAAACACTAGCTCTAGACAGGGTCATTTACATTTTCATGTCGGCCACCAAAGTTACCAGCATCGAAGAAAGACTGATTTGTGACCTAAATCGGTTTTATTCAGTGTTCTTCTGCTTTTTATTACCTGGTCCATTTGTTTTGGAGAGGAAGAGACCTCTGCGGATACTTTGGCTCCTGGTAAAAACCTCCTGGACAATGAACACTGAAAGAATCCCAGCCAGGCAAAGTTTCACCTGGTTCCAACCTTCAGTCCTCACTGCTAGATATCACTAAATAACCCTAAATCCTACACACTGTTCCTTTAAAAAGAGATCAGTCATGATGTCATGAATAATCTGGTGCTCATCATTTCATTTTATAGCAACTTGACTGTGTTTTGTGCTGTGTCATGTGTATGTTCTTGTTGGGTTATGTGTATTTGTATGAAGACCCATCTAGATCTGGGTATCAAGAAATGTACACTAACACGGTGGTATGTAGCACTGGTTCTTGCTTTATACAGTCATTTTATACAGTACTAGTACGATTGGCCCACTATCCCAGCTACAACCCATATAGTCTGTGGTGTGGTGGAGTCGAGCAACATGAATTTGATGGATTTGACAGTTCAGCATGCAGAGATACCGTCAAAACGTTGGAAAGAATGGCTTTACTACACGCCAGTGGCATCTGGTTCAAATAAACACAAGAAGTCTGTGCTCTAGAGAAAGGATCAGCACTCAGTGAAAAACCTAAGCCCTATGATAAGCTAATATGGCAAGGCTTAACTATACAAACCAGTGAGCAGTGATAACTAGCATGTCTTTGGGGTCATCGGGTGGGAACCTCCTTTCACCAGTGTTTCGTCTAGTTGGTCCCACGACACCTCCAGGAGGCTAGACAGTGATCTCTGGCGTCCCTCCCCTAATGCCAGGTCTCACTGCTCCCCTCCCCGCACCAACCCAATAACCTCCTTTACCTTACTTACACATGGCTTTCTCAGCCCAAACAGCACTGCCACCTTCAACCAAACCCAGGCTCCGTACATGCGAGCTCCAGGTAGAAACAGGGCTGATACTACCTTTCCTAGCACATTCACCATACTCTATTTCACACGCTACATAGCATAACTACAATATAAGCTAAAGTTAAAGGAGCTAAATAAACTTACAGGATCAGCAAACACACTCACCTTGCCGCATGGCCTCAAACAAAATGGATTCAAATAGGCCACTCCCACACTTAAATAACCTTCCTCTTCCTGGACTTCCTCCTTACTTACACATGGCTTTCTCAGCCCAAACAGCACTGCCATCTTCAACCAAACCCAGGCTCCGTACATGCGAGCTCCAGGTAGAAACAGGGCTGATACTACCTTTCCTAGCACATTCACCATACTCTATTTCACACGCTACATAGCATAACTACAATATAAGCTAAAGTTAAAGGAGCTAAATAAACTTACAGGATCAGCAAACACACTCACCTTGCCGCATGGCCTCAAACAAAATGGATTCAAATAGGCCACTCCCACACTTAAATAACCTTCCTCTTCCTGGACTTCCTCCTTACTTACACATGGCTTTCTCAGCCCAAACAGCACTGCCATCTTCAACCAAACCCAGGCTCCGTACATGCGAGCTCCAGGTAGAAACAGGGCTGATACTACCTTTCCTAGCACATTCACCATACTCTATTTCACACGCTACATAGCATAACTACAATATAAGCTAAAGTTAAAGGAGCTAAATAAACTTACAGGATCAGCAAACACACTCACCTTGCCGCATGGCCTCAAACAAAATGGATTCAAATAGGCCACTCCCACACTTAAATAACCTTCCTCTTCCTGGACTTCCTCCTTACTTACACATGGCTTTCTCAGCCCAAACAGCACTGCCATCTTCAACCAAACCCAGGCTCCGTACATGCGAGCTCCAGGTAGAAACAGGGCTGATACTACCTTTCCTAGCACATTCACCATACTCTATTTCACACGCTACATAGCATAACTACAATATAAGCTAAAGTTAAAGGAGCTAAATGAACTTACAGGATCAGCAAGCACACTCACCTTGCCGCATGGCCTCAAACAAAATGGATTCAAATAGGCCACTCCCACACTTAAATACTTCCTCTTCCTGGATTTCCTCCTGAGAGGAAGTGGATCTCTCCACCTGATCTCAAGGAGTTATGTGCCCTGTTTAGTAGTTCCCCCTGCTGGCCCCCAACTGACATTACTTCTTCTCTTATAGATAAACTGGCTACATTTAATTGCTTCATCTGACATTTCCCTCACTGTCTTCCTCAAACTCTGTCCCCGCACTCCGAGTTCCCCCAGGAGCGAGACAGCTGATCTTGCTATGAATCCCCTACACCCCACTTCCACTGGACAAATCCTAGTCTTCCATCCTCGCTGCTCAGCTTCTGCTCCTAAGTCTGCATATCTAAGCTTTTTTCTTTCATAGGCTTCTTCCACTGAGTCTTCCCAAGGAACTGTCAGCTCAATGAAATAAACTATCCGTTGACTCACTGACCACAACACTAAGTCAGGCCTCTGCCTGGTACAAACTATTTCCTGGGGAACAACAAGCTTTCCCCCTAAATCTACTTGCATTTCCCAATCACAAGCACCTTCTAGGCGGCCACACCCTTGCCTCCTCACTAACTTATCCCTTCTGTATTTCTCTCCCTCACGGACAAACTGAATTACTAAGCCCCTATCCTTAACACCTTCTGAATTCACCTGTCTTCGTTTCCCTTCGATGCCTGCAGCTAAACATTTCAACACCTGATTATGTCGCCATGTATATCGGCCTTGTGACAAGCTAACTTTACAGCCTGACAAAATATGCTTTAAAGTTGCGGTACGTGAACACAATGGGCATGATGGGTCCTCATTTACCCACAGTTTTAGGTTCTGGGGGGTTGGTAACACATCGTATGTAGCCCCTACCAGGAATCTAATACGATTCTCCTCCATACTCCACAGGTCCCTCCAACTAAGCTTCCTCTTCTCTACACTTTCCCAATTCAACCACTGTCCCTGTTTAGCCTGGGCCACTACCTTTGCACCCCTTACTATCTCTTCCTGTCTGCGTATCTGTTCTACAACCAGCTTTCTTTTATCTTTGAGGCCTGCTGTATTCCATACCGGTTTACCTGAGCCAAGCCCCAGGCCTCCCCGGCCAAACTGAACATTACCTACAATCTCTGCATGTCTAAGAGCTGCCTCTGCCTCCTGAACTGCCGATCTTGGGTTCCACTTCCTCCCCTTGGTTGGATTTGGAACCACACTCCTAACTACCACGTCCTTACTCCCAGATAACAAGAGCTCTGTCCTGACCTTGGTACATTTAAATTCCTCTGTTAAACTAGATACTGGCAGCTGAAGTATCCCTTTTCCATACAATGCAACACTACTTAGGCACCTAGGAGCGCCCAACCACTTCCTAATGTAGGAGCTAACCGACCTTTCCATTCTCTCCACAACAGATATTGGAATTTCATAAACTGACAATGGCCACATTAACCTAGGATATAGCCCAAATTGCAAACACCACAACTTCAACTTTCCTGGAAGTTCTGATTTATCTATTCTATCCAATCCTTCAGCCACATCTTTTCTAAATTTCACCACCTGTTCCTTATCATTCAACTCTACATTGTACCACCTACCTAAGCTCTTTACTGACTTTTCCCTAATTGTTGGGATGTCCTCATCATCTATGACAAACTTCCTATCACTTAACTTCCCTCTACGTATCGAGATGCTTCTAGGTTTACTAGGCTTAAAAAAGATATCAACTGAAGTGTATCAGTATGGATACTATGTGAATAGTATGTGTAAATGAACCATGGCAAATTCCCTCTTGCCAGCACTCAGGCTTGAAATGTGTCATCCGGCAGATTTTTGTTGGTTCTAGGGCCATTGCTGGAACTAGAGATTGTACTTCTGCACCACAGCTACAAAGAGTATTTCTCTCGGACTCAGATCAAACTGTAAAACTAGGCAGTGACGATCAAATATAAACCAAGATTCTGACACTGCGTTGCCTATTTCTCACCTCAAATGTTTCCAAAAATGTATTCTCGCTTACCTTTTAACTGTTACACAGGATTGTTTGTTACCAGCTGGCCACCATATTGTTTTTCAAATGAGCAACACGATGTCACCCACCAGCAGGAGCGTTATTGGTCCGGTACAGTGCATTCCAGAGGTTATAGGTTTTCTACCTCTTGAGAAAAAACAAATACCACAGCCCTTTTCCTCTGTTTTCTTTGGTCATGTGGCACTAATATCAAAAGTATTTTCTACTGCATAGACAGACAAGTTTTATGAAAAGACCATCTTTCCAGCAGTGAAATACTAAATGTTTTAAACGATACCCAGCCCTTATTGTAGCTAAATGGCAAGTATTACTGTCAGAAAAAGGCAGTGTAAATCTCTTTTGTGCTGGAGTTAGAAACTTTAAAAAAAAAAAAAAAAAAAAAAAAAGAAAAGAAAACTGGCATCAGTACCACCAATGTGGAACCCCGTTTTATCTCACTTGACCTCCTGGGTTAAAGACCAAAGCAGCCATCCTTCAGGACAACAATCCTGGGATCTGGGCCAGAACTACATGCTGTCTGACAAGTAAGGTGAAAAACTGGATGCATTCGCTGCCAAGCGGTTGTGTGTTTGTCGATGTGTGCACCTATGTGTGTGCGCGGGAACAGAAATAGCCTACGGAGCTAACTTCTGCCGTATAAACAACTCTTACTGTAGTGTTGGAATGGGTTTTTTGCTCAGATAAGACCCATCAAGGTCAAAACTGCTGACTGGGAGGCTGAGGAAAAATCGCTGCAGTGGCTCCTCATTTCTATGTATGATTATAGCTTCAGAGAGGTTATAGAAATACCGCTTCTGACTTGCAAAATGATGTAATAAAAAGAAAAAACATCCGATTTACTGTGTTTCTATGGATTCAGCATAAGTGACAAATTTTGTCACCCAGCAGTGAAGCCTGGCCGGTTACAGCAGATAAAACTGCCTTTTCTATTAGCAATAAAACCAGACTGAGGAGATAGAAAACAACCTCTGGTATCTATGATGCTTCACTGTTTTTCTGTCCTCACTTCCCCTCTTCATCCCTCCTCTCTCTGCTCATTCATCCGTCCATTCGTCTTGCTATCCCTGCATCTTATATCCCCCCTCAAGCTTTTTTTTTTAACCCTTACATTCCTCATTGTTTTCACTCCTCGACTCTCCTCTCTCTATCTCACACTGACCTTTAAAGCTAGTTGTTTTTTCCCTCTCAGGCCATGCTCTGTCAAGCTCCCTGCAGTTACACAGCCTGGTCCTTTTAACCAGAGCCACATCGACCACAGCACAGCAGAGTGTGAAATGGTAACAAGTCAGTGCGGCCCATTGACAATAATAGATTGCCTACTAAAGACGATGTCCACCTCTCTCTCCGCGTATTCCTACTCATGCCAGTCTGATGTGTTTAACCACGGAACGTTGGCTACGCAAATGTCAAACACACACACACACACACACGCATGCAGCTGTGTACACACACGTAGTCTCTTCATCACGGTTCATTTTACTGTCGCTTCATCTCGTCCTGAGGCAGATTTTTCACTGTGCTGATCAGCAAGATGGTGGCTGTAAAAAAAAAAACCCGCCCACACAGAAGCCACAGCATTATCAACATAACTGTCACGTAAGATGGCTGGGTTTTACCCAAAAATGTTAAGCACCAACTGATGAAGTGATCAATTAGTTGACAATTTAAGTCATTAATCAACACATTTCTGAACATTTACTGGCTTGGACTTCTCATCTGTGAGACATGTTTGTTTTCTTATCTAGTTTATAGCATTGTAAACTAGTGTTCTGGACAGCAATCTGAACCCACCTTTCCTTTGGCACTGGGTAATTTTCAATTATCATTACCATGAGCTCTAGAAGTGTTTCTGAATGTGTGTCCTGCCAGTTAACAACTATGTGGTTAATTTTGGCCTGTGAGTTGCTGGATTACTTCCAATGCCAGTACCTGTGCCTCTTCGATACAGCAGGTGGAGCAAGGCTCGGTCACATTAAATTTCCAGCCTACAAATACTTAATTCTGTCTACATTCACTTTAATTGCAACCTGCATGAAAGATAAACTCTGTTTGGAAATAAAGATGTCATTATATCAACCTGTTCCCCCACCCTGTTTAGTACTGCAAAGTACAGTGTCATTCTCATAGACTATTTATAGTTTGGTATCACTGCTCAATATTTGTTTACTACTACCCACATTAAAAAGGCATCCTTTTAAGATTTTGTTTTCATAGAATGAAAGGCTAATCTGACCATACCTTAACACAGCCAGCAATTACTGAGGCTAATGCTGCAGTTAGATCAATTTTATTACAGAGTTTAAACAATGGCTGAGACATAAATATAGGTATTTTTCTCTGTAATTAAAGCCTTAAAGATACAGTACCGCAAAATCAAAAAAAAAAAAGTTCAACCTCTTCCCTGTAGTGCTATTTATCAGTCTGGATTGTTTTGGTGTGAGTTGCCGAGTGTTGGAGATATCGGCCATAGAGATATCTGCCTTCTCTTCGATATAATGGAACTAGATGGCACTCTGCTTGTGGCGCTCAAAGCCCACAAAACACACATTTGAAAAACTCAACAGCAATGTCTCTTTCCAGAAATCATTACCTGGTTGCTCAAGATGATCCAGTTCCATGTAGGAACTATTTTCTTTCTACTGAACTACACCCACCAACTGTATGACTGCACGGACGGAAGCTTGCATCTACTCATGGATGAGAGGCTCGTGCTCATTACAGTGCGAGATGTAACACTAATGGTGTCCTCCTTGACTGAGCTGTAATATTAGCTAGCTCAGTGGTGTTAGGTGAGCTAGCAGTAGATGCACACTTCCTTCTGTGCGGTGATACAGCTGGCAGGTGTAGTTCAGTTGTGAAACTGCTCACAACAAAGTCTGTGGATTATCTTGAGTAACCAGGTCATTATTTATGGGAAGAGACATTGCTGTTGAGTTTTTTGGATTTATTTTTTGATGCTTTAAGCACCACAAGCCGAGTGCCATCTTGTTCAACTATATTCAAGAGAGGGCAGACATCACCACAGCCGATATCTTAACACTCAGCAACTCACACCAAAAAAATTCAGATTGGCAAACAGCACTACAGGTAAGAGAAAAAATAATCAATAATTTATTTGATTTTGGGATCAACTGTCCCTTTAAATTGCTAAAGAACTGGTTTACTTTATGTATGATTTCAGACATCGCCATTTCTTAGTGTAGAATATATGGCAAGTTTTCAAATTCAGTGTTGAACTTGGGGGCCCCCCGTGGGAGCAGACCTATAATCCCACTGATGACACCTAACCAATAAGACATACAGTAAAAGGAAGTACAGAAGTCGACGGCAGTTGCCTGATCTCTCACCAATAACAAAGGCCTCTTTGAAGGTGGTCCCTGTGACATTGTACCAAGGTGGTCTGCCAGCAGTGTAGATGGTCCGTTTGTTCGTCCTCAGCAGTGGTGGCTCTGTCTTGGACTGGCTCGTGGTCCGTTTTCGTGGCGATAAAGATGGGGTCAAAGGGCACCGAGGGACATGGTTTGAGAGGCCATCAAGGGAATCATCTCCACTTCCACTGGAGTCAAAGACAGGAGGACAGCAGATGCCAAGATCAGGAGATTTACTCTTTTCTAGACTCTTGCCAAGTCACTGGTCTCTAGTTACTGTACTTCAATTATGAACTAAATAAAAGAGTCTAATTAATTACAGTAATTTCTCAAGAAAAAATACCCCATTACAGCAGCTTCTGGTCCCTGTGACTCATTGTATACACATGCACTCATTGGTTAAATGTTCTGTATATGCTGGTTGCCATCAGAGATGCCTTTTAAGCTCATACTTGGCCCCATGCTGCTGCTCCAATACAGGCAAAGTTGCTCTGCAATATCTGCAGGCTCCACAAAGCTAACTATAAGACAGGCCTTAAAGTCAATAAGTAACTCTTTTCTGCTCAGACATAGCTAATCAATGTATAGCTATAAACTGGTAGAAAAAAAATTACTTTACAAAGATCTCTAACATTTAAAAAAAATGCCTTAACTTTATCCTTAGACTGTTGTGGAGCTACAGATACTCTACTGTCCTGTAGAGAGATGAGAGAAAGCCTATGTACTCTGGCGTCTCTCTGAGCTGTTCTCTCCACAGTGAGGTTCTCTGATGTCGGTTTGGTTGAGGGGGAGGAAGGGAGAACTTGCCAACCCTCCCCAGGAAATCACACCGCTGCCCAGGACACAGCATGACACAGGGTGGGGCCACTTTTCACATGAGTAAGGCTGTCATCACTTGGCTGGGACATTTCGTATGTATATAGTAATATCTCGCTGTGTCTCGTACTCTTGTACACTCTGAGAATATGAGGTTAAATTAAATCTGGTGGTTGAATCTTGCCCTGCTTATTCATCAATAAGAGCACCTTAAATGCACAAATTGTAAAAGGTCTGCAAGCAAAGATGTGCTTCAGTGAGCAACACTTCATTTCAAAATGAGTAAGACTTTTAGAAACAGTTTAAAATACTTCCTCCTGACACTGAATGCCACAAAAAAAAAAGCTGCTGTTGTGTGTTAATGTTAGTTGAGTTAGATTAAAGTGTCTGCCAGATGAAAGTTTTCCTCAAACTTAAACATGATACCACAGTTGTGACAGGCCAAAATCTGACAATATAAAAAGCAGCAAATGAACAGCTATTCGTATGCATTAAAGGTCCGGTGTGATTTAGGGGGGTATGTTGGCACAAATGGAATATAATATAATATGTACCGTAAAACTTCAATTAAAAGCCTAGTCCCTTTTACTTGCCCGATGTGGCTACACATTTTGACAACCCCGTATGCCGGGTGCCACAGTCCTCGAGTGGCGTAACTCTCTCTCTCATGTACTGCATTTGAAGTTAGATCAAATGAATGATTCATAACTGATACATTATCTGAAGCCTAATATTCATACTAGTTTAAATAAATGACTTGATTGTATTTCCTGATCTTTGCTGAGCAACAGCTTTGTGTGAAAACAATTAAAGGCCTGTCCCAAGTAAAGGCCTGCTGATTTCAGTGAGTTAAGCAAACAACAGCCCGGGCTATTACTTGATGTTTTGCAGTATGTGTATAACCACCTGAAAATGTCTGTCACCTTAGGGTGCTTTCACACCTATAGTTGTTTTGCTTTGGTCTGAATCAGGGACATTGGTTCGTGTTCTCACAGCAGCATTTACAAGTGGACCAAATAAAATGCCATACGCAAGAAAGCTGCTCTTGATTGGTCAGAATTTCCATGCCAGGAAAATCCAGGAAGTAAACAAAACGTTGAAGAAGAGAACACTTGCAAGATAAATGTGACACTTTCTAATGTCACAATGGAGGGACAACTACGCAGGTTGATTTTAGCGCTGCTCATCGTGGACTACATTGCTGTCATTGTTCATTTTAGTCAAACCATACAGTCTGAAAACGAGGCGCGGCTCCAACTAGAAAACAATGTTTTGATGCATTGGATGTGCTGAATGTGCATATTAAGGCAGTACAGGAGGAGGTGCACATTAACAATTTAAACAATGTGTCACGTGACTGCAGTTGGTTCGGATCGAGATCGGAACACGTTCTCACCACAAAGGAACCACACAAGAGTTCGTTTGTAACCGAAACGAGACCACCTCTTCAAGAAGGTCTCAGTCCGGCTGTTTTGGTGCGCACCCGAGTGCAACTGCTGTGTTCACACCTGCCCAAACAAACCGCACTTAGGGGGCAATTAAGGTTGGTACACACTTTTAGAGCTGAGTACACATTGGCAGGTGCTGGGCAGACGGGCCGAACAGCATTGGAGAAACACTGATTTGCAACATGAAACAATTGTATTCAGTGTTTTTACTAGTTTTCAGCACCTGGTCCATTTGTTTTGGAAGCGAAGAGACCTCTGTGGATAATTCAGTGCACTGTAAAACCCTCCTGAAGACTGAAGGAATCCTTACAGGGAATTCACTCTTGGCACACAGAAGTTTCAGGTGGTAAAGGTGTAATCCGCAATGCTCTCACCTAGATGCCAATTAATCATACACAATGCCCCTTTAATGCTTCTACAATCTCCATTTTCCATTAGTCAAGAAATGGTCCTTTGTGCATATGGCAACAGCAGCCTATACAAATCAAAGCTAGTCCCACTCAAATAACCAGCTGGGTTTGGCCCCAGTTCTGCATAATCATTGTGGGAAATGTAGCCTCCTGCTCTAACAATCAGTGATCAAATGAAAAGACATATGTAGGCTCACCCAGCTACAGGATATCCTCATTCACACGGCCAGGTTAGCATGGCTGCTGGGACAGACACCTGATCCCCCTCCACATCCTCAGTGCTACGTGGTACGAATAAGCGAGTGTTAGCCACGAAGTAGCTTTACTTTGCGATAAGACGAGCAGTGCAACACTAAATTTTCCACCAGAGACATTTACATGTGTCGCTTTAATTGATAATTTCTCTTTATTATATCAATAGTCACATAAATCAGATTAGAGGCAGACAGTTATTAGTGATGACGAATTAACAAGGCCATATTGTAACGCTGGAAAATACTGTTATGGCAATTTATAAACGTTTGCCAACAACATAATGAGCATAATACGTCACATTTTCACAGAAGTCTGGTTTAATAGGCTTCATAACACAGAAAGGACCGTTAAAAGCGCGAGCGAAACCAGAGGACGGTAGTTTGTGTTAACATTAGCTGTAGCTAGGTATAACACTGCATATGCACCTCTGACAACTATGATATGGTTTGTCTATAACGTCTAGGGTGTTTTTATGTTTATTTACTATCTGTATTTCTCTCGTTTGCTTGTCTTTTGTTCGCTGCAGCCACGCCAACACAAAGCGTGGGTATGCTTGTGGAAGCTAGCCAGCTAGCCGCAGTAGCTAGCTAGCTAGCTAGCATGAACCGCTGCGCTGCTCTCCCTCAGTGTTCCGGCTCTCTCTTCCACCGCAGACACTCAGCCTTTATTTCATGTTTTACCTGTCAGACCTTGACATGGACCTGTCCGCCTCCATCCCCTCATCTGTCTGCTGTTCCTGGGGTTTATCATCGCTGCTTGTTGTTTCCATGTCGACTCGGCGCGGCGCGGAAACCAAACACTGGAGCGTCATGACGTCTGGAGGCGTAAACTGATGCTGTGTTAATGGTAATCGGAAAATAGAACGTCAGTCGTTGCTTATTCACATGCAGCCTGTATATTGTGTTAAATTAAAAAAATATAACAATAAACTTGAAACAACATCAGATCTGTCACACAACAATCGAGGTATTTCTGTCAGAAAATGCGCAGTGCTTCGTGGTCTTGATGTTTATTTGTGCATTGACCATTTTATTCACTATGTTCGGCCACGAGTAGGCCTGCGGGGAAATTCAGCTCCACTAATTCATTGTGTTAGGCTATATTAAAAAATGGCAGACACATTAAAATAGATCTAAATGATGCCATATAATAACAGGAGTTTCTTTCAGCTAATGAATTCTATCAAAAAATCTGCTCTGAAAGTTTTACATGATATGTAGGCAGGGCCAGCCCTAGACTTTTGGGGGCCCTGAGCAAGATTTGGTTTGGGGGCCACCCTCATTGTGATGCCATGGCTCTGAACCAACTTCTGCTTTGTAGATATTAGTTTAGGTACATATTATGTTCACTTAAACATGTAGACACTAAAGAGAGGCCTATTTGCAGCAATACTAACCCTAAAACAGTTACAGTAAATACAGTATATGTCCAATACGTCCAAACCCTATGAATGGTCCTCGTAAACTGACCTCCAAATGTAATTTATCCAACGTAAAACTAGGGCAGCAGGGAAAACAGTTGAAGAATAGCTTGTGAAGATATATCCTAGTTTGTGTCGACTTTCGTTCTTTCCTTTTTTATGTTCATTAATTTTGTTTACCTTCTCATTTTTAACAAAAACACAAATGTCATTTATCTTAGTTGTTTATTTTTTATCCACAGAATGTTTGAAATGCTCTGTAGGGAATAGTGAATGCTGACATAAACTGTCATTTTCACTGGTCTCTGAGTTTATTGTTTTGTCTCTATTATCAAGCTAAAATGGCTCAAAACATGTTCGGTTTTGTTCAGGACAGTTACGTTACAGTCTCATTCCATTACTGTCTCTTGTTTATTAAAAAAATATTATTATTACTATCATTGCAAAGTCAGCACGTGCCAAGTAGTCAGTGTTTTCTAAACGTGGTTGAAAATACATTCCCGCCAAATGACAAGCAACTTATACCTCTCAAAGAAAACCTCAATAAACCAAGAAAGTTGATGAAGCCTGACCTAATGTCCGTTTGTCCCACTGTACTGGAACGCACCATTAGTGCAGTAGTCATGAATGATGACCGGAGACACCCAGAGCCGCAAATCCACACTAACCCCGGATTGTCTTTTTATACCTTATGATACATCATGATATAAATTTAGTCAACGACCGGCTGTGGACTTGTTCACATCTTAGTCTGTGGCCAGTTAACGCCATAATTCAAAGTAGAACAAGGCATTAGTTTATACTGAAGGACTGAAAAGGTTTGACATGTTACATGTTATCCATAGACTTAAATTAAGCTGTGTTTTTAAAATATTCTTAATAGACCTGCACCAACATATGAATTTGTAACATGACATAATTTCGTCTGCAGCATCTGTTTGAAAATAATGGGCCATATGGTATCTTAAATATAGATCTTTTTTTAATTCAGTATGAATCTTTTTTTAAGCACTGCTGCCTACATAAATGTGATTGTATTTTAATATTTTTGAGAGTCATAAATCTGTTTAGATTTTTTTAATTTATCTTTTTTACTTTACACATCTATAGATAGGCTATATATGCAATAAAGCAACCTAATGACATAGTCCCAATTGGTCAGTTTGAGGATTATTTGATGCTTGAAATCTATTTCGGAAAAAGACAGAAAGAGGTTTATATCTTTACAGCATGGCATAAATCTGCTTATTCCTAATAAAATAATGTACAGTGGCATGGAGGAAGGCAGGTTGATGTAAAAAATAATAGAGGTCTGCACTGATTTAACTGCGACAAATCATCACACTTATGAAATATAACTCATAACGTGTATTTGATTTTTAAAATACATGGTGCAAAACTTGTGCAGAAAAGTGAACCCTTTATGCAGTAATAGTGTGTTAAATATCTTTACTCACAAGAACAAATTGTTAAAATTCTTGTTTGTAATTTCTGTGCTCCTTCTTTGTGTTTCTGTGAATGAATTGATTTTGCTTTGACCCATTAGGATTCACCAAGTCCTGCATGCACACCGGGTGATCAGTCAGGCTCCTGTGTAGGTACCCAGCCTGTCTGTCCTGTCCACTCACAGCAGCTGCAGTGTAGAGAGCGCTGTGTGCCTTATGACTGCTGCTGCTGCAGCTCCACATTCAAGGCTACAACTCCAGCCTAATTAAAAACCTCCCTCAGAAAACTCCTCCTGCCCTCTCCACCACCGCAATGAAGGAATTTATCCGATTGTTCTGAAGTCTCTCTGCTCACAGAAAATGTGGACTCGGCTGACTTTTTCCCCGCGTTGAGTGAAGACCAGGGATCCGGACCTGTCGAGTCTCAGCGGCAACTCCTGCAGCATCCTCCATAAAAACAACATCACCTTAACTCTTTTTTATTCATTTTTTTTTTGTAAATCTCAGACGGGACAGCGGCTGACTGCAAGCTGAGTAAATGGATAATAACGCTGCAAATTCGGAGAAATCTCAGCTGATACACGAGAAGAGTGCGAAAATGTATTCTCTCAAACTACAAAGGTGGGAACATGTTTCATGTGATTGCAGCTGCATGAGGAATAATGCTGCATGTGTCAACACCCTGATAAGTTACCTGTGTTACATCTGACATGCCATTTAAAAAAAATCTACAGACAATCTAACAACTATTTTTTTAATGTCAAGTTGAAAGAAAATGACCAATATTTCTGTGATTTTTGCGCGTAAAAATCCAAAGTGAATATTCAGCAGTCAGCACATCTCCGAGCTCTGCACGCAGGAACGAACCCGTGTTGTCATATGTTGTAACGCTTGTGTGTAACGGTGGGAGCAGTTGTTACCGTGGTGCATGTTAAGCAGGCTGCCGCTCTTGCGGGCTGTTTTATGTGAATGAACAAATTCATTTCCATGCTTGGCTTGATTCTGGACAGCCTGTGACAAATGGCCCCGGGGCCAGTTCACTGAGCAATGCTAAAAACTCATCATCTGTCATTAGGGGAGGCAAGAAGCAGCTCCCTGCACGTCCAGACTGCATGGGGACGGAAAGAGGCAGGAGAGCAACGAGATTAAATACATGGAGGTGTGTGTACCTGCACGTGAAGGCAGCGCGGATAAATCAAAGCGCTTTATTATCTATGAATGAATGAAATCTGTATTTATGTGAGAAAATATTTGGCGAAGACATCTAGAAAAAACATTCTGGAAAAGAAAATATATATTGGTCTATAATACTATAAATTAAAAGGCTAAACATATTGATTAAAATAGTATTAAAGCAGCAAGCGTCACGTTTTTTTGTTCTGTGAAAACGACTGAAATGAGTCGGATAGATATACATCTTACAGTTTAATAATTATAAGAATTTATACAAATTAAAAGTGTGAATTTTTGAGCTATAATTTTAAATATGTAAAAAGAAAATCTGCTACTAATTTTGAATTTAAAATAAAAATCTCACAAAAATTAAAAAAAAAATCGAAAAATTAAATTTATGATCTTGGGCGGGTTTTTCGTCATCAAATATGGCAAATATGAACATAAAAATATAAAAAAGGATACTGCAAAAATCTCTGTACTGTTTTCCCCTCAGCTGTGTTTGTTCAACATGAAACCAGTTGCTGCAGAATCACACCTGCTGGTTTTCAGCATCCTGATTGATCACATTAGAAATATCGGCCTATATATATTGGGTAAATTAAAATCTAATCGAGGGGAATTATTTCTCAATCTTCATATTTTATATCAGGCCTGTCATCAGTAGGCCTCGTCCATTGGATCAGTAACTGTTCTAATCTGCGAATTGATCCCTCTGATGAACTCTATCAGCTGTTTCTCACCTTTCGGGGCCAATTCACCACGTTACAGAGATGTGATCCGACAGAAGATTGTTACGCTTTACAAGCACGAGAGCGACGAAGGGGACAAATATAATCATTTATATTATCATCAGGTCGGTGTTGCAGATATTTAGGCCTCTGAAAAATCCCGATCATGAGGATAGAAATGAATTTCTAGGTATTAAGGTTTAGAGAAAGGTGGTGTGCACATGTGTGTTTATGACCGCGTGCGTGTTTGTGTAGGCGATGTTTGTGTGTGTGTGTGTGTGTGTGTGTGTGTGTGTGAGAGAGAGAGAGAGAGACAGAGAGACAGAGAGAAAGAGAGAGAGATGTGCATATGGCATCACATTTGGGATTTCATGCACCATTTGCACCGTGTGTGTGTGTGTGTGTGTGTGTGTGTTTACTGTGTCGTCTTCAGCATTTTTTCCCAGCTGGCGGCAAAGTGGCTCATAAAGAAGGGACATCACTTCTTCACAGTTAGGCCCAAAACATATATGAGGATAATCTGTATCAAAGTTTTTCAGAATCATATGGTACAAGACATGTATTAAGGGTTTATAACATGTATCTATTGGCTTTATTAATGGTTGATACGTTGTGGCAAAGCCTCTATGGCTTCAGGGCCATTCAGACTAGTGCATGCAGCTAAAATAATTATTGATTAATTACAGAAAATTAATTGGCAGTCATTGTTGCAGTCACCTTTTAAGTAAAAAAAAAGTATTTTTACAGCTGTGAGGATTTGTTGCTCTGAGGGACATTTTTCACTATTTTTAAAAACATTTTTAAAGAAAAAAATGATGAATCCATTAATCAAAAAATATTTTGTAGATGAATCAATACTGAAAATAATTGTGAATTACTAATCAAATACTGTCAGTAATAAAGGAGTTTGTTTATCATTGTCAAGTCATAGTTATAAATGTTAAGAAGTCATTATTAAAGGGGTCTAATAAACCCACCAAGCCTGCATTTGTAAAAATGTTAATAATTTCACGTCTACTGATTAGTTTCTTGATTAAACAATTAATTGTTTATCTATAAAATGTCAGCACTATTAAAAAAATACCCATGATAAGCCCCCAGAGACCAAGGTAACCAATGTCTTGTTTTGTCCAGAACCTAAAGATATTCAGTTTACAAAGCTGGAGACAGAGAGGTTTAAGTCTTTTTTTGAATGAAAAATTACTTAAATGATTGAAGACAAATCCAAGTGTCATGCTAACCTGGCAATCTGAAATCTGTTCTTATTAATGGCTTTTAAGTGATATATAATTAGTGAATGGTTTATTAACCATCAAAAAATCCATTAGTTAGACCTCATAAGCTCTTTGTAAAATGTGCCTTTACAACAAGCACGTTATCTAGAACAGTCTGTGAAGTAACCGTGCTGTGGTCAAACCAGAATTTTTGTGTACTGATGTGTTTTTTTTTTTCCTGTTTGGGGAAACATCAATTTGGCCAGATTCTGTAAGGAATTCATGAATATACAAAAATAATAAAAAACCACGACCAAAAACTTGAATCAATTCTTACCACCACACTTAACCCCCAACTAAATTTCAAATAATAGATGTGGCAGCATTTTTGTGTAAGTTAAAATACATAACTCAAGTAAAGCTGCCAGCACCTTTAATGGTAGGTTTTTAAATAGAAAGCTACAGTGACATGAAAACATGGTGACTCAACTAAAACTAAAGGGTCGCTGGTATTAAATACGGTAAATCAACAAATTCATGTTCCAAACTTCCTAATTCATTCCTGTGTCTTTGTGATGTTACCCAGCTGTGCTTACCAAACCCTATTTGTTGGATCATTTGCTCACTGGTAATTCTGATATTTCTGGCAGCCCAATTGGCTGAGGGTTAATGAGAGTCTGGCAGGAGATGCTGGCTCTGTCACTGCAGCGGCCGCTTCCAGAAAATACCCCTGATAATAAACCAGTGAACCCAGTCAGGCCTGTAATGGACTTTGGTCACCAGCCTGGTCTCTGGTAGCTCATTTTCTTGTACCCTAATATACTAAAGATAGGTGTAACTTAATGTTCCTCCTGATTATGGCATAATTGAAATGATGGCTTAATTTGGAATCTTCTCAGAATAAATCATACTTCAAATGTTATCCTGCTCAATGAAAGCTGAGACAATACGTATTAATACTCAGATATTATTATGGATAACATTTATTGGAAAATGTTGACTCTGCATTTCAAATATATTTTTATATTCCGACAAGACTAAATGTCTACAACCATTCTCACAACTCTGTAAGGCTGTACCAAAATAAAGCTTTTTGCTATAACACATCCTAATAGCATTAGCATTTTAACCATGTTCACCATCTTAGTTTATTTATTCATTTTTTATTTTATTTTATATACTTAATTAATCCCCCTGAGGGTAAATTCAATTGTTAGCATGCTAACATTTGCCAATTAGCACCATACACAAAGTACAGCTGAGGCTGATGGGAATGTCATTCGTTTTGCAGGTATTACCGTAAACCCAAATATTAGACAACCCGAAAATCTGACCAGATGATGGTGCTACAGGAAAAGTCAATGGCTCACCAAAGTCATTAGGATTCATCCTCTGGGAACCATGAATATCTATACAAAATTTCATGCCAATCCATGCAATACAGATATTTAAATTTCGACCAAAGTGGTGGATTATGCCACTTGAGTTGCTAAAAACATGAACCTGGCACCAGACCTTTGAATTGCTGCCAGACCATTGGACTCCAGGAAGTTACTGCCCTTGACACTCCAGAAAACCAAATATTGTCATATTTACACTTATTCTTTTTTATTTTAAGAAACAAATTAAGAAACAAAGATTTAATTAGTTAATTAGTGAGCTTTAAAGGTATACCATGCAGGATTTTACCAATAAACAATGTGTAGATTTATACAGTAGAAATCCCACCCAATCATCATCTATGACCCACTAGAGAACACAGTGTATTTCTCTGCAGAGACTCTGCTCTCTGCCTGTTTTTAGTTATTATCTTTTTGTTTCCTGTGTTTGAGACGTTGACAGGTGTGTACCCCTACATCGCTCAGGTGAGGTTGGGGTTTTATACAAAGGTAGTGACTAGGTGCCAGACTGTAAGCAGCAGGCATCCAATAAACACAGCACTGAATTAAAGCAAATACAGCAGGGTGAAACTGGGATTAGCTTTTACTTTCACACTCAGTTGATAAACAGTAACTGACAATCCTGTATACCTTTAAAAGTCACAGTAAGCAGGTTATGCAGGCTGTTCTCATGCACTGTTCATATGTAGCCTATATCTACAGTACAAAAAGTAATGTATCAGAATTCATACATAATCCTCGTAATCATGAGCCAATAAATCGCATTCAAGCCCTGTAATCATGATGGCTGCGATCATGTGACGAATGTGCAGATGGAAGTAAAGACGGAAGTTGTTAAAAGAGCAAATCTTTGCATAAAGAAACACAGGGCTTTCCCCCAGGAGAGGTGTTTGTGTCCCGTTTGTTTCCTTGCGGACGAGAAAAGGGGGAGCGCACATTTCCGGGAGGGTGTGTCCTTTTCAAAAATGCAAGAGGCGTTGCTTTGTTGCCGGCCGTTTTTGCCGGTGTGTTAAACACACCAGCAAAAACGGCCTTAAACCTTCTGATCTAACTCTGAGCAAGAAAGCGAATTAACTTGTTTTCCAAAATAATGACCTATAAGA